AAAGTAGTTAGCTGAATAGTATGTATTAATTCACTGATAGAACAGTATATCAGAGTTCACAGTATCTCAATAGTATCTTGATAATGATATTCACTGATTACATGATGACTGAGCTGTGCCCTGATGATGTCAAGAAGTCCTGTGCCAGTTCAACACCATCTTGACATTTAATTTTCAACATGTCACTGAAATCAATGGTGGAACATGTGTTACAATTGGCGACACGTGACCGGCGTGGAACGGTGGAACCACCGTGGAATCACCGTAAATTGACCCTACGTTCTTCCGGTATGGATACATACATACGATATCAGCTGACAGATTTACCTGGATGCTCAGGCCATTTCATTTACTGTGTAAAGAAAGCTCCTTTCTCACATCTCTATTAATAACTAGAATTCCCCCACCGGCATATCTACATATCTACATACATATCCCATCATAAATTCAAAACATTAGTAACAATACATGTATAATAACTAACAGACTCCCTCTCTCCTAATCACAGCTTTGGGCACGCATCATTGATTAGGTTCTGACATGACAAATTGCACTGGAGACTGAAGTTGACAACGAAAGGATGAACCAAACAAGGTGCTTTCACCTAAGTCCAGAGTTGAGTTGATGAAGCGGATAGAACAATTATCAATAAGCTCATATATTATTACTTAAACCACCCAAGCTATCTACTGCGGACATTGCGTCCTGGAATATGTTAGAAGATCGAATCTATTTCCCCAAAAAGCTAAGCTGGTTTCGATCCCGTTGACTCGACTCTGAGGAAGATCTGCGGTGCTGCTTGGTTGGGTCTTAACGCAGCGTAGATCGTGGATCTTGGATCTGGATGTCTCTTCGTATTCAATTATTAATAATATTTAGTTTGCTGGCTTCGGAGTTAGGGTTAAGTTTCAGCCCTAGGGTTTTTTGCTTGTGGGGATTTTTGGTTGCCAGACGAATTTTTTTTTTTTTTTTTTTTTTTTTTTTTTTTTTTTTTTTTTTTTTTTTTTTTCCTCTCCGCTATTTCTTTCGCCAATCACGGATCTGCTTCACCCAGCTTCAAATAAAAACAACAGATTTTGCAAGAGGCAGTCTTCGAACGGGACGACTTTGTTAATATAAATGTTCTGACCCTGTCGAAAGCGAGCCTCTACTCTACTCCCCTGGAACTGTTGGTTGGGGCCTCTGACCTAGTAGGTTTGTGCTGTTAGTCACTCCCAGATCTCTACTGTGTAAATATGACAGACACTATGCCGTACTTCAGCATTTTCTTGATGTCTATAAATTTTCATCATTATGTCGTCTTGTGTAATGGCAGATTTGGTGGTGTGTTGTTATATCAGCGTGCGGCTCTTACTAATTCGTCTCTTCTCCAAAGCGGCGCAAACACGAAACCTACTGGACAAAAACAAAAACGACTCAAAACCTAATAAACAACGCCCAACTCGTGGCCGCGCGGAACAATGGCACAAATTACTGAGCCCCAAGATCCTGAACTCAAGCAGAAATCAACTCCTACCCGTCGCTGGGTGAACTCTCCAAACTGGCGTGTAAAGCGAGCGGACAATCCAGAAACAGACACAGTCGAAGATGGACCTGAAAAACGTGAGCTGAATTTCAATCGCAGCCCCATGCAGAGGGGACACCAATCTCAGAGTCGGACCTGGAATAAGAATAGTAATAATAATCACAATGGCAATGAAGGATCAAAGCCGTCCACGCCTGCCAAGGTTTCTCATAGAGAGGATGTTGATTCCCCGGCCATGAAATCGTTTTCTGAAGGGAGGAGGCTATATGTGGGCAATATGCCGTACATGGCGAAGAAGAAGGATGTGGAAGCTCTCTTCACCGAAGGCGAGACGGTGTATAACGTGTAAGCATACTCTTCTTCCCTTTTCAAAGTACCCCGCAGAGACGTTCCATTGCGCCTGTTTCGTCCCTGTTGCAGCGTCAGCGGCACCCGCACCAATACGAGCCAAAACGTTCAAGTCGTTGTTGATTAGCCTTCCATACATAGAGAGCGCATCGACATATCAATCGACCCCTTCACCGGACGGAACCCGTCGTACTGCTTCGTCGAGCTGGAATCAAAGCAGCAAGCTGACCTCGCAATGGTGGAATTGAACGGGAAAGACATGCTCGGTCGCCCCGTGAAAATCAAGCCTGGTATCCCGAAATCGTCCAAGGAGCCCTTTGGGAGAAGAGACATGGCCACGACGCCGGAGAAGCAGCCGCCCAGATTCGTCTTTGAGCGATGGGAGAGGTCGGATGCGGCGAACCACTGGTACGATTATAGCGCCCAGGGCCGCCGGCTGTTCGTTGGCGGGCTGCCTAGAATGCCAGACCAGCCGACAGCGGATTATGAGATTCGGAAGCTGTTTTATGGGTTCAATATGTATGCTTTTTTTTTTTTTTTTTTTTTTTTTTTTTTTTTTTTTTTTTTTTTTTTTTTCGCCCACCGTTCCCCCTCGCCCACCGTTCCCCCTCCCTCCTCGATATACGATGGTCTAAATCTAACAATACAGCGAAGCAATCAGCAAAGTGATCTCCCCACATCCATCCAAGCGCTCCCAACCGGGAAGCCACTACTACCTCTTCGTCGACCTCGCTTCCTCCGACGAAGCAGACCGCGCCATCGAGGCCCTCAGCGGCGTCAGCGCCGTCTGGGGCAGCAGAGTCCATATCAACAAGGCCCGCGGCAACTCGCACAAACCTGCCGAGCGGGACCGGTGGGAAGGGAAGCGCAGGGACGGACAGGAGGAGCAGGAGGAGCAGGAGCAGCAGGATGCGAATGGCGAGAGTCAGCATGATGATGAAGACGGAAATGGAAATGGGAAGGCACCGAACGGTGGTGCTGAATCTGGGCCTCCAGCGACGACGGCGCGGTCGCGGTGGGGTCCGCCCGCTGGGTTTGAGAATGAGGCCGCTGCGTCGTCGACGCGGATTGCTCGCGCGGAGTCACCGCCATAGTATGGCTGGCTCATCAGGACCGCGATGCGTATCTCTTGCATAATTTCTTCTGTCTTCTTTTTTTCTTTTTTCCTTTTTTCCTTCTCTCTTGGACATCCACGTGTCTCGTTAACGCATAGGGGCCGTTTTTGCTATGTTGGCTGAGTTCCCCCATTCCCGTTTTACAACCAGCGATTGTTCTCCTTTTTCTTTCTTTCTCGGGCTTTTAGACATATTCTCCTGCATATTCAATGGCCGTTATAGCCATTGCAATATTTTCCTTATTTTCCTTATTTTCCTTATTTTTTTTTATTTTTTTATTTTTTTTTATTTTCTTTAGATTGACGAACACTGCATTTCTTCATGCTACTACTGCTACCCTATCATCATATTCTATTATTCTTGTATAAAGCATCTTACCGCATAGACTTTTTTTCTCTCGCTTTCTTTTTTTCGCCCCTGGCACCCCTTCTTGGATTTCGGCTGGCTGACACCAAATGCACTACGGAATGCTAATTGGAAAATCTAATACCAGATTCCTCTCTTTTGCTATTTTTCTTCTCCCAGAGGGTGTATATCAGCTACACCACCAGACGCGAGGATTATGAGCATATTTGGATCCAAGTACTCGAAAAACGCGCTGTCGAGATTTGGCTTCCTCCTTTTTTTTAACGCCGTCCTATGAGCTACAGATGGCCTTTTTCGGTCTTTTTTAAGCGACTGATTATCACGTTAGCTTTGCCCGGGAGGGGAGGTTGCGAGATCCCCTTGGGGGCACTAGCACAATATTATAAATATGTCTTCTGTCTCCCAAAATGTGGAACCGCCTCGTTTATGAACACTCAGGTCTCAACTCTCTTATCGTAGCCTGAAAGTGCATAATGGCCGCCAGCCTGTGAACCTCATGATCAGATTTGTTGTACCATTTGACCGTGCCATGTTGGGCTTTGAATTTTCAATGATCCCTCTTTCAACGAGTCTAGCGATTACACGCACGGTCTAGCCCTGGCAATTCTCTGTAGCGGCTTGCCGACTTGGTGCTCGAGGAGGTGGGGTTCTTGCTCTGCAATAATGGCTTTCACAATTGTAGCCTGCTGCTCGGTCATAGAGGCTAGGCTATTTTATGTTCATGAATGTTACTGACGCCGTGATGTCAATCTTGATACCTGAAGGATGGTACTCCAAGAATTCTGCATCACCCTTGACTTTATACACCCACCCAACCAGCCTGGCCTTCACGGGCGATTAAATAACAACCAATGGAGCGAGAGGTTCACCGGGAGCTTGTGACTCCTAAACAAGGGGTGACACAGAGAGGGGCCTGTTCAATGCCTTTTGGCAGTTCGCCTGAAGGAAAGCCCCAGTCCATTCTTCCTCACCTCTTTTTCTCATAAACTCTCACCCGTTGACAATGCAGAACTCCAAGACGCCGATCTGCCTGATCGGAGTGTCGGAAGTCGGGTACCCAGACATTTCCCTGAAACATTTCAGCGTCCGTTCCACATGTATAGAGGTTCCGCTAAAACTCACCCTGTATAAGGTAAGGACTACAAGCTCCGAATAAATTGAGGCTTCAACGACTGTGAGCCGTGGGATGTTCTTCTTCCTTTATTTCTTGAAGGTGATGATTTTGGATTTGGATCGATGCTCAGAAGGAGAGACCTCTCCTTCATCCTTACAGCTTCAGCCCATATGCGCTCTGCATGACAGTATAAGCGCCCTCGATTAGAGTGAAACCGCCAAGGGGAATGGGCTTTTCTCACTCGATAGCTTTTCACATTGTCCTAAATCTTTGTAAGAACCACTAGGAATCATATCCATTCCTTGGGATGGAGTTACACTTGAACGTGGTGCTAATCAGAGGATCGAAAGTGTTTTTATTGCTGTACTCAGTGATGGACAATTATCTTGTTGAAGCGGCAGGGGGGGAACAAAATAGTATGAGAGCGAGCTGAGAGCAAGAACGAATAGAAGCATGGGACATTGAACTGATTGCTACAGCAAGTTGTTTGATCTTCTCTATTCTCTCATCAAGATCAAAAACTATGAAACATTCAAATCTTATTCTGAGCTCTAAGCCCATTTCTCCCCCCATTAAACAAATCCAACATCTCCTTCCCCATCCACATCGCTCTCGACCTCGCAATCCCCCGCTCAACATCAACCATCCTATCCTTCTGCAATAGCAAACCTTGCCCATTGGCTTGCATGCCAATATTTATCAAATGTGCCACTGCCAAAGCAACACTCTCAGCTTTATTGATAGGGACGCCGACTTTGGCCATTGAGGCAGCCCATTCGGCCGGGTCAGAGGTGGTGCGGCGTCCCGAGCTGGCGATAATAGGGGTTAAAGTGATGGCGGGAGCAACGACGGAGAGGGAGATGTTATATTTTGCAACGTCGTTCTTTAGGGAGCGGAGGAGGCCCACAATTGCTGGAAAAGGGGGGGTTGATATTAGTAGAGTAAACCAGCGCGCCAGATATTTATATAAAACTGAGCCATAAACGCCCCAATTGACATAGAATATGTATTATATATATATAACATACCATGCTTCGCCGCACTATAAGCCGGCGCGCCCCCATCCGCCAAATACCCCGCCAAACTCGCCGTCATGATAATACTCCCCACCCCACCCCGCCCTTCCTCCCATCCATCCCCACAACCCTCTTCCAGTAAATCGCCAACTTGACCGTGTCCGCCGCCGCCCGCAAATCAACATCTACAACCCTCCTATCCGGCTCCCTTAACATCCGAAACCTCTCCAACCCGCCCTTCGTCCCCTCCAGCTCATCGCGGAAGAACTGGTCGCCGTACTCGGCTATGCCTGCATTGACGAAGACGGCATCTATGCGGCCGAAGCGAGTGATGGCGGCGGCGAAGCCGGCGCGCTGCTCGGGCCAGGAGGCGATGTTGCATTTGTGGAAATGGGTGCGGTGGGCGGTTTCCGGGGAGGCGAATGGTTGTGCGGGTTGTTGCTGGTCGAGGATTACGACGTTGTTTGTTGGGGAGAGGGAGAGGAGGAGTTCGGCGGTTGCGAGCCCGATGCCTGACGAGCCTCCTGTGATGAGGATTGTTTTGTTGGTGAGGGATTCCAGGGATGATTTGGGGATTGTGAAGGGCTCCATTGTTATTGGCAAGTTTTATTTATGGAGGTAGGTATATTCCTGCTGGTTATATGTATATACAGTACTTAATTGGACTGATTTTATATCTTTTCTTCGAAGAATCTTGCGGGATAACTAGATGTTTAAGGCAGTCATTAAGAAATGATATGTATTCATAAATAGTATATCCAGTATCTAAGCTATGCCCGGAACAAGGCCAGCTTTTCAACATTGGAGAGCTTCCATCCCATCCCAAGCTCCAAGTCAAGGCTCGGTTATACTATAACCTCGGAGTGGACGGTCCCTGGTTCGAAAGAACGTTTTGCGGGGAAAGCTCTTACCGGGTTAAGCGCCGGACGCAGACCAATTGGATACCGGACACTTATTTAGAGTACTCCGTATACTGGGAGAAGAAAACATACACACTGAAGATGTGGTTTATACATGAGCTCATAAGACAACGAGTCATACGACAATACGGGTGGAATGATATGATAAAAAAAAAAAAACAATGGTATGTATGAAAACAAAAGGGGTGATAACAAAGATAAATAGCAAATTAAAAAAAAAAAAAAAAAAATAACAAACGACTGCGCAAACAGGTTCCTACAAAAAGAGAAGCCAACTAATCTCCCGCAACGGAAATACCACCAGGGAAATGAAAGTATGGAAGCTGAAACCCGAAAACAGAAGAAGAGAGAAAAATGATAAGAGGATAAGAGCAATTCGACAATAACCCCCCAACCCAAAATCCAGAAACGAAGAAGAAAAAAGAACTATAGGGCCTGAAAAGGTATAAAATTATATTGATGAACAAAGAAATGAAGAAAAGTCTCAAACATCCGTCAAAACAACATACGGCCACCAGTTCGCCACTTCTCTCAATCACCATTAGGCACCGCCCCGCTCACCGATCGTTTCGCCAAGAAGCTCCTTCTCGGCTTCCGCTCTGGGCTGTCAACGTTGTCCAGTTTATCGCCTGTGGTCGAGTACGAGGTACCAGGACGCAGAGACGAAGTCTCTGCCGATAAAAATGCCGATTTCAGCGTCACCGTACCACTGCCAACTCTGACGGTGTGCTCCCTTCCAACACTAGACCCTTGGTCATCAACAAAGAACAATGCCTCTCCCAAAAGATCGTCTGACCCAAAGGTAGCATGGTCCTTCACTTGTAGTTGGAACTGCGCGTCCGCGGCAACGTTGGAGACCTTGAAAGTTTCATGGGAAGGGTCAAACTGGACGGTAGGCGTTGTAGAAGGAGTTGATGATCCAGAGTGGTGAGCTGACTTTATGGCCTTGGTTTTGTGTACTTCTTTCGCGCCCTTGGAAGTTATCTGTTTGACTGTGACGCGCACATTGGTTCCGGAAGGATACCCTGCAGCGGAAATGATGGTGAAGTTTGCTGTCCCGGTATCTCCTTTGCTTCCACCACTCCGTCCAATCTTTTCATTGAATTGGGAGGCAATGCTACGAGAACGGCTGTGTGGTGTCTGAGGGGTGCTTGGTGTAGGGGTTAACGGGGGTGCGGCTCCGTCAACAAGGGCTGATGCTCTCTGCGGCGTGTCACTTGGTGTGACTGCCATGGTGGGAATTGCGAGGTTCTCCCCCCCTGATGGTTCTGGTAAAGTAATGGACTTGTCGTCATCGTCGTCCTTGCTACCACCGCGACGAAGAATGCTGTGTTTAATGAAAGATGCACCTTTAACAACGCCGCCGCCAACGAATCCTACTCCCTTAACGGGCGCACCGACAATTTTACCTGGAGCGGCAAATGTGCCGGAAAATGTAGATGAACCTTGCCGAGACCTCATCACATAAACTGGTTTGAAAAGCAGCTTGAGTCGTACCGCACCAGATTTACCATCAAGCGGATACGAAATTTCTGAGGCAATGAACGGTTCCAATTTCTCAAGGTTGATATCCGTTCCACCTAGGTGATCCGCCCTGTCACCGAAATCCCAGTCGTACACCTCGAGTCTCAAGTCCGCACCAATTCTAGACTTGACAGAGCATTCGAAAAATTCATTCCAGGCGGGATGCAGAGTCTTTTTCTGCACCTTGGTTTTGAAAACTTCTTTGCCATTCAGCTTAAACTTGCAGTATGGGTCGCTGAATCCATTGCGGTCAGCGGAAGGTAAATCAGCAGCATCCAAAACGTCGACACGAAGTGTCCCCATATTATTAATACTTTCCCTAGGGTCCAGCTTCATCTTCACAGGAATGTATTTCAGGCTGACAGTTATTTTGCTCGTCGAACCGTCATTTGACCTAAGCGTTAGTTGCGTGGGTTTGTTCTAATATCAAAAGTCAGCATATCCCAAGCGTTTTAAGTAGACTCAAAGAAGTGGTATGCCTACTAGACATTGTTGAAGCGTTGGTAGCGTCGGGCCAGTGAGCTTGGCTAAAGCGTGATTGGCATCCTCTTCTCCTTTGGTATCCGTTTTTTCAACGAGGCGGAGAGTGATTTTCGATACTTCAAGTTCACGGACAAATGCATCGCCAACTAACACGGTTGTTAAAATCAAAATGATTAGGTAGGTGGAAGGGCATAAACTGACCATCGCCAAACACAGCTTCTTTAGATTTTGTTCGAGGCGAGGTATACGATGGGAATACATGATCATCCATCAAAACTTCAAGTTGGACATTTGAATGTGCCAGCTGGCCGTCGATGAGCTTGAAAACGATCAATCCAGACTCTGTGTGATCCGTTAACATAGAACAACTTCGGGATAAATTCCCTTTGGCCTTGGGCGATAGGACATACCGTATTGAGAAAGATCTTGTGGGGTAAGGCGAATTTTAGGAGGAGTAGGCAATTTCAGTGAATCTTGGGAGGTATTGGATGACGGTCCCTTTGAAGAGGGAGCATCAAGGCTTGAAGCACCATTTGTTCTGGCATCAGTGCTAGGTCTAGTGCCGTTGGTGCCGTTGGTGCCATTTTCAAGGCTTGCACGGCCACTTTCGAGGCTCTTTCTGGGACCATCCATGGGCATTTCGCTAGCCATAGCTGCGCGAGTGGCCTCCTCTTCCTCCTCTTCCTCAGGATCGACGACGTTAAGAGTGGGATAGAAAGCAACAGTATAATCGAGGATGCCCTTGGCCGGGCCGCGTCCGCCAATACGGAGGCCACTGGACATCTGTTGCTTCTCATCGTCAACTTCATATTCGCCATTCTCGTTTTCACGGATGTAGTCAGCGGCTGATAGTTCGACCATTCCGAGGGGCCTGTCCTTTCCAATAGTTTCCTCATCCATAACCTGGAGTATCAGTTTCTCACGTGGAGAGTGCATTGGAACGTAAATAACCTCATCCCACTCAGGGTTAAGATTATTTGCGAACGTCACGGTACGGCCTTTCTCAATTCCAGAGAGGAGCACTCGAGTATACGGGTCGGACTTGCCCATCGTCTCCACGTTCCTTAAGCCTTTGGCACGTTGGATGTGTATACGCATGACGCCGATGGGATGAACATACCCTCCACCACCAACTATTCCCCTGAGGGCCACAGGTTTCCATTGGACCTTAAGCTTAACACGGCCGGTTTTCGCGCCGGCAAGGTTGAACCATTCTTGGCCTTTCTCCATCGATCTCAACATGTCATTAAGTTTCATTTGGTATCTTCCGAGAATAGGATCAGTAGCAAGGTCTCGGTCATCTTTGATCATCATACCAAATCGCGCCGTTTTTCTATCTGTAACCAACACTTCCTTTGTGGGATTTTGGAAAATCGGGTTGTTTGTCCGCTTCAGCTTATTAGTAACGTGAATTTCTTTGCCGTTCAGCAACAAGACACCATATGGGTTGAGCTGTCCAATAAGACTCCTGGTTCCGTCAAGATCCTTCGCCTGTTCAATCGTAAACCCTGCAATTCCACAATTAGATTCCGGAGCGGGCTCCACGGTGCCACCTTCGACTGTTGTCGGCTCCAGGACAGGGAAAAAGCGAATATCAGTCATGAGCCCTCCGCGTGGTCGGCCACTGGATAAAATCTCAAGGGTTATGTTTTCATGTTCATCCTCATGCTCGAGAGGCTCCAATGGGAATGTCGCTATTCCAAGTTCCTTGTCCTTCCGGAACTCGTTCCAGTCGTAGACATGGAAAGTAAGAGAATCTGTGAAAGAGGTGATGATAACGTAGATTGTTTCATTCCACCTAGGGTTGGGGTTATCGTGAATTGTTTTTGTTCGACCAAGAGGAGTTCTACTATTAATAGACACTGCTGTATAAGGATCCACAGAGCCGCTGAACTTGTCGGAATTTTTAAGGCCGTAGGCTCCATGAATGGTGACTGCGACCACACCGATAGCTTGATCTACCGGGTTACCTGCAAGCATCTTCGCAATTTCGACGGGGAAGACATTGGGTTCATACATCATCGGGCCCAGGTTTCCGTGGATCTGATCCTTGATGAAACTTTCAAGTCCAGGGATGAAGTTGATGTCGAATCCCAACAGATCACCACCTAATGGTTTGCAAACATAGTCGATTTCTGGGCGGCCAAGGAAGCAGACGTCAACACGTTCAATGTGTGGGAACGGAATTTGAAGCTTGACTTTCACTCTCATCAGGCCTGAAAATGCAAAGTCTTCCACAATCACATCGAGGCCTTTCGAAACAAGCGCTTTGCCAATGCGAACTTCCAGTACGACCTTGGGGTTGATTTTATTTTTCAGCTGCCGAGCAGTAAGATCCATTGTGTCATTGGGCGTGAAGCTGAATTTCCAATCCATGAGCACCGTGTCGACTTCGGTTTTTGGGTAGGTTTTGACGTGCTCTAGACGAGGGGGTTTGCTTCCAAGGACAAAGGTCTTCAGGCGCAAATTGTCTAGAAAGGCAGGCGTAGCAGAGCTCAAAACCTGATCGACGGAGTTTATAATAGAGTCGCAGAGGACAGGGGCGTAAATAGGCCAAAATTTCACGAGGAAACTATTAATCCATTCCAAGCTTTCCGTATCGGTTTCCAGTCTATTTTTTGCCATCTCGCGATTGATATCATCTCGGAAATTTCGTCGAACGCGACGTATAGAAGTGCGGTAGTACGATGCGCAACCGGCCATGACTATGAACACCCACCCCAAACCTCCACCAAGCAGCGCTATTACCCATGATGCCAGGCAGGCGAAAATGATGACCGCGGTGTTATGATACCAATCTGTTATATTCAAAGTTTTCAGTCAGCTAACGGGCCCCTTATTATCCTCAAAACAGCAATCAAAGTGTGGCAACGGAGTAGAACGGGACCTCCGAAAAACTTGTCATCCAACTTGGTTTCGATGAATGTTTGATGGTCCAAGAGCGTGTCCCCCTCATCCATGTCATCCTCGGGTGTATGAAAGCGGGGAGCCCAGCCGGTCCTGTGTCGATCCCACCTGGCTGCTTCATCGAGTTCGCCGTTCGTTTCTGCTGGTGCTTCAGGTTTACCGGCATCGACTACTTTGGGAGCTTTGCTCGATATACTCGAAGTGCCGTTGACCTAGGGAAGCACATAGACATATCAGCTCCGATCTCTTCCACAGTATAAGGTTTCGAGCAAAGTAAATAAATAATGTAGTAGACCCACAATATCCGTAGAGACACCGACGGCCTTTGTTTGGGATTGCTTGAACATGTCCGATGGTATCGCCTGCGCGCCACGGAACGGATTAGTAAAATTCACGGAAAGCGGAGACCGGGTAGCGGGAGGAAAAGGCAGCAACCTACCAATTCTACCTGTTCAGCTTTCTTGGATGGGGGAGCATCGGGATCGAACTGGAAGGCAGGAATTCCAGCGTGTTCGCTCTCCTCAACCATCTTCTTCTCGATGGTCTTAGGCGAGACCGCAGGCGGCTGTGACTGCTGGCTCTCCATGGCACCTTACTGCTTCAATTCGGCTTGGTTAGAGCAGATTGCGGCAGCAGAGGGTACCGGGTGCGGCTCTTGAATTAGCTAGGATCGATCGCACAAGGGATTGAAGTCGACCGAATTCTTTACGAGAAGCTCCAATGAAGCTTGGATAGCTGATTGGGTGTGCTCCGGCAGGACAGCGTGGACCTGCTTTGGAGGAGTTTGACGTGGGTAGCGGACAAGCACTACAGATGGATTGGCTGTGGGAGATGAAGGACTGACTGTTGGCAGCAGCAGCAGGACGATGAGCTGTCCAGGAGAAAATGTGGGTTGGCAATAATAAGAGAGTGCCCAGGCAGCCGGCTTGCTGTGTACAAGTAGTATTTAGGATATTTAACTACGCTGCGTATAATAGCAGCAGTAAAAATAAATAATAATATAATAATGGGGCGAGACACATAGCAGGTGAAAGAACAAACCTCCACCACCACCACCTCCACCACCACCACCACAACAACAACAACAACACAAGGAGAAAAAGGATCTAATTCGGATTTTGCCTTCTTTCTTTCTTTCTCTCTTGACCGCTAAAGAACAACAATAATAATGGGAATTGCCCATCATCGCAGTCGCCTCAGGACACGAAAGGCCACGAAAACGACAGAAACCGCAGCCCCAGCGCGATCTTGCCCTGCAACTAACAATAAACTTCGCCCTGGAGCGAGCGTGGAGAACAAATCCACGATAGCGGGCAGCAATGATGGGGCTTACAGTACAGATTACCGTACTCCGTACAGTCCAGCACTCTCCTGAGCGATGTGCCCTAAAAGTTCCTAAAAATCCCTTTACGCAGCTACAAACCTGATTCTGCACGGCATTACAGGGATCGAAACAGCCAGATTTCAGCTCTCCTTGTAGTAGAACGCCGGCGGTGGGGTTAAAAACATTTCGGCAACTCCTCAAAGCAGTCTCCCATTCTGCTTGAATTTTTTTTTTTATCTGCCTTCAAGAATACAGATCATGAAATGGGAGCTATTTTCCATTCTCAGCACCAGCAGAAGCCATCTTGAAAGGAATAGGGCAGAATTCTACGCGGAATTTGTCACTTGGACGGTCAGATCTTGTTGCCCGAGACGATACAGGGATAGTTACATGGAGAAAGTCCGAATAGTTTGCCCGCGCTAACGCCTTCTGTGGCTGAGAATATTGGAAAGGACAACAGCTGTCAAAATTACGCCATGTCGATGCAGTTTTTATCTTAGCATTTGAAAACTACGTCGTCTCCAGACTACTCCGTACAGCGATTCTCGATCGTCACCGTGTGGCGAGCTCAGTCCGGATGGCCATGCAGTAGGCAGTAAGAGCTGCAGGCATTTACAGACGCAGCCAAATCACCCCGTTTGATATCCCCACGTTCGTGCATAACTAGGCGACCCGGCCGAGACAAAAGAAATTCCGTGTGGAGCTGGAATCAGATCTCATTCTCCGCATCTCATAATAACACTTTATCGTGGGAGTTTTCGCCACCTCAAAATACTTCTGGGGTCAAAAGAGGCCACACTATGGAGTACATAGCTTATAACCGTATACGACGGTGTTTTTGGATAACCCCGCCCCAAAAGAGACCATGATGCGATTATCAGTACTCTTCCAGCCAGCGCTCATCCCGGGAAAAAGTGGGGAAACTCAATTTCGGATCTAGTCGGAGTGGACAGTCACATGTTAAGGTTGGCGATGTGTGATCAGATTAATTGATGGTGAAGATCGAAAGTGCACGCAGGCCTCCATCATTGTGGCATGCAGGATGATGGGTGCCAGCAGCCAGCAGATCTCTGAAGATATGGGATCCTTCTTATAAGTGTTGCGATTTGCTATGAACAACGTCAATCTACATGCTTGGCTAGCTTCGTGGCACGGGCATGAGCAAATCCACGCCCGTCTGAATGTCTCATTCACAAAACCTCATTTTTCAACCAAATCAACTGCCCAATGAGCCGCCAAGAAAACTGAAAACTGGTGAGACCCGATTTTGTGATGACACTCTTCTTGTAACAATCCCAGCCAGTTCCCCGCCGTTCAGGCTCTGTTAAAATTGAAAATATTTGGGGTTCCTCAAACAAACACCACTCCGATTTTTCATAATCCCTTTGCTTCCTTGTTGTCATGGCGTGCGTCCTGCTTCAATAATTCAATCAAATTCGGCGACCATTGAAAATTCCAATATGAACAGGAACAAAGATTCATTCCGAAAGCTAAAACGTTCAATCGGACTGGATCGTTTTCTATGCGCTGCCATTCGTCATCCTCCTGGGACCTGGTCTTGCTGGATCGATCGTGAACTTGCTGGTGATTCTCGCCAAATCGCTACCGCTAAGGGTACGAACGACTAGTAATTAATTTTCCTTTTTCTAGCTCCATACCAAAAACGCTAGTAGCACAAGCTAGTCAAACACCAAGCGATTCAGCGATCCAAGCCTGGCTGAGCTGGAAGCTGGCGACTTGGCAAGAGAAGGAGGAACGGATGGGAAGGAAAATGTGATGGACACGAACGAAGCAAATTGGGACTTTTTTTTTTTTTTTCTTTTTTTTTTTTTGGATTGTGTGGCTGATGACCGTGTTCGGGCTCTGACGGATATTGTTCGAACAAGAACGAGGCTGGTGAAAGCTGGCTGAGTCGAGAATGGTGGCTGTTGTCTCTGGGTTTGCGTGTTCCCTTGTTCTGTGGAACGCTCCAGCTCGGAATATACAGCTATGGAGAAAATAACTCATCATAAAGCTGTTGTTTCCTGTGTTTCTGTGGTAAGTAGATAACCCGACCAAAATGTATCATTTTCGTTATCCCTTTCTTTTCCCTTTTTGTTTCACCGTTTCAAGAACCGCTAGACATAAATGAACGTCCCCCCGAAGGGCTTGGGAGCGGTTTCACGTCTTTCTCGACTTGTGACCAATAGTGACAAGGTAAGGAGCCTTAGGAATGTCGAGGAACAAAGCTTCCAGGGCTGCCTTTATTCGTATGGGCAAGATGAAAGTGACAATGGTATCTTAAAAGTCTCCCTCCCTGCACAATACTGGAAGTATTATAATTATTATTATTATTAGAGGAAGAAGAACCATATCTTGTCTTGCTTCCAAAACGGTCTTAGCCATGTCAGCTTCGGGGACAGGTCTGGGCAAAAAGTGAGATGTCCCGCGGCAGTAAGGTTCGAAGCAAGCCCGCTGCGGATGAACCACGGTGTTGGGACTTGGCTGCTTGGCTGCGCAAACGAACCGTCGCTCGTACCAAGAGGCTAGAAGAAGGAAGAATGATCATTAGCAACAGGTACGGAGTTGAAATCAAGATCCAAAGAGGATGACCCCCGCGGCTAAGATAGAGTGATCTCCTTTTTGTCCGTCCGATCGATCACTCTTTCTTCGGAAGGGCGTCTGGTGTTTCCCCATGGCTAAAGATAGATGTGTAAACCAGACGAAAAATGACATGAATTTGCACACAAATGTCCACAAGGGACAACCTTCTTCCAAAGAAAAAGAGAGAGAAAGAGAGAGAAAGAAAGAGAGAAAGAAAGAAAGAGCAGGATAAATCCCAGGGGGTAGTTACTCAAAGAAGTTATCACTGAAAGAAGCCATCCTCTCATCTTCTCACAACTTGAAAAAAAAAAGGATGTTCGCCGAAACGGAGGTGCGCTTGTTTATCCATGTTCCAGGCAGAAGGTCGGGAAAACGGATGACCTTCCGCGACATCAAAAATCAAGCCCTCATTTGACGCTGCCGAAGGTCCCTCCCGCCTTACAGGGTATGTTCAGGCATGCGGGCTAGGACTAGGGGAACCCGCGCGTGGGCGTCTCTGGTGTGGCCTCTAACCCCCAAGATAGTGTGATTTGGCCTCGAACTCGGGGTTGAACCAACCGCCAAGTACACATAACTAACGTACGGAGCACAAAACAAGGGTTTGAAGAGGATTTCCTCGTATGCAGAGCTCGCATTCTAGGCGGGACAAGGTGACTTGCGCCGAAATCACCAAATCTTCCAGAAAAGGATCCATTGGGTGAGTACCTCATTCAGCTCATACTGATAGATTATACACATTCAGGAGCGCTGTTTGCCTCACCCATTCTCAGCGGAGCAAAAGCGTATGAGACTGCCAACCAAAGGAAATGATGAGCACCTAGAAATTAGTCGACCTCAGCAGTTAGAAACCAGGAAGAGTTGTTATTTATCCCGGCACACTCTGTATAGTTCATCATTATGTTTGCTTTGGATAATCACCGGCTGTCCACCCGTCCTGTACCACGGTTTCGGTCTCCTTTAAGCGGCGGCTGCGCGGTCGCGACAGTTGGGATTTATTAGGTGATTGGTCAACGAATAGTTTAAGCTTGGGCTACATAATAACAAAAAAATAAAATAAAAAACTCAACACGCAGGGAATTGGTTTACAACCGCGGGGTTCGTAGCGATGAAGTTTCAGAATAACGCTCATCTTATAGGGAAGGTATCCATGCACAAGAAGACACAGGAAGAGCGGTCTCGAGCAGCGCCAACCCCTCAATTGGTGACTTGCATTGCATACCAACCTTGCAAAGACCAGGAACAATCCATCCTCAATTCATATACGGAGTACGGAGTACACCCATGGCAGTGATGCCGGCGATGGCTTGAACTTTGTTATCCCCAGCCGGAGATGTGGCCATTTTTAAATATGCGCTACGGCGAGGCGCTCTAACTAAGAAAGCCTCTTATCCCTGACTCTGAGCCTCAGGCTTCTGACGGGGTCGTTATATAAAACAGAGCGCCGCAGCCCATCGCGATGCAGTGAGACTGGGGAAAAAAGTCTCCATTCAGCATTAAATTGCTATTTCGATGAGATGCGTCCTCGCCCAGAACATGAAATGTATCGACACCCCACACCACCGCCGCTGGAGGGATTCAGCGAAAAGCTAGAAGCCGACGAGTTTCCTGTGGCTCCCATATCGGAGTTTGAAGATGAATTAACACCGGAGGAAGAAAGGAGGCTTGTATGGAAGTTAGTGAAGATTCAGTGCAGCGCCGTTTGACTAGCAGTTAGACTGACCTCAACAACCTCTCTCTCTATCTGTGCAGGATTGACTGGGCCGTGCTGCCGACTTTGATGTTGGGGTTCATGGTGTTGCAACTCGATCGCGCGAACATGTACGCACTCGACCCCACACCGTTCTAGCCTCAAGACTCCACCTGAATCTTCTACTGTACAAGATACTGACTATGTATACCTCTCACCAGAGGAAATGCTCTCACAGACTTCTTCTTTCGAGATGTCGGCATTACTCAGAACCAATTCAATACGGGCCAACTGCTCCTTCCGCTCGCGATTATATTGGTCGAGGTATGGCCAGATCTATTACTCAAAAGTCTGCCGCATCCTAGATCCAAGCCGTATCTAGTATTCTAAACGCCAGTCGTATCATAGATTCCTTGCAACATAATTCTATTCAAGTTGGGTCCACAAATATGGATAGCTGCCCAGATCTTTGCATGGTGAGTAGGCTTCCTACCGCCACACTTTTGATACCAACTGACGGGTGTTAGGGGTACCGTGGCCACCTTACAGGCATTTCAAAAGGGATTGGCGGCATTCTTAATCACCAGGATACTACTTGGGTATATCTACTTTGCTTCAATATTGCCATCAACACATATTAAGGCTGACAAAAATTACCAGAATCTGCGAAGCTGGCTTCGTGCCGGCTAGCCTCTACACCCTTACAACGTGGTATAAGCGAAGCGAGACTAGCAAGAGATTTGCCATATTTTACATTGGAAATTTGTCCGCTGGGGCAGCAAGTGGCTTAATAGCATATGGAATGTAAGATATCTCGGAAAAAAGGCAACAGGCCATTTGCACGATTGTTGTTCATCTTAAGGGTGTACACCTGCTAACGCCGCCAGATTGCAAATGAGAGGGATTCGTGGGCTGGCAGGATGGCAATGGCTCTTTATCGTATGGTGTTCTTTTCATATACCTTTTGATTAACATGTGGAAATTAATGAATTTATCAGTTAGAGGGCCTCCTCACCATCATCGTTGGTTTCCTGTTCCTTGCCCTTTTCCCGAAGGACCCAGACAACCCAATCTCAATGTTTGGGTATCGTTATTTTACCGAGAGGGAAGCCGCATTTTTATCCCGAAGAGTCCTTGCGGATGATCCTAAGAAAGAGAAGGGAGGAAACTCTATATCGCTCAAACAGCTGAAGGGAGCGGTGGGTGACATTACCCAATGACTAACAACATTGATAGGCATCAAGCTGACTCTTAATATCTAGGTAACGAACTGGAAAATGTATCCGCATCTATTCGTGACAATTTCCGGACTGGCACCCATCTACGTATTCGGTGCCTATGCCCCGACCCTGGTAGCATCCTTTGGTTTCGAAAGGCTAGTATCAAATGCCTTGGTAACCATTGGTTTATGGGCTCAGCTATTTTTGATAGTTCTTTGGGGATATGTTGGGTAAGGGAACATGTCCAATTTTTGCTTTTCTTTTTTGGCGATACAAAGCTTTTTAATACTTAGCTGACCGCCATGAAGAGATAAAACAGGTAGACGTGGATATGTCGTTCTAGCAGGCTCGCTGTGCAGCTGGGGATTTGTTGTATGTGACTCTTCTACAGAGATCGCCTAAAGCCATATGTTGCCGCATCCTTCTAACATTCCTATAGCTCGGGTGCCGAGTACTCGTGTATTCTCCGGACGGCAACCTGCGATTTGCACTTCTCACGCTTGCTATCGCCTTCTGCGCCGTATGGCGTAAGTTTTTTTCAATCACCCCGTATATTTATATTCTAGTTGAAATGCCGCAGAATCGCTTGCTAATTGGGTGACCGGAAACAGAGCCCGTCAATGCTTCCTGGATGTCCATGAATTGTCGCTCACCAGAAGAACGGTCCATTGCAATGGCCTTGTTTACGATGGCAACGAATGTAGCTGGCATTGTTGCCAGCCATGTCTTCCAGCAAGAAGACCGGCCGCTGTACGTGATGGGGTGGAACGTGAATATTAGCCTGATTACCGCACATGTTGTAATTGTTGTTGGGTCGATATTACAGTACGTGGTATTGAATCGTAAGCGTAAGAAAGCAGGTTCGATGGGGGAGTTGTATTCTTATTAGAAGGAAGCGCCGGCGTGCGGGTTTTTAATTTTCATAAGTTCAAAAAAAAAAGTTTGGACTGTACATTTTGTCCGCTATTTTTCTCTGAATGCACTACTTCACTCAAACTTGTAACTCTTTTTAAGAGTTCACTTTTATGCTTGTCAATTCAAATTTCGCGCCAAAGCGACAGCGGTCTGGAAATTCCGCTGGAGCAGCCCTACCCCCCTCCGGAGAGGAGTTACTTACAGAGCTAAATGAAGCATGGAAACATTTCACAAGGCACCTTTTTTACAACAAGCTTTGATGTTCTATTCGTCTGGCACCAATTTCCAAGCTGCCTTTAGCACTTGCGATTTTCACGACGCTTTTACTAGGGGATTATTCAGATAGCAGAGAGAGGAAATGAAGGCACTTCTCATATGGGAGATCATGGCTGAATGGGGGTGGCGGGTGTCTATCGGACGTCAGGCAAGACACAAAAGGGGGGTTGGGGTAAATGGCTATTTTCATTCTCAGTCCGTCTGACCAGAGAATGTGATGGCTGCACTGTTTAGAGAAGCGTACCCCGAGACACAGAATAGGTTTGAGTAGGGAGAATTCAGATAAAATTCCACGGAATGCTGTACACATGCATGTATGGCATGAGCATGGCCAAGTAACTAATCACTTCATTCGCCTGTTCCAACGATGTGACTCTGTTTGACTCAATGCAAAATATGTCGAGTGCACGGGGCAAATTATTATTATTTTTCTTGTCCATTTTTCGTTTTTATTTTTTGGAGAATTTATGGTATAGACTGAAACCCTCATTTGAACACGCTCCAAAGAATGCCAAAAAAGTAAAGCACAAATCCTGCTGGAAGAGTAGCACAGTTGAAGCTTTCGTAATCAGCTCACCTCGTCACTGGTAAAATGGTTGCATTGGATGCTTGATCGTAATTTCTTCCAGCTCCCCCCATCAGCTGCTAAGAAAACAAGCACAGAAACACAAACAACAGTCATAACATCTCGTATCCGGTCACATTCAAGCTATAAGCATTTGACCACCACCATTAAAGGTTGGACATGGAACGCGCGATATCTATCTTCCAACACGGATGACGCCTGCGGCCACCAGCTTCTGGATCTTCATCCGCACACCAGGATTCTTCATGTGCTCCTGCAGCGCAGCCGGGTCGCCCTTGGCTTGTTGGAGTATAGTTTGCATAACGGGGTCTTGAAGAATGGACATAATCTAGATATATTAGTGGTAGGTTAGTGACCTTTTAGCCATTTTTTATTATTTTACAGCAGAGTTGCACCAGATCGCGGGCGATGATAGGAAAGAGGCAAAAAAACCGTACCTCAGGGTCACGCTGAATTCTCTCTGCAGTTTCTTCTTCTGTCTCACCAGCACGAGCGCTGAACTGAGCCTCCAGCGCTTTTTGTTGCTGTTGCTCAATCTCACGGGTATGGGCACCGGTTTCGTCGTGTTCAGCGGCCTCAGCACACACGTCCATACATTTGTTATATTCTTTCATGGCAAAAAGAGCCTGTGCTTTTCTCAAATATGCACGGATAAATTTCGGGTCTCTCTTAATCGCTTCGTCGCAATCTTGAACCGCTCCTGGGAAGGCCATGAGCTTGATCAAAGCCGCAGCACGGTTGCTATATCCCCGTGGATCTTCCGGCGCCCGTTTCGTCATTTCAGTGTAGGCGTCGACGGCGGCGGGCCAGTCTGCATCCTTGAACTTTTGGTTACCGAGCTCTCTTGCCTTTTCGGCTTCTTCGGGGTTAATGTAAGACTCTTTTTCAGCCTTGATTTTGGCTTTTTCAGCATTTCGAAGTTTGGTCAAGATATCTGGGGTACGGTGTTCTGTTAAAGACTTCTGGTAATTGACGATTGCCTTGGCCAGATCTCCCATCTTCTCGTAAGAGGTACCAATTCTTCCGAAGGCTCTATTCCATCTCTATTAGTGAGGTTCACTAGGATCTCTAGGGTAGTGTTGTGGATTTCGGCTTACTTTGCAATGATCTTAAAATCGGCCAGCATTTCTCTTCCCTCAGTAACTGCCTTCTCGCAAATTTCAATCGCTCCTTGATAGTCGCCCTTCTCAAATTTGGCAGCACCAATATTGGTAAGGTATGTGATGTCCTTATTCAGCTCCCATGCTTTGCTATAGTGTTCAATCGCATCGTCGAATTGCCGTTTCTTGTAAAATTCTGTACCAAGCTGCTTTTCTTTATCGCCGGCTTCCTTGGCCTTTCGTTTCGCAATCGCTTCCTCGTCTTCGGGCTCAGGTTCTGGTTCGGGCTCGTGAGCTTTCTTGGGTTGTGGCGCATCGGGCATTTTAACATCCTCCTCTGCTTCCCTTGTGACACCTCCAGACTCGGGAGGAGGAGCAAACGACATGTCAATACCAAGCAATACACTCATTACCTGGAGGAATCTAGGATCACGCATCTCTTCTCCGATATTCGCTGGATTTTGCTTCAGTCGTTGAAGCTTTGCCATGAATTCCGGATCGGCCAAGAGGGAGGAGGTTTTAGGGTTCGAGGCAAGTTTGGTGATGAGTTGGGGGTCACTAAACATGCTTCCAAGGCCACCGGTAGGGTCTCCGCCTAGGCCATCCGCTCTTGCTTCTGCATCAATTGCACGTTTGACAGATTCGAGTCCAGCTTTGGCTTGCGCATTGGAAGGGTCCAACTTCAGAGCCTGCTCATATGCATCATTTGCGCCAACTGGGTGCTGGTCAGTAACTGCCAGTCCAGGAAATAATTCAAAAGAGGCCAAGCGGATCCTGTGGGCATACCTAGATCACCTAGTCCATGCATTGCAGCTCCCTTCCGGCCCCAACCCTTCACCCAGTCTGCTTTAAGCTCAGTCGTTTTATTCGCATCTTCAAGAGCCTTTTCAAAGTTCTTGAGGGAGGCATAAGCGCCAGAGCGGTTGGAATACAAAACATGGTTCTCTGGCTCAATTGCAATGGCCTCCGAGAATTTCTCACTGTCTCCAATTTATATTAGTCGAGTGTATCATAACGCCAGCTCCTAGACAAGCATTTAGTGACTTACACAGCCAAGTTGAAGTCCTTCGCTGCGAACGCCTTGTTGCCTTCCGCCTTCAGAGCATCAGCCATTATTTTATTAGAGGTAAGTAGAACAGCAACTGAAAAATACTAAACGGAGAAACTAGAAGCCAATAGGCAGAAGAAATAAATGTTGGTGGTGGGAGGGAGAAATTGCATATGTCACAGAATGAGGGGAAAGTGCTGGGGATTTGTTGGTATAATTAATGTCTCGACGAGAAAGTTTCTGGAAATTTCGAGCTCCGTCGTTACGGCCTCATAACAGCGTAATGGATCCCGGGACCAAGTGACTTAAATACCACGTAATTATGTATGAGAATCAAAGTACTCACGATAGATTACCGTATTGAATACCGTAATCCCTTTACCGTAGCTTGGAACCCGATTTGGAAATATGGTCGACCCCCACATCATAAAAAAAAGTCACTGCCAAACTCCTCGCATAAACAACCACAGCACTCGCACTCTACTCTGCCCGAAAAGAAAGTCCCCTGGTCACCTTGTATTCTACAGTCAGATTTGGGCATATACAGCGAAGCCTAAAATCGGATGGAGGATCACTGTCTGACTATGACTCTTTCAGAACCTCCACGGTGATCCCTCATCTCCTCTGTCCGAGTCTGGAGAACCGCCATCCCGCGCTTTTGAAAAATGTCCGCCTCCGCAGGTGGTTCCTCGAAGGGGGTTGAAATGGCAGATCATAAGGAGCTGGCTTCAGCTCTCTATGCTCGATGTCTTTCCAACTTTCCACCGGATCACCTGTTCTACCAGCAAGATCTGCTCAGCCTAGGTGTTATCCCAAATAACGACCTTGCCTTGTTAATGAAATGCGCCCAGTCACTCGTGGATCAGAGCTTGATGCGTATGCTCTATGGCAGTGATGACCGCCTTGCTTGGAAAATCATCGCTCAGTCAGATGCTGAGAAGTAAGTGTTTGACTGTCGTCGTTTTGCCAGGTGATGACATTTGGCTAACGTAACATCTACAAAAAAGACTCCAGAACCTCAATGCCGAAGAACGTCTTATATACAGCGTGGTCGAATCAACGGGCCGCAGTGGCGTTTGGACACGGACGATCAAATCGCGAACAAATCTACATCAGACCATCGTGAACCGCTGCCTGAAATCGCTCGAAACCAAAAACTACATCAAATCTGTTCGCAATGTCAAATATCCACAGAGAAAAATGTACATGCTGTCTGGCCTGCAGCCGAGTGAAGAAGTCACTGGTGGCGCCTGGTTCACAGATGGAGTTTTGGATGCCGATTTCATCCGGGGGCTGGGAGGCTGGATCGAACACTGGGTGAGCGCCAGGAGCTGGTACGACCGCGCTGCAGCGGAACGTAAGGCTGCAAAGAGACAAAAAATTCGTCCGGATAACGCCAAGGAGGAACCACAATACCTGCCCTATCTCCCATCCTACAACGGATACCCGACCGTGACTGATATCACCAACGCCATCAACAACTCCGGCCTAACCCCAGTCACAATGGGCGAATCTAGCATTGCCCAACTACTCGAGATGCTCTGCTTTGACGGGAGGCTGATCTCTCTCCGCGATGGGGCTGCATATAAGAGCGTAAAGAAACCAAACCAGATATCACTGCAGCGCGACCTGGGCTTACAAACCAGCGACCAAACGGACCAGGATAAAACAGATCAAGATAGCCTTACGCTGGGCGGAAACGGCATGACGGAGGCTCCCTGCGGACGATGTCCTGTGTTTGCGCTGTGCCAGGAAGGCGGACCGGTCAATGCGGAGAATTGTGAATACTTCGACGAGTGGATAAAGAAGTCTTTGGCGTTTTGAACATGGAAAAGGATTTTGGAATACTCATTTTTTTCGTATATCTCTCAACCGATCTGTTAACCTCAACCCTTGCGTCTACAAATTTATCTCCCGGTCTACGAATTTGCCCATCACTTTTTCCTACATTCCGACGATCTGCAGTGAAGCATATATTGAGAGATATATCGCACGAACAATTACCGGCTTATATACGATCCCATACGATCCCATACCAATAGTTGCCATGAATATCACCATGGTTGAACAAATAAGCGTGAGACAACTCACCACAAAAGAAATCTGATGTTTGATATACCACATGTATATGTAGCATAGCATAGCGACGGTGTTTTATCGGTGTTTGATTTCTTGTTTTTTCCCGGTGCTTCTTCTATTCATTATGCTGCCATAAGATTAGATAGCGGGTTGGGAGGGAAATTTTACCACCGGGGACGTTTTAATAGAGCAGGAGGGTACAAGCTGTCTTTCCCTGGATTTGATTTTATGTTATTGTTTTTATCATTCATCCTATGGATGTATCTACGATACACTCCATGCCCGAGAAAGGCAAAGATGCAAACCATAACAAGTGACAGAAGCAGAAGCGGGTCTGCCATTCTCCAATGTAACTGGGTATATTGCCCACAACCTAAGCCGTAACTGAATCATTACCAAAAGAAATACGTAAAAGCAAACCCTCCACCCTTCCACTCTACTTCCCCAAATTCTTCCTACACTCCTCACAATACCAAGTGCCCAACGGCTCCCTCGTCAACCCCACACACTTCCAATGAAACCACTCATACGGACAATCATCATTATCACACGCCACCATATCCCCATGACTAACACTACGACACGTACAATACGTCTTCGTATCCTCCCCACCATCATCTTCCTCATCTTCGTCCCCTTCCTCCTCTGACTCCCCACCACCAGCCGCCCGAGCCGCGCCTCCCGCATTCCGCCTCAGCGGCGGCGGATGATTCTCCGCTTCCGAAACCTCAGCGCTGCTCAGGACGGACTCATCCTCCTCCTCCTCCGCTAGCCCTGTAACAGAGGATGGAGATTTCTTCCTCGACGCAGCTGCGGCTACAGAAACATTTCCCGGAAGGGTTTTCAACCGGCCATTCCCGCTCGATGAGCGCTTTGTGGATTTTCCAACCGCGGCGGTTTTTCGTCGCGCCTGTTGTTGGTGCGGGGCGACTTTCTTTGCTGGTGGCTTTTTCACGGCTGTGGTGGCACGGGGTCCTGCGCTGCCTGCGCGCGAGGCCCCGGGGGTACCGGGTTTGGGCGTGCCGGGTCCAAGGGATGACTGCCGTAGGTTCGAGGAGGCTGCAGGGAGTGTCCCGAGCGATGCATTTAGACGTCTACGTTTGTTCTCCGTAGCGCCTGCGGAGGACTCCCGATGACGGTGTTGCAGATGTAAAGCAGCAGAGGCAGGGGTGGCCGGCGCGGAGTTTCGCGTGGCGGTCTGAGACGCTGCGAGAGCGGAGGCGCTTGGCGATGGACGACCAGCGGCGGTGTTTAGTCTTTGGGATAGGTTATATTGTAGAGTTGAATTTCCGGACGTGGGGTTTAAGGGGGAGGCGTATGATGTTTCCGCGGATGTAGATTCCGGGAATATTGGCTTTTGTGGCTCGCGGTATTGTTCTTTATTTCGGAAGAGGGAAGGGATGGGTGGATCTTTCGAAAGGACTCCATCGTTTTGCAGTTCCCTAATCTTAACGTCCAATTTCTTGATTTGGCGATCGAGTAACACGCATGCCTTCTCGCTTAGAAGGATCTTCTCGTCCTGTAGGACTTGACTCCGGTCCAAATTCTGTAATATCGCTCTGCTGTAACTCTCTTCCTTGGGATTCGGCGCGTGGCTACCATTCTGCCGGATGAATTTTTGTAGGCTCGCGTCGCGTGAATTTATCGTAGCACGGCATTCTTGCATTATTTTATCCTTAGCTTGGATCTCCTCCATCAAATGAGTGATCTCCGCCGGCAAGTTCGCGACTGTATCAGGTTAAACAGTTAGTTAGGGTAAGGTAAGGTATAAAATAGGTTCTTCCCAGAGAATACCTACCATCATGAATAAACTGCTCCAGCACGGTGGAGCAATCTTCCGTATGAGCCATATTCACCAAGTCAGGCTACACCATATGTCGATATGGTTACGATCTCGGATCCACGCCACCAAGGGCCGTCTGCAGGGGGGAAGTATGAGGTGACGAAAGCGTTGAGCCGCGTTGGGTATAAAACCTATTTCCAGGAGTAACCTGATCCCGCTGAGAGAGACAAATGCAATTTCCCCGTCGCGTTGGCGGCGAGACGGGAATCAGTGGTGGTGAGGTGAAAAGTAGCAACCTTGGAAGCAGATTGCAAACATGATGACGATGCGCAAGAAAGCGTCGAGAAATCGAGACTCTGCCGAAAGAGGACTAGTCTGATCACGTGTGTGCACGGACCGTAATTCCGGCCCGACCAGAGTCTAATTCGCCACAGCAGGGTTGGTACGCTAGCTGGATTCGTGCTAGTGTGGTGTGGCGCTGCATATCGAACTTCTCGTGATTGGATCTCGATTCAATGTCAACCTCCTTCACCAACTGGCAACACGGAACAATTAATGCGCCTGCTGTTAACGTCCCTGATATCGCGTATTGACGTTTTGAGACACATTTCATTTTTGCTACGGTTTGCAGACATCAGCGGGGTTCGATCATGAGAAGATCCCGAAACCTGAGAACCCCCCAATTCCTCTGATCCTGTTGCAATTCTTCCCTTTCTTTCCCATGGCCAGATCCACGATTGTCCAGGAATATGCCTCGCCAGCGGTGGCCCAAACATCGCTATCATTAGACCGCAAGACGTCGCGTGAAGTGGAGAATGAAGGCTTCAAGAGGCCAAAGGGATACACGGTATCATGGCACGCAAACCCGGACGTCGAGCCGCACCATTTCGGCTCGTCGCATCCGATGAAACCATGGCGACTCACCCTCACCAAGCAGATAGTCATGGCCTACGGCATGCACCACGCTATGGACCTGTACAAGACGCGCGAGGCCACATATGAGGAGATGGCCGAATTTCACACCCGGGAGTATCTAGATTTTCTCCAATCAGTCATCCCCTCCGACATGGAAGAGAGCTCTCTCCTCGACCGCATGGCCGGCTTCAACTTTGGCGACGACTGCCCCGTCTTCGACGGGCTCTTCAACTACTGCTCCCACTACGCCGGCGGCACTCTCGACGCCGCGCGCAAGCTCTGCAACAACCAGTCCGAAATCGCCATCAACTGGTCCGGCGGCCTGCACCACGCCAAGAAATCCGAAGCCAGCGGCTTCTGCTACATCAACGACATCGTCCTGGGCATCCTGCAGCTGCTCCGCGTGCACCCGCGTGTCATGTACATCGACATCGACGTGCACCACGGCGACGGCGTCGAGCAGGCCTTCTGGTCCACCGACCGTGTCCTCACCGTCTCCTTCCACAAGTACGACAAGGACAACTTCTTCCCCGGCACCGGCGGCCTGGACGACACGGGGCCCTCCAACCCGCTCAACCCCGGCGCGCACCACGCGCTCAACGTGCCTCTGCACGACGGCATAGAGGACGGCGAGTACGTCTCGCTCTTCAAAACCATCGTCGGCCCAGCCATCCGCACCTACCAGCCCGGCGCGATCGTCCTCCAATGCGGCGCCGACAGCCTCGGCTGTGACCGGCTGGGCTGCTTCAACCTGAACATCCGCGCCCACGGCGCCTGCGTCGCATACACCAAGAGCTTCGGCCTGCCGACGCTGGTCGTGGGCGGCGGTGGGTATACGCCGCGCAACGTGTCGCGCCTCTGGGCGTACGAGACGGCCATCTGCATCGACGGCGCGCAGGACATCAACCCGCGCCTGCCGGACTCGCTGCCCTTCCGCACCCACTTCAAGCCGGACTGCTCGCTCTTCCCGCCGCTGTCGGATATGCGCCGGCTGGAGAACCGGAACTCGAAGGCGTACCTGGAGTCGGTGACGCAGGCGGTGCTGGAGCAGCTGCGCTACATCAAAGGCGCGCCGAGCGTGCAGCTGAGCCATATCCCGCCGGATATTATGGGTTTGCGGGAGGATGTGGAGAGGGAGATTGAGGAGGAGAAGGAGATGATGGAGGCGGAGCAGGAGGATAGGGATGGGGCGGGGAGTAGTGGGGATAGGTGGAGTCGGAGGAGGGATATGGAGAGAGCGCTAGGTATACCGGGGGAGTTGTATGCTTGAGTCTCCCCTTGGGCGCGGACCTCTTTTTCCCTTTTTTTGTCTCTTTTCTTTTCTTGTGATTGCGATTTCTAGGCTGTTATTTTTGTTGGTGTATTTTTATTTTTATTTTTTTTCTTTCCTATTCCCCCTTCGTCTCTTATTGTCTACATTTAGAGTATTTTCTTTTTGTATCTGCTGTGGATAGTGTGGCTGGATGGATTTGGCATGGAGTTATTTTCTTGGAGTTTCTCGACGGATCGCTTATTGTTTTCTTTCTACCTCCTTGTTAAAAGAGTGCTCCTCTATAGTGTAAAGTAATAATACCCTTGAGTTTCTACCACCTAACTTACTTCCAATAGGCAATGCCGAGTCATATCCTATCGTCAATTCTCTCTTATGATAAAAATAATATTCTATATATAAATATATGCATATGGATAACCAACTGAAAATAATGCAAAAAGTAATTAAATCCATACCTAACTAGGTAGAGGTGAAAAACAACCACAAATTGTTGAAAAGTGGTTATAAAAAGCCGTGAGAATAAACATCCTCCTCAATACATAAGAGAAGGTTCCTAAAATCTCCTAATTGATGAAAACGGTGATTTTTTCCTCCTTAGGTATTCGAAAAAAAAGTGGGGGTTCATGATTTTGTTTTGGACGATACATACCGGTGCCCAATGCCAATGCCAATGCTGATAAGAGTAAGGATAAACAGTAAACAAATAAACAATAATCGTCATCGTCATCCATCATGAAAGAAAGAAAGCGAAAAGGAAAAAAAAAAAACCAAAGAATAACAATGTTTGGTAGGGGAGGGGTGGTAGTGGTGGTTGAGCTCGGAGGCGAGGCCAGTACAGTTAGAGGATATATGTTCGATTCCTCCTCTCATCCCTGAGTTGTTTTTCTTTGGCTTTTTTTTTTACTTTTCGTTCGATTCCTTTTTTCTTCCTTCTCTTAAAAGAAGGAAGGGAAATGAAATGTAAACATGTTAAGCCAGGCCATTAAAACTCCAGACGTTCGTCCCAGCCCCAACGTCGCTGACTCATATAGGTTCTTTTTTGTCTCCCCCCTTCAATTTTATTTTATTTTTCTTTCCGCAAGAAACAAATTAGGTCGGCCGGTTGGTGGTGTATTGTTAAGAATATTTTCGGAGGGGACGAATGGGCTGGCAGTGATGTTTAGCCCGGGTTTCCACGCATGAAACTTGCGATGTGCCAGTTGTAGTGTAGGCCAATGGACACGCTTTTAGTTAATTAATGAAGAAGTTGGCGCCGTGAATGAGATGGTTCAAGCAAAGTTGTATATATATTAGGGCGAGGAATCAGGCTGAGAAAAGCGCAGCGCAAAGCCAGATCTAGGGAGGGGAAGAAGAAATCGGCCTCCTTTCTTTCCATTCTTTAACTTTGCGCGTCGACGAAATCGTCATCGTCTGAAGCGGTGGAATCCCGCCCATTCAGGGATCGTGTTTGTGTTGTGCTTTTTGTGGCCTGCAGCGGCGTCATGATATTTGACATGTCTTGGGGGTTGTAACCTGCGGAAGCGGAAGCTTGGGCGGGGGCATCTCCTTGGCCATCCCCACCCAAGATATCCATGGCGCCGGCTGAGTTTCCTGGCTTTAGCATCTTGTTCTCATTAAGGTGCCCGTCGTTGCTACCCTCGGTAAAGTCTATGAGATTGTCATTATTATTATGTTGTTGGGCGATTGGAGCTTTCGTGGTGGCGGTGGTTGCCAGTTGATCAGAAGAGGCGCCAGCTTCTACGTTATTTGATCGTGATGAGGGATGGGGTGGTATCTCGAATTGACAGGAAGGCTTTTGGCCCGGGAGAATTGCTGCAACACAAAGGATTTGTTTCACGGCGACCGCCGGATTGTTTGCGTCTCTGTTGGGTAAAGAAGGTTAGGATTAAAAGGCAATAGGAAAACGGATTCCATTGGCGAATAATTTTCAACCTACATTTTCGCATTCAGAATCCACTCAAGATCCTCTTCACCTTCCTCAGGTCTCCCCGGCCCGCCTTGAACTACACGGAAAAGTTTGGGCCGCCATTCGACTCCATCTTCCACCCTCTTTGATGCCTCAAGCCGCTGCCTATCTTCAACTTTGGTTTTCTCTTCCGTGGCAAGATCATGGTTCCGAGCAATTAGCGCTTGGACTGTACTACTCCAAAGTCTCTGCGATTCACGAGGCTCCTGCTCTTCTATTGGTCTGACGAGAGGAGGCGTGTGCTTTGCATTTGTCGCATTGAAAAGAAGCTCCTTTTGTCCAGTCTGTGTGTTCCGTTAGCCACAACAGCGTGAGAAAACAAGGGGAAAGGGAAATAGATGTATGCCTGTAAGCACATACAGCAACATTTTTTATGAACATCTCACCGTTCCAAAGCCCTGATAGCTCATAGAGTATCTCTCCTGTTTTGTCATCTTTTATGGCACCCCCGATGGCATTGTAGGTTCCAGAAAAATAACCTTTGGTTCTGAACTCTATATCCGCCGACAAATTGTTCTCGGGACATCTTACGTAGCTATGATCTCCGAGTTCATACTTCATCTTTCCCCACAGGATACCTCGAGCATACATATTCGGTTGAGTCACGATACTACAAAAATTAACGGGTTAGCAGAACAAAGGCATAGATAGATAATCGTCAGAATTTTCAACATTTCAACATACTATCTTTCACCCTTTCCAGGTTCGCCCCTATTCAGGAAGGACAGTATTGCTATTCCTTCCATCATGCTTGCAGCTGAATTTCCCAGAAATTTACTGCGCGGTTTCAGCGTCCCGTCGATTCGTATATGATGTTCGGGGGCCATGAAAAAGTAGCTCGACTTGGGAGGATGGTGGGAAGTTTGTTCGGAAATGTAGTAGCTGCGGGTGCCATCCTCGTAATCCCAATAACATGTAAAAGTTTCACCCAGGATCGGATTCAATGGCTTTTTAACACCCCTAGCATCAATGGCCCACCACACAGGAACTTGTTAGTCACGACAATTTTGCTGTTGAAAGAGATCCCTTTAAATCTCATTTTCAAGACGTACAAAGGTCTTATATGCCATCCACTGAGGTAGAACTTAACCACGGACACGAATCGTTGGACAGGGTCGTCAATTGCCGGCATTGGAAGGAGCGTTTCGGGGTGGGCCATGAAGCTGTTCATGATTTGATTTCCGTTAGCCAATTGCTTGTTCTTCATCTGCGAAGTGTAACCCATCAATGGAATTCCCCAACGCACTTTGTGATCCGTTCCAGCATTGATCGGGGTTCCAGTATGAATGTGGGAAGCGTAACTCTGCCCAGGTCCGCACCCGGCCGCAATTGCGAAATAATATGAGTGAGGACTAAAAAAATTGACCATGCAAATAAAACGATTAGTATCTAAGCCTTGATATATCAAACTGCACATCCTGCTGAGGGGAAGGTAGATAAATGATAGAGGGAGGAGGGGGGGGGGGGGGGGGGAAGACTCTGGAGGCCACAAATATAAAATTACTCTGGAATGGGACTCACCATTCCCCTGCTCGGGTTCTACCACCGTCTCATCCTCTGCACTGGGCGAAGATGCGCCGCTCGACTCATCGAAGGACGAAACACTATCTATATAGGCCACAAAAGGTGCAAAACAAGAGTAGGTGATTAGCAAACCATTTTTCAGGCCGTAGAAGTTATAATTCCACAAGAGATCCCGGGTAGTTATAAGGTGAAATAAAACCAGTCGCAATTTATATAGACTTCAGGAAGTTCGTGACGCACTATTCTTGGAGGACCTTGAGCGGCTCTGTTGGTGGCCCTGCTGGAGGACCAAGGGGATCTTTGGGAGCATGTCGGCAGTCTTTCCACTGCAAATATCTCTTTTTTTTCTCGTATTATATTTTCGGATTTTTATTGTAATTTTCAATTAGGCGTCTTTGGAATGTCTCTCGTCGTGCAGAAAAGGAACAATTGGCGTAGGGAAAGAAAAGAAAGGAAAAGAAAAGAAGCAGCTAGATGTTCCGTTGGTCAAGGCATCGAGGATATTAATGGTTGAATCACAAGCTCAGGAGGGAATGCTACGAATATTCAGGTGCGGAGTGATAGCAACAAGGGCGGAGTGAATTTAAGTGGAAAAAAAAAAAAAAAAAGAAAAGAAAAGAAAAGAAAAGAAAAGAAAAAGAAAAAGAAAAAGAAAAAGAAATCAGCTGTGGGCCTGGAGCGGAAATGGATCTTTAACTAAATAATAATATAGCAAGGTTGAGCAGAGGTAAGGGTGGTCCTTGGATAGGCTACTTCCTCCTAGGTACAGTACCAACAAGCAACAACCAACGATTCAGCACAAGGGAGAGACGAAATCAGATAGGGTGTAGACAGACAGACAGACAGACAGACAGACAAAGGGCACGGCGTCACAGGGTATGTATTGATATGTATACAGGAGGAGAAAAAGAAGTGGGTGGTGTCGTGGTGAGAGGAGGGTGTGAGAGGGTTGGAGGGAGGGTTGGAGTTGAAGTGAGTGAGTGAGAGCGTAGGAAGTAACTAACTTGGCTAAGTTAGTTATAACTATTTCCCTTCCCCTTCCCGCTCAAGGCAGGCAGGTGTGGTGTGTGGTGTGGTATGGTTTGGTATGACGGAACCCTGGGTGGGACTTTGTGCGCCAAGCCCAGCACACGGCAAGCAACAACTACTGCGTACGCTGCGTAGATTCCGGGCCCCGAAGAGCGGCTCTGGCTTGCTTGTTGTGGCTTGCAGTCCAGTCCTGTCCTGTCCTGTCCAGTCAGTCCTGTCCTTGGTAACTAACATGTAGTTAAGTTACTCCGTACTCTGTACTCCGTACTGTACTTAACTACATATATAATATTTTTTTCGCCCCTCCCTCCTCAACCCTGCACATCTCACTCTCTCCCTCCCAGTCCCCCACCACCCTGGGTTTCACATGGATGAGATGTTGATATTGATCCTAGCCCTCCTCCTCGGTTATGGTCATGTCTGCCAGGGTTATGCAATCAATAGAACTATGGATGCCTGCTTCAACCACCCAGATCTCCCCCGCCCCCCGCCCCCCGCCCCCCGGCCCTCCATTTTCCATTCTGGTTGTTATCTGATCCTGCCTTCAATTCGATATCATTTACTATGCGCACGTCCTGCTAAGTAGTTACACACAGAACATGCAAATACGCGTGTTCCTTGCACTCTGGGATTTTGCAACTGGGCGCGAGCGGGGAAGAGGGGGACGACGGGAAATAAAATCGTAGGGAAGTTGCGATGCCTAATCACTAGGTACTCTCACACCAGACTCTCTGATATTCTCCTGTTCCAGCGCTTCCCTCGCAAAGGCATAGGATAGGATAGGGTTCATTCAACCCTCCTTGCAAATTCCAATTGGCCTAGTCACGACCTACTTTACTCCTTACCAAAAAAAAGAAAAAGAAAAGAAATTCAACCTTCCCAGATATGTAAAGAATGTACGAGGAACCTAAGATCAAAGAAAAGTGAAAGATGGGAAAAAATGATATAATAAACGACCACGGTGCGATTCGAACGCACAAATCTTTGGTGCCGAAAACCAACGCCTTAACCATTAGGCCACGCGGCCCGCTTGTAGTATTATTATTAATAATCCCAATTTCTCTTTGGCCATCAGTTCTATCTCCGAGATTATAAACAGAACAACCACCCCCGATCGATAGAAGAGCTGTGCAAGTTGGATATGATACATGAGTTACATGAGTGCCTTTTACGAGATTTATAATGAAAAGAATAATGCAGACCAGGTTACTCATGTCATCTGAAGCCACCCGGCTAGCTAATTATCTAATTGACCACCAGTCCCTCATCGAAATCAACATTCATACATCCATTACATGATAACATCCATGTAGATAGATGCACGACCCTTGCCGCTGCCCCTCATGTACACTCTACTAATAATACTCCTAATAACCGTAGGGGTGGTAATCCCTCCAGCTCTGCTATACCTAATCTACAAACCCCCCACCTCCCTAATCCAGTACTTCCAGCTCCGCTGGCCTGATATCCTGTGGCTCGGGCCCATCCCCTCAACCTCAACCTCAACCTCAACTATCAGCAACAGCAACAGCAACAGCAACAGCAACACAGCGAGCAGAGACAAATTAATAGCCCTGACAATTGATGACGGACCAAGTCCCTACATCGCTGAGATCCTTCAGATCCTCAAAGCCAACGATGCAACCGCCACGTTCTTCCTCATCGGCTCGAACATCACTGACAGTATCACAGGTGCAGAGACAAACACAAGCAAGGCGAAAGCAGCAGAGACGCCGCAAACACAGACAGAAACACTCCACAACCTCCTCCGCGCCGGCAACGAATTAGCCAACCACGCCATGCGCGATGAGCCGTCATGGCGCCTCTCCGACGCAGAGCTCATCGCCCAGATAAAAACCGTCGAGCGCAAAATACAGCATATCTACAACTCCGTATACACCACCACTACTACTACTTCAACACCGAAAAACCCCCCTGAGAATGCACCACAACCACAACCATCACCACCACCAAAACCACCAAAATACTTCCGCCCCGGCTCCGGCTTCTTCACCACGCGCATGCGCCACCTCCTGGCCGCGCTAGGCTACAAGCTCGTCCTGGGCAGCGTGTATCCGCACGATGCGCAGATCCCCTTCCCGCGCGTCAATGCCTGGCACGTCCTCGACCTGGCGCGGCCCGGTGGTATTATCATTTGCCATGACGGGCGGAGATGGACGGCGCCGATGTTGCGGGTGGTGCTGCCTGAGTTGGGGAGGAGGGGGTATCGGGTTGTTACTGTTACGGAGTTGGTCGGCGGATAGGGGCTAGATGTATATATAAGGCTAGATGTATATATAAAGGTATATATATATATGTGTGAATCGCTTTGAAATTTGTCCAGGACAAGAGAAGAGAGGTTCGTGATAGCTATGCTATGGGTTTATGGTAACTATGGTTTATAAATGTCTATGTTTCTAATATTTATCTGTGGGCGTTAATAGAAGGCGGGAAAAAAAAAAAAAAAAAAAAAAAAAAAACCGAAAAAAAGGTCGAGAAAGTTGTAAAATCTCGGACAAACTCAGTTTCATACATCGGTAACGGGTACGTCGCCGTTGGTGATCTCGTGGAGAAATGCCGGATCGGCCTGGTAGAGCATGACATGGAAGTGCTCGATGGCGTGGACGGACTTGAGAGACTTCCAGTTTTTAAACCATATAACCTATTCCACGATGATACGGTTGATTGGTTAGCAAAAACAGGGAGAAAGTTCTTTTTTTTTTTTTTTTTTTTCTTTTGGTACCTAGCTTTCTCACACCTTCTCGGCGGGCATTCTAGACCGAAACGTTTTCTCAACAAACTCATCGATCTCCCTTCGCATGCGCGGGGTTAAGTCATCTGTGGCAGGATCATCTTCGAGTTCAAACTTGGTCCAGATGACAAGGTGGACGATGTCCTTTTCCACCCCATATGGCCAGTCGTTGTAGAGAATTTTGATGTCGTCTGTGTTGCCAAAAGAATAGAATGTTTTTGGGAGGAGGGGAGGGGGATGATTAGTTATTTAGTCGGCCGATATAACTAGAGGCCAGAAAGAGTAGACTATCTCTTTCTGCCAAATCGAAGGGGGAAAAGAACAAACCTGGATGGTCGAATGGTCTTGTCCCGCGGGGTTTCAAATCATCCACCCAACCCAGCCTCTTCTGAACCACGAAATTCAAAACAGAACCGTATTTATCTTTAATCTTTGCGGTGTACTCCAGATACCTCCTCAGCTCGGACGGCACGCGCTGGAGAAGGTGTATTTGATTCGATCCTAAAGTGTTTTAGGTCCAGGCGTATTAGTCCATTCTCGTTCTCTTCTCGAAATCGGGATCTCTTTCTTTTAAACATATATTTTATAAAACAGCGAAGAAAAAAAATAAAAATAAAAAGAAAAGAAAAAGAAAATAACCACTCACCAACTATTTCCTTCACCAGCTCCCAGCTCTGCCGTTCATACTGCGCGTCGGGCGTCGAGAGGCACTTTATAGACTTCTGAGGTAGATCACGGAGATACTCCGGACATTCAGGCGGCCATTGTGATCGCGGGACATTGACGAGCCAGTAAGGGAGAGGCTCTGCTGGTGTTGTAATAGCTGTCTCCTCGTCGACGAGTTCTGTGGTCGTCGTGGTTAATAATGGTGTGATGCGGGCATCATCAGCCGTTTCTGCAACCGCAGCGGGGGCAGCAGGGTCGTTGAGGTGAGGCATCATTCGGACGGGGGAAGGGCGCTAGAATAAACAGCGCTTCGAGGCTAGATTGTTTTTGTTTGACATGACAGAACTCCCCCCGTACGCTTATCTCCTCTGCGCACTCGGGCTTGTTGTAGATGATATAAATTTCTAAAGCATGCGCGGTTTATGGCGCAGTCCCATCCTCTCCTGGCGGCGGGCTGCAACAACCGGACTATTTAGCGCCGAAGCTTAACTAACTAACTAGTTAACTTAACCACCGGCCAGATCTTCCCCGCCACTCGCGGGCCGGCTGCAGGGGTTCGGTCTTTTATCTATATCTAAGGTTTTTGCCACGAGCCGAGCAACCACGCTTTATTTAACTCGTTTGTTTTTGCTGGAATTTGCATCTGGCAGATATGAATGCGCAAACATGAAGTTGTTTTTTTCCCAAGCTCCTTCTCTCACATTGAACGTTGACGTTCTTGGTGGGCTTGCTGGTATGGGAGGGTTTGAGCTGGTAACTAGGGCTGTATGTAACTAGGCTTTGCTTCGGATTTACTGACTGCATTTTCCATTGTACAGAGCTCTGGCAGCTGTGTTCTCACCAGACATTTGAGCCGGTAAAAAGTACTCACCTTCAGAACATATCTAGAACGATCAACATCATCCATCTTCCTAGAAATAGAGATGGTCTCGGGAGTTTGGCGTACTCAGGACTCAGGAGTAGCCCCCAGAATGAATTGCAATGGTGGTATATAGCTAGCTATAACATAGAAAATAAGCAATAAAAACCCAATCCCAACGAAAACTCCAGCTGCTCAAAAAGACAACCAGTTCCCTCCTAAACCCCATCATTTCAAGTCATAAATAACTAACTGCACACTGGTAATAATGTCCTAACTTGCCCTACCTCCGGCCCATCAATATTCACAATCCTCACCCCATGATCTTCCATCTCCTGCTTGGCCGCTTCCCACCCCTTGCCCGGGTCGATACATTTCGTCCCCTCCTCCACTACAAAACAACGAAACCCTCTATCCACCGCATCAACAGCCGTGTCCTTGACGCAGTAATCCCCCGCAAGACCCACAATGAAAACATCCGACGCCTGATGCTCCCTTAACACCGCAGCAAGATCCATATTCACGCCCCCCGTCTCGACACAGTCGTTATTCCCAAATGCGTCTGCAAACGCGGAATACATCTCCATCCGCGCATCCATGCCCTTACGGATATTCACGCTAATCTTATCCGCTTCGATTTCGGGGATGATGCATGCGCCCGGCGTGTTGGCGACGCAGTGGACCGGCCAGAGGCGTTGCGGCTTTGTCTCTGTCTCCCGGCCTGTGGCGGGGTTTGTTAGGGTCGTGGTAGATTGGAATGGGATGTTGTTGGGGGCCGGTTGATTGGCGGCGAAAGATATATGGGATGTCGGGTGGAAGTCTTGTGTGGAGATTTTGACGGCGAAGCCTGGGAGGGAGAGGAGGGAGTTGATGACTGGAGCGAGGGTGCGGCCGCCTTGGATGGCTAAAGTGCCATTCTGTGGATTGGAAAAGTGGTGGGGGGTTATGTTAGAGATAGTGCTTATCAAAGCGTATATGGGAGTCTTGGATGATGTTCTAATATGCGCGGGGGGCTGGATAGTTTACTAAATAGGAGCGGACTCACGGGCGGGCAAAAGTCTTCTTGCATATCAACCACGAGCAACGCGGGACGAAATGAGGCGGATGTAGCCCCATTTAGATTATCACCACTCGATGCCATCGTAGAAATGCCACTCTATGGTGCTTTTCGATTGAGATTGTAGTATCGCACCGGATAGTAGGAAATTTGATTTGCACTGTTCCAGTCCATGGCGGGGTGTTTGTTATCGCTCCTTATCTATCGCGAGGCATCTCCCACGTGAGCTGGATATTGCTGCCCAGGTGTACTCCGTACATCATCTTCAAAAAAGTATTCTTGCAAACGACGTTGATTCAATCTACAAGTGCTCTGTACATATGTTAATTGTAAATTACATGGTGGTTCATGGTTCATGGTTCATTGTTAATCAAATAACTATATACAAAAAAAAAAAAAAAAATCCTGCATTTGTTAACAATATCTTAAGATCCAGTCGATTAAAGCCTCGCGGTTGCCGCGGCCTCGTCACCGAAGACAATCCGTTTATCCCAGGCAGCTTCAACTTCCCAAGAACTATATGTGGCCTGGTCCTTCAAGGTGAAGCGCCTTGCAACCTCCCTCGAGATAGGATCGTTATCTCGGGCAGTATCCAAAATCAGCAGCAGGCCGCAAATCACGCTCTCGAGTCCGACAAGGAGATCTCTTCCTTCCCACCTTAGCTGTTCTGCATCTTTAGTTTCGGTGCATTGCAGCCATTGCGCCCATGTTTTCTGGATTATCTCAGCTTCTGCTTGGAATGAATGCTTGCGCGCAATCGCCAAAGCGCTCGCGACCCATTGTCCCACAGCTACTAAGATCGCCGGGCCTTGCTTAGATTTTACCACACGAACCAGGTCGTCCGCCATGATATCAGTGGTTCCTTCCCAAATGCTAAGCACGCATATGTCCCGGAAAATCCTCGCAATGTTTAACACGGGATCTTCATTCTCGAGATACCCAACTCCACCTAGGTTCTCCATGCAGGCACGAACTCCATTGATAGATCTGAGGGCCGTTTGAGCTTTGCCCATTGGGGTAAGGAGACGGAGTAGAGCACTGGATTGCTGAGCGTTGGTTGGGAGGATGGAAGCCTGGGTGGCTTGCGTGAGGCGGCTATCTTGCCCTTCAGAAATTCCCAGTAGCGAGGCGACGAAATGGAGAAGGTTGAGATGGCCCCTGTACATGACATGGTCTCGGGCAAGTGCTCTTACATGTGCGGGCATCTCTGTGAGGAGTTTACCGCGAGCGACCCTCACCTTCGCATAAGCTCTCGAGATTGCCAACCCCCTCGCCCATCCACCCACCGCTCCAGCCATATTATGAACCCTGGTGATATTGAGGAGGGTTGAAATTTCCCTCACGCCGTCCCCTTCTTTGCCAATCAAATAGCCCCTCATTCCCTTCAGTTCCAGTTCCGCAGTTGGGAGAGTTTTCGTGCCGAGTTTATTTTTCAAGCGCTGAATTCTCACTCCGTTAAGCTCCGTTTCGCCTTCGGCTCCACCCGGAACTTTTCTGCGCAAGGGAGCGTAGAAAGTGCTAATTTGGCCATTTGGTCCTGTTTTGGCAAGCATGATCGCCATATTGGCGTCGGTAGCGGAGGAAAACCACTTGAAACCGTCGAGCTGCCATGGTCCAAGAGGATATCCAAGTTCATCAACCCCTTTACTCGCATTTTGCTCTTCTACAGAGAGTTTCCTACCCACAGTCTCCGTTCCACGAACGTCGCTGCCTCCCTTACGTTCTGTCATCCATTGTCCGCTAGTCCATGCAAAACTGGGATCTCGACTAATCAATCTATTTCTCGCCTCTGTGAATATAGCACCATCTGGACCGTTCAGATGCCGTCCGAGCATTTTAGCGGCGCCATCGGTCATAGCAGACGGGCATGTAACCAGAGCGGCACTAGAAGTCCAAAGAGCGTATTTGATGAATTGATATGCCCGGTTATTCAACTGCGTGCCAGTATTTCCGCCATTGTGTGATTGAGCGTCGGCATATGCTAGTGCCACCATCCCTTCCTCGATCCCTCGGTCTTGTAATTTTCGCCACCCCTCACTCGTGACTAGAGGGTCCTGATTATTCTCTACACCAAACGTAGAAAGAGGGCGAAGGTACGGCTGGTTGCGCTCTGCTTCTGCCGTATAGGCCATATGAGATCTTGACAGCACAAGACGGGAAAATCGAGAAAGATCTTCATCTATGCTGGAGGGTAAAGGTGACGGAAGATACAGGGAGATGATACGCCGAAAAGCAGCATCTTCATAATATTGAGGCAGAATAGTTGGCTGGGCCTGGAAGAAGCCCGTTGTTGCGCTGGATGGCTCCATCTTGGGGTTGGTTGCTAATAAATATTCCTGGTTTCTCCGCCGTAGAATTTGTCTACTAAGTAAAACATCTAAGGACTTTCAGATTGCTGTAAAAGTGCTGCAAAAGGCTGGGTGGTGGGTTATACATATATAGGTCAAGTTCAACATGACCCGCTATCCCGAGGATACTAGGCATGGGCCTCGGTAGTGTACCCTGCTGCCTGCATAACATTTAAATACATAGAAGAATACGGATTTCATAGATGTTCGAGCCGCCACACTATATGGAGTACCTCACACTGATGAATCCAACAGTATCTCGTACTGTCTGGGCCACAGGAAGTGTTGCAGACACCTACCCATCTGCTGATGAGCATTTACCGAGGCCCAGAGAATTGGCTCCGAATAAAGATTCTTACGTAAGACACTCTCTCAATCCTTTGAACCATTGAACCAACTCATCCTCATCCTCATCCTCGAGTTGGTTACCAACTCCAATTGAGGCGTGCAAAGTGTGTGAATCCCAGACTCAACGAGCAGAATAGCGCAGGCGTTCTCCATACCATACCCCACCCCGCTCTACGTGGTTGAAGAGCAGATGGAACTTCCATGCACCTCACACAAACTACAACGTAGGAGGGGGCCCCTTTCCCCCTAAGAGAAAATGGATTTCATGTTAAGTGGATCATTACGTGGGAAGATCAATGATGTCTCTTCTTTCATACGCCTGTTCGACTACCAGCCCCTGAAATTCTGGAAGGCAACAGTGACAGCTGAATACAGCTTGGAAATGTTGAATTCAAGCGCGCAGTGACAACCAGGGGAAGTGAATACTCCAAAAAACCGCGAACGGATTTCAATAGGAAGGAGTATTGATGCAAGTGAACGGGACTTCCTATCTATGATGGCTTTTATGGGTAAGAAAGGTGATTGAAGCTAGCAATATTCTGAATTTTCACACGCGACTCCAAAGGGTGGAACTTCTGACAAGCTTGGTACGAATGGTTGAAACAGGCCCTTCTTCTGAAAAATACAGGACACATCTAACTGGCTAGGTACACCTTGCTATATTTGGAAGAGCATGGGAGCGGTGTCGACGCTGAGCAGGCAAGTATACATAGTACTTGCATTCTCGTCCATTGAACCTTATACAACTTCTCCTGCACCAAATCTAACATTGAACATTGCGATGACGCGCGCATTATTTAAGAAAGGAACCTCGTTATTCCTACGCCTACGCTCGTTCAAGAATCTTATGCTTAGATATATAAAAACGGGCTGGAAGCCGCTGGTTTGATTCTTCACGAAGCCGAATTTGCCTTCATGAACGTCATATTGTGACCTCCAAGTCGAACGGGTTTCCAATGAAGACGCTTAATACCGTTCTTAGGGGATAAAATCCTGTTTTTTTATCATTATTTTTCTTTTTTAGTTATTTATTGTTTATTTTCTTGACGCGGGGCTAGCAGACTGGTGAGGGTCAGCCTCAGTCAGGTCATATCTAGTCACTCGGGTATGAAACTCGCCGACCAGCTGAACGGGCCCTAAACTTTATTTCTACCCCTACCTCGTCTATAAGCATAGATATAATGGATATCTATCTTATTTTCTCTTTGGGCCACTGGTGCTTCCTCTTTTTGTAATCAGTACACATGGTTTTTAATCCAGTTTGCCTTCAACCTTTCACCATGTCCTGGTCTACTATTGGGACCTATGCGGTGCTGGCTTTTACAGCAGCGGTCGCGCTCAATCTTGTCTACCAACTGGCCTTTCGCCTCCTGAATACGACTAGGCCACCATTGGTCTTCCACTGGATCCCCTTTCTGGGAAGCACAATCTGCTATGGAATCGACCCGTACAAGTTTTTCTTCTCTTGTCGCCAGAAGGTAAGCAAGAATGCAAGCTATCCGCCTCTCAGTGGTCCTACCGTGTGATTGTGGCTAATGGGAAGCACTGCGATTGATCTAGCACGGCGACATCTTCACCTTTGTGCTTCTAGGACGTCGTACCACCGTCTACCTAGGCGTAAAGGGCAACGAGTTCATTCTCAATGGGAAGCTTAAAGACGTGAATGCAGAGGAGGTGTACAGTCCCTTGACCACTCCGGTGTTCGGACCGGATGTGGTCTACGACTGTCCAAATTCCAAGCTCATAGAGCAGAAGAAGTTCATCAAGTATGGTCTCACCCAAGCGGCGCTAGAATCCCATGTGCCGTTGATCGAGAAGGAGGTCAGAGACTACCTCGACGCCTCAGCGAATTTCCTCGGGGCCTCGGGGGAGGTGGACATTGCAGCCGCCATGGCAGAGATCACTATATTCACCGCGGGGAGTGCTCTCCAGGGAGAAGAGGTGCGGTCCAAACTCACAACTGAGTTTGCCGCTCTCTACCACGATCTGGACAAGGGATTTACCCCGATTAATTTCATGTTACCCTGGGCCCCCTTGCCCCATAACAAGAAGCGCGACGCCGCCCATGCCCGCATGCATGCCATTTACATCGACATCATCGACAAGCGGCGACTCGCAGGGACCATCAGCGACGCTCCACAGGTGCTGGATATGATTGGGAATCTGATGCAGTGCACTTACAAGAACGGCCAGAAGTTGCCAGACAAGGAGATTGCGAATATCATGATCACTCTGCTAATGGCCGGCCAGCATTCTTCAGCCTCAATCAGCACTTGGATAATGTTGCGCTTAGCCTCCGAGCCCACAGTCGTCGAGAAACTCTACCAAGAGCAGCTATCCAACCTGCCACAAACTGGTCCCAATGGAAGTCTGGCTCCCCTCCAATACAAAGACCTTGACCGCCTCCCGTTACACCAGAATGTGATCAAGGAGACCCTCCGTCTCCACACATCTATCCATTCCCTCCTACGCAAGGTTAAGAACCCACTGCCGGTCCCCGGTACACCCTATGTGATCCCGCGCTCAGATATCGTGCTCTCCGCGCCAGGCGTCACGGCCCTAAGCGATGAATATTTCCCCAACGCTATGGTATGGGATCCCCATCGGTGGGAAACCCAGGAGCCTAAATTAGAAGAGAAAGAAGACATGGTCGATTATGGGTACGGCACTATTTCAAAAGGCACCTCCAGTCCATATCTCCCCTTCGGAGCTGGGCGCCACCGCTGTATCGGGGAGAAGTTTGCATATCTCAACCTCACGGTGATTGTGGCAACCATGGTGCGCCACATGCAATTTTCCAACATAGAGGGAAAGACGGGCGTGCCTAGTACGGACTATTCGTCCCTATTTTCGGGCCCTATAAAACCCGCGCGGATCCGTTGGAGGCGACGGAATGCAAAGTCAGATTAGCTCCGTGCTCCTGTATAAATACTCGTCTATAGAATTAGATCGTACCGGAAAGCGAGAGGAAAGCATATGATCAATAAATTAGAGTGGTGTTGTCTGCTGCTTCCACTTTTTCTAGAGAATGTCGAAGATCGCCTGTTATCTCCTTCTATATAGTTCTTAACCTGGACCAAAAATGCCAGGTATTGGTCTGTCGAGGAGTGTCGCTTGGTGGAAATTATCCATGAAGGGGTAAAGTTCCACATAAAGAGGTTTCGGTGTCACGAGTGTTTTTCTCTCTCGGACGGGGAGATTTGTGTTGGCATTGGCATCTCGCCTTGCGAGGAATGGAAAATTCTGGTGTTTCTTCTAGAGATGGATTGATCCATAGAATAGTCATAAATTCTCTTCCATTTCGACTGCAGGCATTAAGTTCAAAGATTGCCAGTCATCACGTAGTAAGACCGATAGTTTCCCAAATACTCATATGTCAATGTCCATCCCCCTGTATATGCCCAATATAACATGCTGGACAAAGGCACGCCTGATTTGTTGTGATGTATCAATTTTGTGCTGCCCATAAATAGGAGGGGTTGATGACTAAGCGATATTCCGTCCACAAAATCTCGACCAACTTTGACCACAATCTCACCTTCTCCCCAGTTTTAACACTTCTAACCAGCACAAAGAGACAGGATTCTCTTAGGACACCTCGCAGTCAGCCAACAGTCTATGGAGGATGAGAAATTCTATTAAGGTATACTACGCACTTTTCTATTTTCTATTCTATGAATGTTCCACATCATGCCTCTCTCAAAATGATGATCCTTTTTATTGGAGCTGTCCTATTCTCACATGAGGAGACACTTAAAATACGCAAAATATACATACCAACTGAATCCCCAACATTGAAATTCGGCATGCCTACCTTTTGAATTAGCTGGAATACGTTGAATCACATTGCTGACTGCAAAATCTCCTAGCGAGTTCATCTCATTAGTGATCGGACTTTTCACCCTCCCTGATTTCGCGATTTCTTCCGACAAGATTTTATATAAATTTCTGCCGTCCCAACCTGAGCTCCCGACAACTCTTGTTAGACTTTACCATACGGCCCAGTAGATTAGTAGACCACGCAATAACAGGGAAATAAGCCATCAACATGAGTACAGACCCTCGACTTGCTCGAACAACGACTCCAATTCCACCTCCTCCCCCACCACCCCCTCCGCCACAGGAGCCTTCTGCCTCAACGCCTTCGACAGGACTGGACGGCACGGCCGATGAATCACCTACACCACCCCCACCTCACCCGTCATCTACATCCTATAAACTTAAATTCTGCACAGTATGCGCGGCCAACCAAAATCGGTCGATGGAGGCACATAACCGCCTATCCGCACCCCCTTCCTCGTATCCAGTAATCTCATTTGGCACGGGATCTCTAGTCCGACTCCCAGGCCCATCCATCACGCAACCCAATGTCTATAACTTCAACACCGTATCTTACGCTCAAATATACGACGAACTGATGCAGAAAGACCCGAGGCTGTACCGCAACAATGGCGTCCTACCCATGCTCGAACGAAACAAAGGCGTGAAATGGGGTCCGGAACGGTTCCAGGAATGGATACCTGGAATGCCACGGCTGGATCATGTGTCGAGGGGGGATAAGGGTGCGCTGGGCACGGAGGGCGGCTTGGTCGATGCTATCATTACCTGCGAGGAGAGATGTTGGGATGCTGTTGTTGATGATTTGATGAACCGCGGTGCTCCCTTGAATCGCCCGGTGCACGTATTCAATGTCGATATTCGTGATAATCACGAGGAGGCGTTGGTTGGTTCCAAGGCGATTCTTGACCTGGCTGATAGGCTGAACAGTGCCGCCGATGAGGAACGGAAGATTAATGGGACGAATGGTTGGGATCAGGGCACGGGTGAAGCTAGGAGATCTTTCGATGATAAGGTTCCTGAGATACTTGCCAAGTGGCAGGAGAAATGGCCTAATCTACCGGCCTTATGGACACTTTCTTGGTTTTGACCCACTGGTCAGGGAACTTTCGTTACACAAATTGCTTGTATGATTCAACGTACAACGGACGCCTTTGTGTTACTTTTTTATTATTACTATTCAATTTTCAAAGCGTGGAGCTGGGGCGTCTTTTGTTTACATTGTCGCCCATCTAAATGGCAGCGATTTACTTTTGCGCAGAGTTTCTTCCCTCCACACCTAATGCCGTGCTAACTTTCGTAAAGCAAGATGGCTAAGCAATGTAAGCATTAATGAGGAAAATTTGACCGCATAGGCGGAAATGTCTTGAAGCAGCGGCGGCTGTAAACTTCGTAGTAGCCGTCTTGAAACCTTCGGTGACACGCCGCGTAGGTACAGCTAGTCGGTACAGTGGCTTAGGTGTACCTAAGTTTCGAAACCGTAAGTCATAAGTCATCTCCGGCTATATCATTAGTATAGCTGTCCGCCTATGTAGACTCGGGCAGGGCGATAAACCGACTCGAAAGTCTGTTTGTTTCAGTGAGAGGAAGGTCAAGTTTCTGGTAGATCATAGGTAGCTTATGGCATACTAGCCTGCAAGACCACTCATCCCCGACGGCAATAGCTTATGGTGTTGATGGCATGCACCATGCACAAGGACGAATGGTTTCCAGACAATGATACCATGTATCATTAAAAAATAGCTTATAGAAGTGATGCTAGAATCACAAACAATAAACCATTATCAACCTGGAGATTCATGCTGCGGTATATTCTGCTGCAGAACCACATCGTCATCCTTGACCGGCGTATTCACCCCGCTCAAAAGCGCAGCCTGTCGCTCTCGATACCACCTAGCCAAATAACTTCTCCTCTGTGCCTGCGTCATGCCCTCAACAACCAGAGCAAACTCGATCGGGTTCTCAAATCCAAATCGCTTAGACATGCTGCAAAACTGGCGTCTCTTGACATCCTCTGGAGGGTGATATTTAAACGAAACGCGCTTTCCGCCATGGTTCATGGAAAAGCCTAAAGAGACGTCGTCCTGCGACGCTTGGAAAACCTGCTCCTCACCAAAGCTGGTACCATCAATTGCCATCTCAGCACGACGACTGAGGCGTTCTTCAATCTTTGACGATCCAATAACTTCAGAGTTCTCATGCGTATATTCAACGCCCGCTCCAACCAGGATCGCTTGGATTGGGTCATGTTTAGCTGGGACAACTTTTTTGGTAGTGTCATCCGCTGCGGTAGCCTCGCCTCGGATCATGGCGGCCAGCTGGCTCATTGCGCCACCGTCCTCCTCACCTTTGGGCGTAGGGAAGGGCTGTTCATCAAGCCCATCCTTGCTGTCCTCCAACTCGAGATCGACGATTTTCACGCCCACCTTGCTTTCCGCCACGTTTGTCTTATTCACGATATCTCTCAAGACAATATTGTCGCCTTGGTACTGAAACATATTGGAGAGGCCAAATATTTCGCCCTTTCTGTCCTTCTTCTCTTGGACTCCTTTGAAGTACCGCCGTTCGGTGCTGGCCGTGTACCCGATGTTCGCCTGTTGCTGTTTATATATTTGACGGGCATAAACAATTTCTTCGATCGTCCCCGCAGACACCAACCGGAACACCTCCACATCCCTAGATTGCCCAATACGGTATGCCCGGTCCTGTGCCTGAAGGTCGTATGCAGGATTCCAATTCGGATCGACGACGACAACTTTATTGGCAGACGTGATATTTAGCCCTACTCCTCCAGCCCGGGTAGAGATTAGGAACACAAATTCTCGAGGATCGGCATTAAAACTGTCCACGGCCTTGGTCCTGTCGTCGTAGCTCATAGCACCGTCCAAATAACTGACGTTATAGCTAGTATGCTTGAAAAGCATCTGAAGCATCTTAAGAAGCCGCACGCTATGGGAAAAGACAAGAACCTTGTCTCCATTACCATGCCACCATCTGAGAAGCTTCTTCAACACCTTCCACTTTCCGCAAAACTCGTGGTTTGCATAGTTAAGGATCGAATCCCTTGTAGCATATAACTGTCGCCACTGATCCGGCAGGGCGATCTGTAGCATCTCCAGGTCTTTGTCTTGCTTCTCTGGCGAGTCTTGTGATTGCGGGATAAGAATGGCGAGGTGGTTGCTGAGTTTTTGCAAGTTTGAAATTGCCGGGAAGACATAGCTTTGCCATTTGCCCCCTTGGGGTAAGTGCATACGACAGCACCAGCCGGCTTTCTTGCCTGATCCGCAGCTGCAAGGGTCGGAGGAAGTTCTAATATAGTCAACTATATCACTGTCCAAAACCCTCTCATATGCCTCAGCCTGGGTCGGCGTGAGCGGGCAGAATACAACACGATCACTCTTCTTCGGTAATTGGTCTGCGATGAGCGTTTTCATGCGCCTAAGAAAGAAATTGGGCAGGAGATTCTCAACAAGCTTCCGCGCAGTTTTCCTTGCTTTGCTTAGTTGGTATACAGTTGCATCATGAGACTGTCCTAGTTTTAACGGGTCGCAAATTGTGGATTTCCAGGTGGACACTGGGCCAAATTTTCCGGGATTGGTCCAGTTGAGCAATGTCCAAAGCTCTTCGTATTTGTTCTGGATGGCAGTGCCTGTAAGGCCAATCCGGCAAAGAGCGTTAATTTCGTTCATCGCTTGCGCAGTTTCCGACTTCCTCTCCTTGATAATGTGGCACTCATCCGCTACAACGCAGTCCCATTCAACCATGTTAATAGCATCTTTATTGAGCACGTATGTTTTGTAGGTAGTGAGCATGATCTCCACTCGTCCGGAGGCGGCAGATTGCAAAGCTGCTTCCTTTCCAGCACCATGATATGTCTCCATGTGCCACCACCCCCATCTATCCAATTCCGATCTCCAGTTTTGCAACAGCGTCCCAGGACAAACAATTAGAGTTCTAGGATACCAAACGCCGTCTCCCCTGCGCCTCACCTTTCGCATACGTTTGGCATCTCGCTCGTCGCCTGTTTTCCCATACGCAGCAGTTAAAAATGCTATAACCTGCACTGTTTTTCCTAGACCCATGTCATCCCCAAGAATCCCCCCTTTTTGGTAAACGAATAATTCATGTAGAAATTCAACCCCGTGGACTTGATAGTCCCGTAACCATTGCGCAATTGGAGCTGGAATCAAACCTAGGGAGTAAGGGAGTTGTATGTCCTCATACTTCCGTGACGGAGAAGCTTTCTGGAAATTCGGCTTCTCGTTCAGATCTTCCAGGCGTTCGTCATCGGAGAACTCAACATCCTCAAAACTTGGAGGCAACTTCAATCCTGCCTCTTTCAGCAACGCTGTCTTCTTGTCGAATGTTGCGCGGCGGTTTTGAAGGTAACTGGGGAGGGCGTGTTCCACCAAATCATCGTCAGAAGACAATTCCCCATATTCCTTTAGCTGCCGCTGGCGTTTGCGGGATGAGTTAGCTTCCGTTGTCCTCGGCCGCTTGCCGACAATGGAATTTTGAACTGCGCCCTTAGCTTTACGTGTTCTGGCACTGGCTTCCTTGCGCTGGGTCTGCCTTCTATTTTTGAACTTCTCATATGTGGCCGTGCCATCGTCGAAACCAGCTACATCATCAAATTCCTCGTCCGATATTGATATCGTCTCCTGCTTTACGCGCACAGTTGTGGGTTCTGGGCTGTGGGCTGGTTCCGGTTGATCTGATGAAGCGCTTCCTATATCTGATTCCTGTCAGTTTCATAGGACCGACGCGATTAGTGCGGGACACCATACCTCCAATTTCGTTGTTCTCACTCCGGTGTCGCCAGATCTTAGGTGCAGTTCTCGGGCAGCCCAAGTCATCATCGTCGCTCACATCCTCACTTTGCGTGGTGGCATCGGAATCCTCCAGCTCCCAGTGGGGCCCCATAATCAACGTAGTCGCTGCAGTCAAATTCCGCGCGTTGGTCTTCGGCGACCCTGGGGCCTTGATGCGGGGAGAGATATTACACGCGAAGATCCGCGGGAGTTTCGCCAAGTCACATGAGCTCGAACAGTCAACCTAAAGATTTCCCAAAATGGTAAGAAGCTCGACTTCAAAGATTTTTAAATCTTTCCAGCTAAGAGTGTGAAATTTCATGCAAGATACCAACAATTAATGCTCTAGCGGTCTCATTTTGCGTCTTAGTTCGCCAGGAGAAATAATTATTTTCTTCCACGAAATCATCCATTCTCCATCCTTTTTTTGTTGGCTCGCCCCTCTCTAGGCCCCCCTTCGGAACTACATATTATTTCGACAACCCCGCGCACAAAAAAAAAAAAAAAAACTTACATCCACCTGCGCCTCAACGCTTTATTATATCGAGCAGCAGACGACCTGCTAGAGCGTGTGCTTGCCAGTAGTCAATTGGTGATCGGAACGTCCAAAAGGCCTTCCTTAGGCCCGGTGTCTGGTGGTTACAGAGCCCGAATGCTACAATGCCTCTCGACACATCAACAACATATCGCCTCACCAGGCTTCGGCTAGATGGCAGGCGCTGGAATGAGCTCCGTTTAATGCAAGCGCAGATCTCCACGAACCCCGCGAGCTCTGGATCATCATATCTCTCAATGGGTAATACGGTAGTTATTTGTATGGTCCATGGGCCGGCGGAAGGCCGACGATCCGAAGCAACAGGCCCTGCTCGTGAAGGTGCCGTAGTATCAGTTGCTGTCAATGTTGCAGGGTTTTCTGGGGTTGACAGGAAGAAGAGGGGTGCGACTGGCGGTGGAGGTGACAGGTTAGTAGTTTTTAATACCCCATTGCATTGGTATAGCTGTTCGTTTCCCGCTCCTCTCCCACTTGCTCATAGACAAACAAAACCTCTGACCAAAGCTGCAGACAAGCATCTACAGATCTAGCTACCGCGCTCCGTGACGCCTTCCAACCACATCTCCACACCCACCTATATCCGCATAGCACAATATCCCTTCACGTTTCCGTCCTATCATCCGACGGCTCTCTCTTTGCGGCATGCATCAACGCCTGCACCCTAGCACTGGTGGATGCCGGGATACCAATGCCCGGCCTTCTCTGCGCGTGCACCGTCGGAATGAGCGGGAGGGCATCCACCCCGGCGGCGCCTGAACTGGCCCGAGTGGGCGGAATTAACGAAAGTTTGGATCCGCTTCTCGACATGTCGATGCCCGAAGAACAAGAACTCCCATTCATGACTGTCGCGAATACGAACCCGGCGCCCACGGGGGACGATTCGATGGATGATGAGGAGGGGGAGGAGAATCAGATGCTGTCTGTTGTCCAGATGGAGTCGGGGGTGCATATTTCATATCTGGAGACTATGTTTGCGGTGGGGCTGGATGGGTGCAAGCAGGTCAGGGAGATACTTAATGGCGTTTTGAAAGCTGCGGGGCGGAAAGTGCTGGAAGGGGAGGGTGAAATATTTTCTAGTATGGAACAATGAGCTAAGACTACCTCCATCGCTGCCACTTCGTCCCAGCGGCGATGGAGGTTGGAAAACTACAACATCAAACCATTACAGGGTTCCTGAGCGAACATATGGTTGGTACATACATTGTACATGTACGTATGTAATGTACATTATTGGATGGCCCGAAACACCGCCCTTCAGAGCTGTGCACCAGCGACATTATCTACACAAAATATATATATATATATATATATATAATAAATCAGAATAAAACGGAACAAGAATACCCACCCCACCCGCACCACCAACAGCAGAGAAAGCATGATGTTATTTCCTCTCCGCATAGCCAAACCAAATCTAGTCGTCCGGCGCAGATATATATATCCAGGAGACACAAAAACCAAATCTCCCTCTTATACCTCCCTACCTCCCTACCTACCACCACATACGTCTTTTACCTTATATCTAACATACATAGACTAGACAAACTACAATAATGGTTAAAAATGTCCACCAGATAGAACCAGTGGAGTGAGGTGAGGTGTTGAGCATGTATACACACAACAGAGTACGGAGTAAAAAAAACATTGGATGGAAAAGATGAGTCAGTTCTATTTCATATCAATCACAATTGCAATTGCAATTGCAATTAGCTCTGTTTTCAACTGAGAATAAATAACACTTCATCAGAAGAAGTGACTTTGTATTCTTTCTTCTAAGTGTAGAGTTTTTCTTTTTCTTGATTGATTCATGCATATGTATTCTCTCATTTTTCTTACTACTCTATTTAGTATCTATAATCATGAGTATGTTGAATAGTTGAATTTTTTTTTTTTTTTTTTTTCTCATAATTACTATTTTCATTTCAGGTTGTAGAATTCACTTTTCATTAACTTTGCTTCAGTTCTTCTAGTCTTATTAAAAGCAGAAAAGAGTAAAAAAGGTTAAATAAAATAGACACGTCAAAACCAAATCCGTAAGGGAAAAAAAAAAAAAGCATTTCCTTTATTGAAAGTATTCAGATTACATTTTGAGTTTTATTTCATAAAACTTGCAGCTCTTTTTTTTCTTTTTCTTTTTCTTTTTCTTTTTTTTCTTTTTTTTTTTTTGGTGGTTTTCTTTCTTTTGGTTTTCTTTTTGATTCTGTCTTCATTAGTAGTATAAAAAACAGGCCAGGTTTCCCCCTTCAACCCTCAACTTTCAGCAACTAACATCTCACTCCCACCTTCCCCTTTCACTGCTGCTAACCGTATTCTGTTACATCACATGACTAACAACATCCCACGGCTTCTCCTCCCCTCACTCCCCTTCAGCATCACAAAACAGATAAAAAAAAAATTAAAGAAAAGAAGTTTTCTAGAAGAAGAAAGAGGGAAGTATTTTAGACCTGACCGCAGTTGACGATCTTGGGCTTGATGTTTGTTTTGATGGCGCCGGAGCTGCTGCCACTGCGCTCGATATCGCGGACAACATCCATGGACTGCTTCTTGTTGGGACCAAGTCTACTGGTGGGGGTATCTACGACCCTGCCAAAAACGACGTGCTTGCCATCGAGCCAGCTGGTCTTGGCGGTGGTGATGAAGAATTGGGAGCCGTTGCTGTTGGAGGGGAGGAAAAGTAAGTTAGTTTGATGGTTGGAGGGAGAAAAGAAATTGGAAAAAATAGGGATATATAAAAAGTTGTAAGAATGTTCTTTGTTGAAAGATTTGAACAAGGGGTACTTACGTGTTGGGACCAGCATTAGCCATGGAGAGGATGCCAGGGCCCTCGTGGGTGCACTTGAAGTTCTCATCAGCGAACTTCTCGCCGTAGATGGACTTGCCACCAGTGCCCTGTCAAAATCAAAATGAAATAGAAATGGTCAGTTTTGTTCCATTTATATATAATATATAACCAACACAACACCAAAAAAAAAAAAAAAAAAAAAAAAAAAAAGGTATAAACAAAGGAAATTGGAACTACATACGTTGCCACGGGTGAAGTCACCACCCTGGAGCATGAACTCGGGGATGACGCGGTGGAAGACGGAGTCCTTGTAGCCAAAGCCCTTCTCGCCGGTGCAGAGGGCACGGAAGTTCTCGGCGGTCTTGGGGACGACGTCGTCGAAGAGCTCAAACTCAATTCGGCCGATGGTAGCTATAGAGCAGCAAAAAGTCAGGTGAAGGCGGAGTGTTAGTCAGCTAAACACGGAACATTGGGAAGGACATGACTGAGATGCTGGGTTGCCCGCAATTGCACGCCAATGATAGATGCAATTGGCGATATTATTGTTACATTGAAGGGGGAAACAATGGGAGATACAGTGAATGAGATGGAATTGATGGAATTGATGGAATTGAATTGGGAATGATGCCAATTCCTTTCAGGAGTGATAGGAAAGTAAATAGATATAAATATAAATATATATATATATAGATAGATAGATAGATAGATATATATGGGGGGGGGTGGGGGAAGGGTCAAAACATACACTGGTTGGGCTGAGCCGGGTCGGCGTACTGGACCTCGAAGAAGGTTGTGATAGTCATGGCTGCGGCGGATGAGTGGAAAGCACGTAGACGGGAGTTGTGGATGGAGTGGTTGGAGGCGTAGAGCGAGCGTAGAGGCGAGGAAGCAGACGAGAGGGTGGAAAACGACGACGACGAGGAGGAGGAGGAGAAGGAGGAAAAAGAAGAACGGAGGAGGAGGAGGAAGGAGGAGGAGGAGGAGGAGGAGGAGGCGAGCGAAGAAAAAGGAAGAGGGGTTGACAGCAAGGTGGGGCAGCGGGCGAGGAGGGGCATGTTTGCGCTGTTTGCTTGTGACGAGGATGTTCTGACGCTCGGGTTACGGTATGGTACGGTATGATACGGTATGAATGTATGTATGTATGTAATATTCTGAGACAGTCAGCATCATCAATAACATCACAGGGAATACCAGTAGTTGTTTTATCAATAAACAAACACATAAACAAACACATAAACAAGCATACAAATAAATAAATAAATAAATAAAAGCAAAGAATGAAGAACAGAAACCACTTACACAAAATATATAGTAGTAGTAACAAACAAGTCGAAGAAGAAGAGAGAGAGAGAGAGAATAATCTACGGGAGACAAGTTAGCCCACTGCTGCCAGTCTCACTCTCTCCGCCTTTGTTTGGTCTCTTCTTTTGTTTCTTCCTTTCTTTCGCTGCAAGGGGCAGCGGAGGGAGGAGAGAGGACAAGGACAAGGACAATAAAATCAATAATAATAATCATTCCTTTCCTCCCCCCGTGTCGTATCTGCGTCAATAATAAAATAATCCACCTCATCCGATGGAACTTGTTGGATTGTTTGGATTGAAATAGTTAGATGCCACCACCCACAACATCATCCCACACATCATCCATCCCCCTTCCCCATACATAAGCCAAGCCAAAACACACGAATTGTAGAGGAACCCCTCGGGGAAAAAAAGGAGAGAATGGGGATGAGAGGGAGAGAGGGAGAGAGAGAGATATATATATATTCTATACTTACATACAAAAAATAAAATACCCTTTGCGGTGGTTTGGAATTGATGCTGTGTAGGAACCAGTAGTAGGGAGAAGTCAGTCGGGGGGAAGAAAAAAAAAATATAAAAAATAATGGCAAGGAAAGAAGAAGAAGAAGAAGAAGAAGAAAAAAAAAAAAGGGGGAGAGAAAAGACCAGAGTTGCACAAGAGGCGATTTCGGGCTGCCGTAGCTAGTTAAATAACTAGTCCGAAGTCGTTCGGAGGGAGATTGTACGGAGTAACTTAAACGGTAAAATAACTTTTAAGAAGAAGCTTGCAGGTAATCAATCCATCCCGTACGAACTGGTTACGATTTCTCTTTTTCGGGGTTGGAGAATAATACGAAACCAGGCAACGTCACACACAGCCTCCAGACAGACAAGACAGCATGCAATAAATATGAAGCCAAAAAAACACCTTGTCTCAGAAAAGGAGAGAATAGACATAATATATTTCTTTTCAACTAACCCATCTCTTCATGTGTTGTTGTGAGACTTTTTTTTTTTTTTTTTTTTTTTTTTGGAATACACACACACACATACATACATACATAAAAAATTAATAAAGCAAAAATAAATACCCGGACGCTCATATGCAGCAAGAACGGAATTCCAATAATATATATATATATAAAAGTAAAAGTAAAATAAAATAAAATAAAACAGCTCCAAGCCGGGCCAAGTATATATGAATGATCTTGCAAAGGTGAATGAAATGAATACTCAAGAGAAGAAATAATATGATTTGAATCGACAGTTATGTTGCTAAAGGGGGGGTCGGACCAAAAAGGTTAGAAAGGAGTTGGTCGGTCGGTCGGTCGGTCGGTCGAGACTGGAGAGGAGAAGAAGTAGTAGGATGAAAAATACAAAAATGTTATCGAACAAAAACAAGTTGCTGAAGAAACGATGTAGAGATAGGGAGGTATATAACACCCCCTCCCCCTTCTTCCTCTCGTATGCGCTGCTGAAGAAGGAGGGAGAAATGAAAAAAAAAAAAAAAAAAAAAAGAAGAAGACCAAAAAATTGGGGCGATCGCTGAAGGGAAGGCTAAGAAATCAGAAGTAAGATATTTAAAAAAAAAAAAAAAAAAAAGAACAACCCGTATCATCACGCAGAGGTACAGTACATGCAGTCTAGTCCATTAAAACGAAAGCCCAGGGAAGGGGAATATGCAGACGTCCGAGAGAAGGGGAGGCTTCGCGTATGAAGAAAAAAAAAGAACAAGGAAAAAAAAAAAAAAAAAAAAAAAAAAAAGGCATTTTATTCCTTTTCCTTTTCCCACACCTTTCGATGAAGGTTGTTGAAGGTTTTGATATTTTTCTTTTCCCTCAAATCATCATCGGAAATCATCATCATCATCATCATCATCATCATCGTCATGATCCTCTGCACCCCTCCACCCCCCGATCGGACCTCCCCCCATTCCTTCTCCACCCCCTCCTCCACCATGATTCCCACTCCCCACCATCTCCATCTGATCAAGCCGCTGCACCAACTCCTTTGTCTCCCGCGCAATCTGAAACGCAATGGGCGGCAACTTCCCCGTAACCTCCCGCATCTCACTAACACTCAGGGCCTGGTTACCCTCTGCGCCAGCCTCGGCGAGCCTATCGCGGCACTCGGAGAGGATGCGGATGATGGGCCCGGCGCGGTCGCGGAGGATGGTATTATTATTAACATTAAGGTCAGTATTACTATGGTTATCATTATTATTGTTGCTCTGGTGATGGTCTTGGTGCTGCTGTTGCTGTTGTTCTTGGCGCGTTATGGCAGATTCCGTGGCGTCGATGACTTTGCTGACGACGGCGGAGATGGCGTCAATATGCGTTCGGATGGCGAACATGTCGTCTGGCTCGGCGCGGATGGAGGAGACGAGGGCTTGGATGGACTGGACGACGCCTTCGGTTTGGTCTTCGAGGTATAACTATTCACCCCAATTTCTTTCTTTAGCATTCAGTGCGGAGAAAAGAATATGCATACTTTAAGTCTCAACATATACATAATTGGAGGGTGGGGGTTATATATAATTACCCTAAGCTCCTCCAACTCCCCATCTAACTCACTAATCCCAAGGCCAGGCCTCAGACCCCCGCCTGCAAGTAGCTGCCCGCTGGAATACGTCTTGCGGTGAGACGGCGGTAGACGTGAACTCGTCCGGCCAGGTGAGCGTGTCGAATGCGGCGAGCTGATGGCGCTGTAGACGGAGTCATTCCCGCTCATCCGGCTCAGACTGGGCGGGACGCTGAAGTACGCTGGCGACTGCATGGATCCCAAGTTATCATCATCGTAATCGTCTTCACCAAGTTCGTCTGCAGGTGTGGGTCGGACTTTGACGGTGCGGACGAGCTCGATGATGGCAGCGGTGAGATGCGAGGCGGCGGCGTCGAGTAGGGAGACGGGCGACATCCCGTTGGAGTTTGCAAAGTTCTTCGAGGCTGTGATGAGGTTGTTGGCAGTGGCGGAGACGCGGGCTTTTGCTCTGCTGCGCGACTGCGTGTGTTCATCCGCCCCGCTCCCTTGTGCATTTTCGATGTCCCGGGTGATGTAACGAACGGCGAAGACGACGGCCTTCATCTGTTCGAGAACCTGTGCTGGTTCCGAGATCCGTGCCGTGCGAAGTAGTTCGTCAATCGACATCTGGAATTTCGTAAAGTGCACATCCTTGACCAATCCATTTGGATGGCTTAGATCGTTGTCCTTTGCTATCGTAGTGGCATCTTGTATGCCACCAGGCAAGCCACTCGACGAAGATCGTAGATGTCGTAACTGCGATTTCGTCTTTGCATACCGATTCTTCCAGATCTTGACCTCTTCCTCCATTCGTTGAAAGTCGTGCGTGAGGCGTTCTTCACGTTCCCATTGCTCCTGAGTCCGTTCAGAAAGGGCGCGCATCTCCTGGAGGAAGTTGGAAGCCTCTTTTCGGACCTGCTCGGTCACTTCTCGTTGTTTTCGAAGCTCTTCTCTAAGCTCCTGGTTCTCCCGTTCAATATCTTCAGCCCGTGATTTCCATACTCCGCCATCTGTGTCTATGTCTGTGTCTGTGCCTGTGCCTGCGCCTGCCTTCTCAGTAGCCGCGGCAGCGGCAGCCAAAGCCTGTTGTATTTGCTGCTGTAGAACCTGTTCTGAGGCTTCATACTCTCTCCGCTCGCCCTCCAACTGATCCTGCAGGGAAGCATTGAGATCCTCCGCCTCCGAAAGCTTCACTTCCAAATCTAGTTTCATCTTATCCCATTCTTCTTTTGCACGATTCCAGTCTTCCCTCATACTTTCCCACTCTCGTCTCTCCGAATCCCAAGCCTTCATCATAAACCAAAAATGTTAGTAAAAATGTAACCAACAAAATAACAAGCAAGAGATAAAAACTAAAAAGGGGTCCAAAACATGGCAACAAAGAACCAAAGAAAAGCCCACATTAGAATTATTAGCCATTTCCGCCTTCAGCGTCTCAAGCTCTGCATCCTTCGATTTCTCCAACTCTTCTATCTGTTTCTTCAACTGAGACACCTGCCCCTGCACCTCTGCCAATTTCTGCTTATCGCTTTCCGAGCCCCCACCTCCACCCACACCCACACCCACACCCACACCCACACTATCCGTCGTCGTAGTCGTCCTCCGACTCTGCAACACCTTATCCAAGGCAAACGCATCACTCCGCCGATCAGGATCATTATCATCGTCATACCTACTTGCCGCATCCTCCTCTTCATCAACATCAACATCAACATCAACATCACCATCCTCCTCTTCCTCCTCTTCCTCCACCATAGTGCTCTTATTCGGCACTATAGTGTTACTCTGGAATGATTTCGGAAACGGCGCGTTTTCAGGAATAGTCTCCTCATTGATCCCTAAGCCTGCAGCACCAGGTGCACCGCCGCCGGCACCGGAAGAGTGACTCAACGAGCCTTGCCGGGGAGGGAATCGGCTCCCCTGGTGGGGATTTGGTGGCAAGCCTCTTCCACCAGGCCCGGGGCCAGGACCGGTGGCCTGTGGCATGGGACCTCTGGATTGAGTTCGTGGGGGGGCAGGGTAGCCATTTGGCCCATAGCCGAATGATCCATTGGAAGCCGGGCGAGGATCGTAGCCGTTGCTAGTGAGTCCCGAGCCGTAACCGCCGCGCACGCTGGGTGCGGGACTGACTCTGCGACTCCGATCCATGCCGGCAAAATGCGGGAAGCGCCGTTCCAGTTCACACAGCACGTCTGTAGCCAAGTTTCTGAATCTGGGTTGTTGGAGCGAGGAGAGGACCTGGCGGGCTTGGTTACGCTTTTCGTGGAATTCCTGGCGCGGGGGGAGGTAAGGGGGTACATCTGGTCGGGGCCCGCCGGGTCGATTGGGCGAGACTGCCTGGCGACGGAGTAGCTCGTCATACACATCTGTACTTAGATCCATAACCTGACTCGGTGAGAGTCTGAGGAGCTTGTCGCGTGCCTTGTTGGGGTGTAATGCCGTAGGATCCTCCCGTCCTTGTCCATGCAAGTATCGTTTCAGTACGGTATAGTGCTTCAGCAGCAGGTCCTCCATCATCTTGTACCTCTTGCTTCTCTGATCGGAAAGGGTTCCATCGCTCGCTCTCGACCTGGACGTGACCGAACTGGGAGGTGAAGGGTTCTGGGACATGTCTGAAGGGCGACGCGGAGCAAGGCCATTGGTGCTGCTTCTACTGCCATTGGGAGCAGGGTCAGGAGCGTCCGGGGCATGCATTTGCAACGGACTGTAAGGCGGGCCACCTGAGGCAGATATTGGGGGAGAGGCTAGGGCGCTTCGGCCGTGCGGGAGAGCGGGAGACTGTGGTGTATCGGACTTGCCGCCCATCGACTGGTAGCGGTCGACTCCGGACCATTCGCTTCCATCGGTGGAAGAAACGGGTGACATTGTCCTTGGGTGAGCAAGTATACCATTCCCCCACAGAAGCGCAGTCAAGGAAGCCAATGGATTCGGGAGGAAGCGAGGATATGGGAGTGAGAATGAGAGTGAGGCGGGCGGAGTGTCTGTGTTTTATTGAGGACTTCAAAAAAGCATGAGGAGCCCGTATATTATCTACTATCTGCCCGACGCCGCGGTAAAGTTCCCAGCAGGGAATTCTGGTCTGTTATATTTATCCTTTTCGTATACTCCAGCTTTCCCGACAGAGAGTGTTTCCACTAGTTGAAGAGAGCGCGGCCTGGGCTAGGGTGAGGGTAGCAAACGATTGTGTTTTAGATAGCGGTATTTACAGGAGGAAGAGGAGTTATTAAAAGGAGGGTTCGGGCGGAATGACGAAATAGCGAGGGCTGGAGGGATTGTAACAGGCTCATAGAGACGAAAGGAATGGCGGTAGATTCATTAAATCGTTAAAAGGGAAACAAAAACCCGTGTAGAGGAAAATGATTGTTTCGGGGACAGGCGGTGATGGGGGTGGTTTCTTTTGCGGAGAAGAAGCGTAGAGTAGTAGTAGTCGTAGTAGTAGTAGTAGTAGTAGTAGTAGTAGTAGTAGTAGTAGTAGTAGTAGTAGTAGTAGTAGTAGTAGTAGTAACTAGTAGTAGTCGTAGTAGTAGTAGTAGTAGTCTGGTTCGTCTGGATATATTAAAAGGTTGGTTTGAGGACGAGGAGGACGAGGAGGAGGAGGAGGAGGAGGAGGAGGAGAGGTTGAGGGCGCTTGGCTGATAAATAAACTAAAAGTTAGTTAATAGGTCTTCGATTCTGTTTTCACCCCCCTCACTCACCCCTTGAACAAGCAGGGCAACAAAAGCAGGTTTTTCGCGTTGTTTTCTGCTAGTTGCTGCTGCATATGAGAGGAGACGCGAGAGAGGCGTTGGAAAAAGTGCTATAGTAGGAATAATAAAAATAAATATTGAAAAAAACAAAAAAGACAAGAAAAACAAAAAAGAAAAAGAAAAAAGAGACGATCTTCGGGATGGCAAGGCAAGGCAGGGCGACGGTTGTTGGAATGGCTGTTAGATCCAAGCCTGGTCTGGCTGAGGTAGGTAGGGTAGTTAACGAGGAAGAGGATGAGGTATTAATGGATGATGGGAGATGGGAGATGAGGCACCTCTTGATCCGTAACTTCGCCTTCACAGCGGCGAGCAGAGGAGGAGGAGGAGGAGGAGGAGTTGAATCTGGTGAAGGGTGAACTGGTTGAACTGGTTGAACTTAGCAGAAAGGAAAGGGGGAGGAGACAACAGTAACAGACAACAGACAACAGACAACAGGAAACTAGACAACAAGCGCGCGCTATAGTTACGGGGGCAAGCAGCGGCACGAGAAGAGAGACAGGATTCAATTTAAAATGAGCACGATTTATTCTATTCTTATTCTTATTATTATTATTATTAGGGCTAGTAAATAAATAATATAAGATTATACTCTATATCAATATCACCCTATCCATACATATACATACATACATACATACATACATACATGCAGAACTAGTCTATCCCAGTTTCTTTCCCGATAAAACTACTCTGTACATACATAGTACAATGTATGTACATACAGCCCAGCCATGGCCATTTATTTATTTATTTGCCTTTGCGCCAAAAATCCTCTATTCTTCTCCTCAGCGTTGGTAACTGGTAAGCCGATTGGGGGATTTGTTGAAGAATCCTACCTATCCTATCCTACCTATCCTATCCTACCTATCTATTCAGGGGAGGGACCAAGCAAGGACCAGCCAGGGCTGGCCCGGCTTGAGGTAAATTTTTTTATGTTGAAAATAAATTAACTTAACAAGTTACGCTAACTAACTACTCTAACTAACTTAACTACGCTGCTACTACTCCGTACTCCGTACACTGCGCCCACAACTACGGGAAGTACGCTGGAGTACGCTGTTCACACCCAACCAACCCCACACCTTAGGCCCGCTTTTGGGGGAGGGGTGGTTGGGTTTCCTTGGGGGCAGCAATAAGAAATGGATGAAACCTCCATTCGCATTGGAGGATATTTATGAGATATTTAGATGTGTCAAATGGAAGAGTCACTAGGTAGCGGTGTATTTATATCTCTCTAGGTACAGTACAGTATTTGCGTAGGTCATGTACACTACACTCATCCATCCATCCATCATCAGGGCGCGCTGGGCCTGGGTGGGAAGGAAACATGGAACCCTCCCTCGAGAAGAAGAGAAAAAAGAAAGGGAAGGGAGAGAGGACCAAGAAATCGACGAGATGAGAAAGAAAGAAAACACCTCAGCCAAGTCCGCCAATTCATTCACTGCAAGCAGCCATCAAGAAACCCTGCTTGGGCCTGCGAGGTAGATTTGCCTTTTCTCTCCTCTCCCTTGCATCAAGCCCGGCCCGGCCCGGCCCAGTCCAGCCCCCTTGTTCATTTTCCGTACATGGCTTTATTTAGTTATTTCTTTGGAAGGAGAAGCTTAATCACATCAAGGACATCAAACCGACAAAAAAAAAAGTAACTGACGCGAGAGGGGAAGAAATGAAGAAAAGAAGAAAAGAAAAGAAAAAGACGAAGAAAGAAAAAGGAAAAAAAAAAAAAAAAAAAAAAAAAAAAAAAAATTTACCTGGGACATTTTGACCAAAAAGTACATTACATTATAAAATAATTATGAGTTCAGGAAGAAAAAAGGGAAGATAGAAACAAAATATCCAGGGGATATATACGCTCCATATATGCCATGGTGGGAAAAAAAGGTGAAAACGAAAAAGATGAAAAAACGCAAAAGAAACAAAATATGAGTAAATTAATCGTATCGTCACACGAAAAAAGGTAGACAACAGCCTCAATCACCAATCACCGCCCCGCACCAGATGCAGGCGTCATCCCCAACCCGACCGCCGCCGCCCCCACCGCCGCCGAAACAGGCGTAATAGACCTCGTCGACGCAGCAGTCGTCGCCGGCGCACTGCGATTATGGGCCATATGTGCCTTGACAAGATGGCCCGCGGCCAGCGCGCCGCACAAAGAGAGCTCACCCGCGAGCACGGCAGCGGCGACGATGCGGGCGAGACGGCGGGCGTTGTCGCCTGGGTTTGTCGGGTGCGGGCCACGCACGCCGAGGAGCTCGAGCATGGCGGATTGGGTTTCGAGGATTGTGCCGCCGCCTATTGTGCCTACTTCGATGGAGGGCATGGAGACGCTTATTTGGAGGTTGCCGTTTACGCTGTTGGAGGGTTGTTGGGGTTAGTACGAGGAGATGATGGATGATGTGGGGAGAAATGAAAAGGGGAAATTTTGGGGGGGGGGGGGGGGAGGTAACTAACTTCTTCATCATGGTGATACAGTTGCTACTCTCGACATTCTGCGCGGGATCCTGGCCCGTCGCGATGAATAGAGCCGTGACGATATTAGAGGCATGCGCGTTGAACCCGCCAATGCTACCCGCCATCGCACTCCCGACGAGATTCTTGCTAATATTCAGCTCCACAAGCGCGTCCACATCGCTCTTCAGCACGCTCCGCACCACATCACCAGGTATAATCGCCTCGGCAACAACAGCCTTTCCACGCCCGTCAATCCAGTTAATCGCAGCCGGCTTCTTGTCCGTACAGTAATTCCCGGACACGGAGATGGTATCCATATCCTCAAACCCAGCCTCCGTGGACATGACATGCAGCGCCTTCTCGACGCCCTTGGAGATCATGTTCATGCCCATCGCATCGCCCGTCGTGGTCTTGAAGCGGATGTAGAGGTTCGTGCCGGCCATGGCCGTTTTCATGGACTGCAGGCGCGCGAAGCGGCTGGTGGAGTTGAAGGCGTTCTTCATCACGGTCTGGCCTTCTTCGGAGTCTAGCCAGACTTTGGCAGCGCCGGCACGGGCGAGGGTTGGGAACGCAACGCAAGGCCCGCGGGTCATGCCGTCGCCGGTGATGACGGTGATGGCGCCGCCGCCGGCGTTGATAGCCTTGCAGCCACGGCTTGTGCTCGCGACGAGGACACCCTCCGTTGTCGCCATGGGAATGAAGTAGCTTTGGCCGTCGATGGTGAGCGGCCCTGCGAGACCGAGAGGGAGCGGGAGGTAGCCGATGACGTTTTCGCAGCAGGCACCGTGGACGAGGGTGTAGTCGTAATCCTTATACGGCACCTTGGAGCTTTCGAGTGAGCTGGTCAAGTACGCGGTCTGAGGGTTCCTTGCGGTAGCGGCTCTTCTGATCTTCACGGCTCTCGTCAGCGCATCGATGCGGGGAATGCTTGGGTCTTCCATGGTCTTCTCCAGAGCATAACCAGGTATTTTCCCGCGGACCGAAAGATCAATTAACTCCTCATCTGTCAAAAACGGTGCCATCTTCTCCTTGAGCAACTTCTCACACTCCTCGCGCGAGCGAAGCGTGCCATTAGCCTTAACCTCCTGTTTCCTCTGCTCCTTCTCATGGTCAATCTCAGGTTCCTTGGAGATTTCATTAACAGGTTCCGGCTCCTTAATACTCCACCGCGCAGCGTTAAACAGGTATCCATTGAGAATAACACTTAATGTCAGAGCGGCTATAATCCACTTGCTGATGATCGGATCGTCGAGACTCTTTAGGAGGCTCTCGATAACTTTACCTCCAACAGCATCCAAAAATTGATCCGTATATTCAATATCAAAAATACCACCTTCCTCCGCTCCGGCATAGTGAACAGAGGGGTACTCAAGGTTATACTTGATAGGCGCTAGCACGGTAACAACGGATTCCAGCTGCTTGCTCTTCGCATCCACATAAATCGAATCCAACCCATTCTCTGCAACTTTGAACGGATCAATCGGGGCTGGTGAAAGCAAATTGGAAAGTTTCGACAGTGCCGGGAAAACGAGCCCATCCCCACGGTTTCGGAACGGAAGGGTGCAAATATTGAACACATTAACAAGCACGAATCCACCGACCATCAGAATCTTAAACTTGGGCACGCTACTCGCCTTGACCTTCTTGCCGAATACCCCATTGGTATTTCCCTTGGATTTTCCATTCGCATCAGTTCCCTCAGGGCTCATGCGGGGCCAGTCATTGCTCGCCGCCACATTTTCCGCGACGGTGCGGGTAATGCCGTCCTCTTCCAGCGCTTTGCGGAGAGCCACATGTCGCTTGATCCGGTTGATCTCCAGCTTGATACATAGTATCGTGGTGTAGAAGGTGAACAACAAAACGCAGTCGAAAAACAGGATCCAGGCAGCGAGGAAGCAAAACTGTCGCAGGCCACCCTGAACCCCAGATGCAGCACCAGCAACCAAGATCGCAATTTCGATACAGTAATCGCGAACGATTTCAACACCCTTAGCTTTGATGGCGAATTGGATGGCGTCTTGTATGGAGCTTGGCGAGGAGACGGTGGTTGAGCCTGCCTGTCTAGGAGGGGCCTGGCGGCGAGTATCCAGCGAAGCTGACAGGACAGCTTTGGTCAGGATGATGGGTTTTTCAAATCCGATCGTAACTACCAGGAAAGGAAGTCCTTCTGACAAGAGCACCATGTTGATGGGAACGCCGAGTTTAGTCGTGACAAGGAGGCCAAATAGGAACGCAAAGACGCTCGAGAAGAGCACGGTGGCTGCGAGCCAAAATTTGGAGCCGAGACGTCTCATGGACAGGAACAGGGACACAAATGTTAGATGCATGGATATATACCCCAGAACCATGATAATTATATCCACGGTTTCCGCATGCTGCATACATTAGAAAATTAGTACACATTCTCAGCTATTTTCAATTGCTATGCCATGCTATCCATCCATAGGTATTCAGTGCTTCGAAAAAAAGGGAGGAAAACTCACTTTCAAAAGATCAACAAACGAATTCCAGGCATCTGTAAGCCAAATCCGCAAAACCCGTCGCGAGCCAGAGCCTGAGCTACGCGCAGCTTTCATGATCCACTTCTTCTGCTCCGTCGAGCCATCCTCGGCATCCTGCTCCGCTGGAATCTCCTGTGCCGCTTTCAAGAAATCGGATATCTGATCATAAGGCACGGCAAACGCCAATGACGAATCGTGCGATATCGGGGAGAGCAAATTGGGCGTATGTGGGATAGGCACTGCGGAGCAGTTGGCTGGAACTGCGACGTTCTTCGCTGCCGGTGGTGCCTGTGGGGACCGGGCGGATGAATCCGGGAAGACGAATGTTGTCAAAGCCAAATGCTGTACATTCTGTATGTTTTATAACAACAAATAATAACCCGGTTAGCCCCCCCCCCAAACCAAAAAAAAAAAAAAAAAAAAGAGAGAGAGAGAGAGAGAGAGAGAGAAAGGGGGGGAGAGAGAAAGAGGTTCAGCGGAGACATTTGATAAAAGCGATGTATACCTTCGCATCCTCCACCTGTACAGCATTATCAATCTGCCACCTCCACCCTGTAGCTTCACCCAGTCGCAGATTCCTCGCCCCAGTTAACAACGGCTCAACATCCAGCTGTCCCGGGCCTGCGCCCACGTCTCTCACGGCGTCAAACAGGCTCCCCTCGAGAAGCCCAACATAGGTTGTACTTGCCAGCAATGCGATGACGACGATGGTATGGATGGGATGTAGACAGGCTCTGCTGGAGGCGGCCTGCAGCGCTGTGGTCAAGCGGCGATTGAGCCACCCGGCCTCTGCGGAGTCGACAGCATTGACGTTGCGGAACCGTTGGGGAAGAAGCCAGGAGCCCCTCATGGTTTTTTTCTTGGGGGGGGGGGGGGGGGGGTGTTTTTCTCGCGATTTTTTAAGTGTTTCTCTCTTTCTCCGGAACTCGAGAATGGTATTTTGAGCTCTTGTTGCCGAAGCCAATGCTGTCTGTTCCCCGGTTAAAAGAACGTATGCGACTTTTAAGTCTTAGGGGACGAGAAGGCTTTGATCGATGGGCGGACGAGACAAAAAAGAAAAAGGAAAGGGGGATGCCGGCTATCTAATCATCACAATAGCGGACATTGAGGTAATAAGACTCGGAGGGACCGGAAGAAAGAAGACGTCGAAAACGCGATGATGGTATACAAAGCCCTAGACAAAGAAGTAGATGTTAGATAGTTCATTGGTAAGGTGTTGTTGGTGTTTCTTCTGGTGGTGAGCACAGCAGCTAGCTGCCTGGAACAAGGGGGGGGGGCGAGAAATGTTGATTTGATTGATGTCTTTGGGACTATACTATAGTAGCTCTTGTATACTCACACAAACGACGAAACCAGCTCCTGGGAAGCGGAGGGAATATGGTTTACTGGGTAGAATATTGGAATTGAAGGATTTCCAGAGGACGAGAAAAGAAAAGAGATTGAAAAAGACCGGATAAAAAAAAGTATGTAGGAGGGTGGGCGAGAGAAGATCTGCACCGCCCAAGTCGCTGGGTAAGCCACACAAACGGGAGAAGGAGGAATTGAGTGAAGGTGTGTGAGAAATGAAGAGTTCCTCCTGGCTAGAGTAGCATAACTACGCAGTAGCGGGAGGGAGAGGAAGAGATAAGAATTGGCAAAGGTGAGTGAGGACGAGGAAAAACGCGGCCGTTTATTGTGGCAAGTCGAGAACCGGTTGGTTGGTTGGAACTACGCAGCGTATGTAACAGCGTATGAGCTAACCAGTGGAAGGGATGAACAAGCTAACTAACTACTCCGTAACTAGTAGTGGGCCTCTAGCAGTTTGGCGCCTCAGCAGCAGCAAAGAGGAGGGAGCGAGCGCAGAGTGGATGCGACCAAGTTGAAGGGTATTTTTTTCTTTCTCTCTTTGGCTGGGTTTTTCGCCTGCCTTGGCTTGTTCCTTTCCCCCTTTTGAGTCTAAACCGAGAACGGGGGAACGCCCAACAGGAACGCCCATACAACCCCTAACGCCCCCGACCCCGACCCAGAACTCGGGGGTCTCCAGGGCCTGAAGCTGAGCGTGGTGTAGCTTAGAGGGGCGCTGCTACAGCCTACAGTATGTAGTCCTAGCCGCCCATTCTTCTTCTCACCGCCCCTTCCACGCTAGGCTTCTTCGCGCTATTTTACCGCCGGATTATCACGTTTTTCCGGAACTGCACCCGCTGTTTTTTTTTTTTCCCTCCTGACAAGCGCCGACGCAACGTGGGATGTTTGTTTGACACTGCTGTGTACTCCGTACGGAGTACTGTACTGTACTGTCAGATCTTTCAGTTGCTGGCCATGGAATGCGCTGCACCCGGCATAAAGAAAGAAAGGATAGTAGAAAGGATAGTTAGTTACCTTATAGTTAGGACTAGTTACCACTTGCGTGCCTCCAAACATTGTTTCTTTAACCTTTTTTTTTACTCTTTTAACTTCCACCGTGTTTTCCGCTCCCTCATTAACTTCATATTCAACCCCCCTCAAATCCTATTAAACAATCGCAAAGGCTTAATTGGCTTTGATATTGTCGCTTACTCAAGAGCACCAATGCAAGCTTGCATTTACTTTCATTTCTCTTCGCATGGCATGACGCCAACAATATGCCATCCGCAGCGCACTCCGTACATAACATGAACACTCGCCCGGCTACCCTTCCGTATGTACGGAGTATGTATGTATACATGTACTGTACATGTATGATGTAAGGCAGGTAGACAGTCCTGTGTGCAAGTTTGGTTTCTCGGATATGCACAAGCTATGGCCTTCCCGTGTCCCCGAGAATTAATTCCATCGAATCGGAAATATTATTCAAAGATCCCCCCGGCTCTAGTTAACGCAACCGTCAGTGATGATGCTGATGACGGAGGCCGGGCCCTCTTTTCTTTCCAGAAACCGTAGTCCATGTTTGGTACCACGTATCTCTTCCTTTTTTTTTTTTTTTTCCCTATATTTCTTGTCAGATCTGCCGCAAAAATGACCATTCTGATGTCATGTTGGACAAGCTGTCTATCACGGAAGCTCCAGTTGTCCTACCTTATCCAACTCGTTTTTCCCTTAATTATATATTTTTAATACCCACATGGAGGAGATCATTAAACATATGTTGTTCATATGACGTATGTACGACATACAGGCGAGACAAGCAAGATCTAGCTGTGTCCTCATCCTCTAGAATTACTCTGTACATACATGTTCATGTACAGTACATGTACCATGCATGCCGGGGTACATTTTCTACATGCTTATCTTCTCATTCTCCTTGTCTCCTCGTCTCTTCTCCACTCTACCTTTTTGATAAAGGAAAAGGCGCGATCAGTCTACCCCACCGCTTTTACCCCCCTCGATGACCTGTATAGGATAGGTCCCCTAAGATTTCATACTTACATGGATGGGTACATTCATCAATCGTCAGTCAGGCACCACATCATATTTTCCATCCTTTCGCTCCTTCACTACGCTGTAGGAAAAAACCTACCTAAACGAGAAGAAGAAGAACATTGCCCACCAGCAGTATATACGCTCGTATAGAGATGGACAAATGTGTAACCCCCCTTCCTTTCCCCTCCAGCCGCAGAGCGCAGAGCGCAAAACCCGAAAACCCGTACTACTAGGAGTAGTAGTAGGAGGAGAAGGAGGAGGAGGAGGAGGAGGAGGGAGCCGGGGCTCGGTGCTCTCTCCGTATAGAGGTAATACTAATAATACACGGCTGCGGGGATCGGAATCGGGGCAAAAGCTTGAAGGTTGAAAGGTTCTTCTTTTCTTTTTTTCTTTTCCCCGGCATGGCTGCTATCAAAAGTCTCCATCTGGCCGCATGCGTAGCTAGATCCTCTGATGCATATGGATTGGGCCAATGAAGGCGGTGGGAGGTGGAGATTAATGTCCATTCATGGGCAAAGGGAGGAGAAGAGAGAAGAGAGAAGGGAATAAATCGGTTGAAGCTTCTTATATGTAGCTTATCATACATAGATAGGTATGCGAACGACACTTTCAAATTTATGTAGCCGGCCTGAACGGTATACAGCGTACGTTGAGCAGTCAGGCAGACAGGAGCGAGGATGAATTAGGAAGTGTTTATCTAACATTAGGATGTATGTATGATAAATGGACAGACACATTATGGATGATGACATTTAGTTTCTTAATTAAGTCTGACCTTGTAGTTATGTATCTATTTTTACTATTTATTTGTCCGCGTTATTAATTCATGAATTCATCTTCCTGTTGGATCAGGAGTTTAGAAGAATAGTTAGGGTCCCATCTGGCGTGTTGTTTAATTTAAAAGAAAAAACTCTTGATCCGTTTCTTCCTTTTTCCTCCCTATGCTCAACAATGTTGATTATCAATAGATAGTTGTTCTTAGAGTATAATAGCTCTGATGCCTGCCCAGGGTCTACTACGCCTCTAACCCTCGCCCTCGCTTTCAATAATATTATAGTGTCAACTGACAAGAGCCCAATGCCCTTTCCCTTTGCCCTGGTTTTTATGGTCTGGTTTCTGAATAGCTGGGTCGTAATGTTGTTCTGCATGAAGGGGCAAAATAACTGGAAAACCCAGAAAACAGCAAGGCAGGGCATCAATCTCGGTTGGTAAAACTCGCCGTGTCGAATGTTGAATGCCCCTGTAGGAGTATTCCTTTTGGTTGGTTGGTTGGTTGGTTGGAAAGTAAAGGCCAAGAGAGAGAGAGAGAGAGATATTGACAAGCAGAAGAAGAAGAATATTAAATCATCTCCATCTGCAATGCTGGAGCTAATGACAATTTGTGTTTCTAATCTTTCAATCTTTCAGGGAACTCTGTTTGTTTCATCTCAATCCCGCCTGCAAGAAGCTATGTGGCAGCGGATAATAACCCGTCGTTCGTGTTTCAGCAGTGTTGACCAGTCGGGGTTGTTCCTGGCTGGCCGTCCGCCGCTGTTGGCTTGCAGCAACAACACCAATCTTTCCCTCGTTCATCTCTTCTTTCTCTCCTCCACGTAACCTATTTACTCGTACGTTCCTCATCGCTGCTATACTACTACTGGTAAGCAGCAATAGCAAATGATGGAGAGGAAATGGGTGATGAAAGTTACCGTGGCAGCCACTGACTAGCAGCATTCCTTGGGTTCAACATCTACCTAATTTTCGCTATACGCGCCATAACCCTTTCATCACCATCCATCATTCATCGGAGACAAAGAAGACACCAAGATAGCGCGCGCGACGACGGGTACTGTCTGAGGAGAGCGGTAACTCCCTCGCTGCGAAAATAATCCTAACAAAGACTCACACAGATATTATCTTAGCACCCTGTTAAATATTAAATCACAGTGGAATCTCTTTATTTCCCTCACTTGTCGCCCAGCATCTCCCATCGCTTATATTATTGTGGCTACTATATATCCACAAATGCTGTGGAATGGCAATCCAAGGATTACAGATGGAACGCGTGAGATATATATATATATATATATATTTATATATATCTCGGGCGCCTCGCGAGATAAGTTCCTCACCTCCAGGACCCGGGGTCAGCGTGTTTGAAACACCATGGTTTTTGCCCTGCACGAAAGCTCAACGCCCCCGTTCTGCTAAAATCTGCAACCGATCTGTCTGGCTGGTAGCTGCCCATCAGTCATCTATTGGCTGAGATCTCTTATTGCTGGATGAAGCTTCTTCAGACTACTGGGGACAGCGATTTGCCCCGTTCTTCTTGAGAAATCGTTGATGAAGCCTCGAATTATTATCTTGTCATCGTCTTGGGTTTCCATTTTTTTAACTATTTGTATTCGATGGGCCTCTGCCTCAGCGAGTATTTTTGGGTACTCTTTTCTCTCTCTCTTCTAGTTCTTTTTCCCTTTCTCTTCTTTCCTTGTCATTCGGATATTTCCTTTCCTGATAGCGTGTTAATAATATACGCGCTCTGCTTATTTCCCAGCGGGCAAGTGGGCGACAAGGCGGGACAATGAATGCCATTGTCAGCTCTGCTACTACAACTGCTTTCTTTATATAACCCGCGCATATAGGCAGGCCGAGAGAACTTCCTTCACTACAACCTGAATAGAATGAATACTATTCTATTACACAGTGTTTTAGCCTTTTATTGTCTATTTCCATGCTTCTGTACTCCATTCACATCTAAATTTCCAGATGAATGCTGCATCTTTGCGATGTATTCATTGATTGAATATTGAATATTATTATGGTAAGTTCCCTATCACTCTCCTCTACACTAGGTTATTTGCCTCTTACCACAAACCACCATCTACCTTCTGCTTCTTCTTCTTCCTCCTCCTCTTCTCTAGGAAGAATGTGCATGGGATCCTCTCATTCAACTTGCGTGACAGCAACTTTGTACCTGAAGTGTCCATTTCACTCTCTTCAGTTCTGCTGACACTTGTAGAAGCATCCACATATATCTCACGACATCGCTGGACGTGTCTTACTTCAAACATCATCATTTACAACAACAACAACAACGAACGCAACATCCTCAAGATCGATATCTTTGTCTACCGCACCCAGGCCTACTGATTTTGTTTCTTCCACTTCCATTTTACCTACATCTCCATTTCTCGTGAACCAGCGTCAAAACCACACGGAGACATGCTCAATATGTGCAAGCTCCGCCCTTCCCTGGCCTTGATGGCCAACATTCTTTATCTCTTCCCAATCGTTGCTGGACATAGTTGGGTTGATGAGCTTACTGTTATCGCCAAAAACGGAACATTTATCGGAGATCCTGGCTACCCACGCGGATATGTTTCCCGCGAGGCGCCAGGTTTTTCAGACCTAATGATGCAATATCTGCTCCCATTGCCCCCCGCCAGCCGTCCAGGCCCACCTCCCCCAGGACCACCTAAGGTTTTGCCAACGGATAATATGTGCAGGGACACTCAAATGAAGCAGGTCCAAAGTGATGGGAAACCGCGTCTCAAGGCGCCACCGGGGTCCCCCATCGCTCTGCGATATCAAGAAAATGGCCATGTCACACTACCGTCGAATACACCAGGAAAGCCGGACAACCGCGGTACAGTATATGTATATGGCACGAGGGATCCCAAGCCTGATGATAAGTTCGCGTCAATTCACAAAGTTTGGAATAAGGAGGGCACTGGCGGCGATCGCAGGGGGATGCTCCTCTCAGTGCAAGATTACGATGATGGCAGATGCTATCAAATAAACGATCAGAGTATTTCAAAGGAACGCCAAAAGGAGTTTCCCCATAAAGCTACTACGTCACAGGGACAGAATTTATGGTGCCAGCATGACTTAGCCCTTCCGACGAATGTGCCTGAAGGGAAGCCCTATACACTGTACTGGGTATGGGACTGGCCGACCATCCCTGACGAAAAGAAGGGTATCGTGGCGTTGGAGGAGATATATACAACTTGCATGGACATCGATATCACGCCTTCGAGCAAACTTAAGGTGGCTGCCCAGGGAGAGCCGCCAACATTGAAATTTGTTGAAGGCCAGGATTTGGGCTCTGCTGCAATACCCACCCATTTCGAGAATTTGAAGGCTCCGACGATTCCTGATGGCTCGGGCTCCGATTCTCCCCCGCCGTCGTCCCCAGTTTCTCCGGAAGCATCTCAGCAAGCTGTGCCGACTGGTGAAAAACAGGAACCATCCCCATCTCCAACTCCAACTCCAACACCGCCACCAGCGTCAGAACCAGAGACAAGGCCAGACCCCGCGGGTAATAGTTGTGGCATCCCTCCCGTGCCTGTTACAGGTAAGTTATAACACACGGCAGAATCGTAGCCCCAATTTCTTTCTTTTTCTTTTTTTCTTTTTCTTTCTGTACTTTCCTGTTAGTCGTCCTCGCTCGTTCGTTATTTAATCTTCTTCTTGTCCTTCCGATATCCATTCCAACTCCTCCGTCATGGATTAAGGCTCTAACCATATCCACTGCAAACCACAGCACCCCAAGTACCAGACACTCCCCTTACAAGTACCCCACCCGCCATTATCCCTCTCTTTCCCTATACGCCCGTATCGGGAATTTCCCGACTCCCAAGCTCTATCCCGTCCTCTGAGTCGTCATCCACCGATAGCAATGGCGGGAACATAGTTACTCTCTTTCCAGGAACTTTAGTTTTACCTACCAAGAGTGGTTCGGCCACACCAAGCCCTACGCCTACAAGCCTCCCTGAGCAAGCTCCTGAAAACCCAGGTAGCGGAGCAAAACCTGTCACTCCCAGCATCCTTCCCTCTTCTGAACGAGATACTACCCCTAGCCCTTCAAGGGCTCCCCTACTTCTTACTATCCTAGATTCCGCTCCGGCGACTGCAGTCACTGCGATTGACCCGCCAGGAGTGTCAAATGATGTTATGACACCAAGTCCACCATCAACCCCTGGGCCAGAACCTACACCGAGCGAGGATGATGAAAACGAGATCGTTCCAGTCGCTCTAGACCCAGAAGGAAATCTATATACACCCTCTCTACGCACCGCAAAGATAACCATCGCAGTTCCCACCACCCTCACAACCATATATTGTACTGAAGCCTCCGCACAACCCCCCAAGCCAACGGAACGCAATCCGGACCCCAGTCCCCCAGCCATCATCCCAATACCACCACCCAGCCGACCCAGCAATAACAATAACGACAAAACCGTCACTATTTCACAGTCTAACGCTCAACCAACTATAGTAGAATCCCCGACATCGTCGCAACCCGAGCTTCTTATATCGACGATTACAGTAACGGCCACGAAGACCGTTTATCCCACGGCGCCACTCGACGATACGCCTACGCCTACGCCTACGCCTACGCCTACGCCTTCTCCTAGTCCTAGTCCTAGTCCTAGTCCCACAGCGGAGCCGCAGGTGCAAGAAAAAGCGCAAACATCCGGCTTCATAGTATCGATTAGACCATCTCCGCCCCCGTCGTCGTCGGAACGCCACCGGCATCGGAACTTCCGCAACCACAAGAGACACCGCTGCCAGACTGCGAATCCGACGGCGACGACTCTGTTCCTACCCCCACTCCATCATCACCATCACCGGCGGACTCGCCTACTCCTCTCCCATCTCCGCCAGCTAGCGCTAGCAGAAGAGCATTTCGGACACTAAGTTCCCGGTTTAGAAGGAACCTGGCTGAGGTTCGTGTGCGCGGGCAGGTTTGATGGGATGCTATATAATCCCATGTACCCGTGTACCGTACCCTGTCGATGTCGATGGGCTTAGTGGCACAGTGGATAAAATTTTCACCGTTTGTCCTGCGGAATCAGTCACATCATATCTACTATGTGTATGCTTCTCTCTTTCTTTTTTTTTAAACTTCCTTTTGATATACAGTCAGACTTGTGTAAACAAACACATGAGGTGCATGACTAGTTATCCCTATCTCTCTTATTTTCCACTATTTCAGAAATGAGCGTTCCGTGTCTCAGTACTTTTCTTGCATTTGCATTGCTCTTTTTTTTTTTTTTCTTTTTTTTCTTTTTTTTCTTTTTTTTCTTTTTTTTCTTTTTTTTCTTTTTTTTTCTTTTTTTAATCTTTCGCCCTCTATTGTCTATGAAGATACGCGGGAGTGGACAGTCATATTGTATATGGAGAAAAATGGAACATGTGTCGAAATATTAGGGTGCTGATTTGCGTGTGTGTCGCTATGAAATCGACTGGGAAGATCTTTGCTGCTGGAGTTGGACATGTTCAATCCCGTTTATTGTCAAATCTCTCTCTCTCTCTTTTTGTCAGGGCTCTTGCCCTAGGGAGTGATGTTTGTTTTTGTTTCTGCATATCACATATCGTCTTTGCATGGGACTTGGTGTTGTTGTCTGTGCTTCAATATACAGCTGCCCTGCGTGTTGTTATCTTATCGTTTCCTTTCCTTTCCATTTATCTTCAGTTACTATGTTTTGTGTTCTTTTTCTTATTTTCTGTTTTGTTATGTGTGGGGTATCAGTGTGTTGATTGTGGATTGGATGGCTTCTTTTTGTTGCGCTCGATTTTTGATTTCCCTCCCGATTTTACTTTTCCAGTTTGATTGATTCCTGTTTTCTTTCCCCTCCCCTCTCTTCTAAGTACTTGATCTGACGAGTGTTATGATATTTGGTTGATGTATATATGGGTTCCTCGTTGAGGAATGTTCCTTCTGGAGTTTGGGGGTAGAAGGTGCGTTAACATACTAAAAGAAAAAAGGGGGGGATCGGATGGGCAGGGTTCACGAAGTATAACAAGACAGCTGAAATAGTTACTGTACATTTACTGTATGTGCTTCCTAGCTGAATATCCGGAAGTCCATCTCAATTAATCTAAGACTGGATTTATACTTGTACGTCGTCATGTGATAACTAATGAGATGTGACCTGTGTTATTACACGCCAAGGTTTCCGATTTAATAAATAAGGAATGTACTGGTACATACGTACCACAACCTGCTCATTATATTATTATTATTATTATTATTATTATATTATTCAACAGAGTTCAATTTTTATCTTTGTTCTCCGCAGTGGCGCGCAAGGCAAGCTTTCTTGGCGCGTGCTGTGCAGCGAGTCAGGGGCTAACAGAATGATCAAAGAGAACCTTTCAAGAGCTGACGGACGGCTTGCGGGCGAGAACAAGCCACAGCGTGAATCACGGAAGCAAGAAACGATCTTTTGAGTTAACAGTGACAAAGCCACACGAAGTTATTTGGTGTTAAATATGGAAGAGCTTTTTTTTTTTTTTTTTTTTTTTTCTTTGGGGGGGGGGGGGCGGGGGGAGGAGGAACAAAACCGAAGTGCTGTCACTTCGGTGTCACAGAATGAGACCAGGCATAGTACATTAATTCTCTCGTCAGTCGAAGATACCAATCAGCAAGAAGAGGACAGACTAATTATTGGAGTATCTTAACCATTGAGCTTCCATCATGAGCTACCCGCGCAAGCGTGCATTACTTGCATGCGACTTTTGTCGCCAAAGGTTCGTCTACTTAGAGGCATATATCAACTACTCCTCAAATCACACTACGTTTTCTGTGCTGTATTATTATTTGTAGAAAACTAACATTTTCCCTCCTAGAAAGCGTCGCTGCGATGCCTCGAAGCCTGTATGTGGCAACTGTTCAGAGGCAGAAGCAGAATGCCGATACCAGGAGATTCCGATTCAGTCGTAAGTCGCATGGGAGCGATAATAAATAAACTTGATAACTACCTCTGTAGGTACGTAAAACAATGACTAACCGAAACATTTAACAGCCTGGAATCTTCGACGACCTCCTCAGCAATATCAAGAAGGCTTGACAGCATAGAAACGCTACTCAAGTCCCACTCAGAAGCAATCGCAGCGATTTCCCAGCAGCAAGTTTTAGAGACTCTCTGTTCCCCGCAGGAGATCCTGGATGCCCAGGCGGTGCCGACAGATGCAGTAACCATCGAACAGCCACCGGTTCTCGATCCATCCTGCGTTGATGGACTCAACCTGACATCTCCATTAAATGACAACACTCAATCTTCCTCACCGTCGATGGCGGCTGTCAGCCCTGAATTCACGGCCCAGTTGGAGGGGAGCATCGAACTACTGGCCCCCTTCACCATCCCGCCGAAACACTGGACGTCGTCGTCGTCGTCGTCGTCGTTATCATCATCGGTAAATAACCTGCTTAAATTACCAATTATCAAATCCGTGGTGGGAGAATTTCCCGATGATTATTTCTTTTCGATTGAATCGCGGCAAGTTACCCCCGCGCTGGGCGGCTCCTGGATGTCCTCCCAGGTGGAGCTGCCAGACATTGAAAATGATGTTACAGACCGGTTGGTGGATACATTCTTCTCTGAGGTCCATCCATGCCATCCAATTCTAGCCCGCGACGAATTTTGCACAATGTATGCAAACGTCATGTCGGACGGGTTGGGGTTTAACTTGCAGTCGGCATTCTGTCTCGTCGTTTTTGCATTGGGTGATGTTGCATCTGAGTCCGAAGGGGTTGATCCGCGGGTTCAATATTGGGAGCCGGCTCTGAAATACTTCAGGCCTGCTTTAAGCATTCTGATGGCTGAGTCTGCCTTTTCGTTTGGGTCGGACTTGCTGCTCCCCCAGGCATTGATATTCGGCGGGATTTGTTTTGCTTATTTGGGAAAACCGTTGCATAGCTGGAAACTTATTTTCATGGCATCTACGGAAGTACAGTTGTTGCTATCACGGTGAGTGGTGGATTTGTTTTTTTTTTTTTTTTTTTTTTTTTTTTTAAATGCACGTCTGCATGCTCTGAGAATTTATGAGCTAACTTTCTACTAATTTACAGCAGTAAGTATGCTGATGCTGATGAATCCTACAAGGAGCGGATATCAGAGACATGCTGGAGTTGTTTCCTTATAGAATGGTTTGCTTCCACCACTCTACATATGCCACATGTCCCAGGCCAGAGCCCAACGGAACAATTAAAAGGCGCAACTTTTACGCTAACTCATCAATTAGTGATTACCTTTCCGAGCTCAATCTTCCCCCAAGTGGAATCCAAACGGTGGTCGACGACATGGCGCTTCCTAAAGCCGGCAACCCAAGTGATCGAGAAGGATTAAGCTACCTGGCAGAAATATCCATGAGAAGCCTCCTGAACCGAGTGCTTAGTCCTCTCTCGCTCTCCAGCGATTTCGAAAGCTGCTGGTTAAGTGACGAGTCAGAAGTACCCCAAGCCCTCACAATCACGTCAGAACTTGATCAGCAACTCTTACTATGGTACAACTCCATCCCGGAATCGATCAAACCAACGCTGGGCCTAGGGCCCACTGCGCATCCCTACGAGAGGATTTTGAGAATCCGCTATTACCAAGCGCGATACATCATCCATCGTCGATTTGTTCTGTATTCCGTTTCGCTACCTGAAGAGCGAGAGCCGTCTCAGGAAATTTTGAAGAAGGCGCAGGTGTGTATTGACAGCTGCAGACTGTATTTGCAGAATACTGGGGAGATCTTGAAGAAGCCGTCGCAGTATACTTGGACAGTGGCACAGTCGTAAGTTTTGGATTTTTTTTTTTTTTTTTTTTTTTTTTTTTTTTTTTTTTTTTTTGTCTTCTAGATGGAGTGGATGAGACGTCTTCTCTGCTCACAAGCATTACAGGTCACTTGCCGCCGCTCTGCTCTTGACGGCCGCTTCGCTTTCGCGGCATTTACAACACGTAGTTCCGGATATCCTACCGCTGCAGCAGTTGCTCATTGATAACATTGCAGGGTGGGCTGCGCCGGAATCAAGCTTTGAGTCCCTATTATGCATTCTTGGTGATATAGTCCGGAAGCAGCAGTTTCATTGAACATTTTAGAGGTTGTCGGAGGAGGGTAGGTATTGCTGCTGTTCTTCACGTTGGTTGGGGCCGTGCTCGCAATTTTGGTCTTCTTCTTCATATATGCAGCATGGTATGTTGGCTACCGTTATCTTCCCTTCTCCAGTTGAGAGCCACATGGCGCACGACGATCCCCGTTTCGCTCCCGGAGAAATGAAGTTCCAGCTACGGCGAATCTGGGGAAACGCATATTGGACCGAGGAATTTAACTTAACATAAAAAATACAAATAAAAACTAGGACTCAGTGGCAGGAGGAAAGGAGCTTTCTTCACATCACCCTATTGTTCGTACACTGCTTGATCAACGTCTTTCATGCGAGATACCGAGTACAGGTGGGATAGGATATTTATGCAAACCTTGGCGCATTCTAGCTGGTTAGCAGTCATTGGAAGTCATTGGGCGGTTGTTTGTTGAATTCATTGATACATGTAACTATGTATGTATGAAAGTATGTACAGTACATTGATAAATTGGCCAATTGAATATTGTATCAGCCGCTTTCCACCGCTGACTGTTGACTGCGGATTGTAACTAGAACATTAACTATTGACTGGTAACTAACTAGATATGTTAAATATGCTGACTGCGTGTTTGTCATCGTGTTGTCATTCCTACAGAAGTGAAATATCCAAGTCATAGTCTCCGTACGGAGTGATATGCGTTGCCCTAGCGCCCAGTATTGGGATAAAGTAGCTGATACCTCGCCCGCCGCCCAAAGCCTGTGATGCTGCAAGTCACGGTGACCGACCAACCTCTTCCCCCCCCCCCCCACGCCAGGCTATTAATAGCAGCTCTACCCGCTGCTGCATTTTCCCTCGCCAAACCTCAAACATCCCGCCCTTTTTTCTTTTTCCTGCCGCCGCCTTCGCTATCCCTCCCTTCCACCCGCGTACTCTGCGCGCCCGGATTGTGCTCTTGTCGGCCTATTTGTGCTCTGTCTTGCTCTTCCGGCGCGTCCTCTCTGGGTCATTCTGCCCCTGGGCTGCATGTGTTCTGTCTGCAACACAAACCCGCCCCGCCACTGCCGCCCTCAACCTCCATTAGTCTGCCTGTCCAGATCGCCTGGTCATTCCTATCAACACTTGGTAACTTTTTTTTTCTTTTTTTTTTTTTGCCTCTCCGCCCGCCATTTCCCCGGATCTGGGCTGTCTGGCTGTCTGGCTAACCAAGCTGGCGTTATTGTGTAGTATAGCTGAACCAAAGCCGTCCGTGTCCCTCCCTATCTCCTTACCGTCTTCTGAAAATCGGCGCTTATTCAACCCCTGTTTGTTTGTTTCCCGAGCCTCTCGTCTGCTCCAGTCAGCTTCCACGCCTTCGGTTTTCCACGCGCGCTGGCGGGTTCCTATCGTGACTTGCATATGTGTTTCTAAAACATTATCCTCACATCTGGCTATCATTGGACGCTCTACCTTCTACTACCTTCTGCAAGAAGTCCACCTTATCCCGCATTTCTCGCTCCCCGTGAACGATACAACACCAATCTCGACCCGCGCAGGCCAACCCAAAATATTGCAATTGCTGTCGCACACAGGCAGGTGCCATCTCCTTCACTACGACCACCAGGCTACTATCTCCTCTGTGCTATCTCACGCACACCGAACATCTCTACTGGAGTGTGACTCCACTTCTCATGGCTATGGACAGCTAGCATTGCGGACAACAACACCCACAAACACTTCCCTTGGTTAAAGCATCCAATTGAGGGTTCGATTTCAAACGGATCTTGCATAAAAATCAGAACACGCCCTGCTAACAATTGGCGTTGGAAGCATCCCGTTTGTTCTCCTGGTGACCCTCGATATGGCCTCAACGAAATCCGCACCTGTATCCTCTCCTCCCGAAGTGGACAATCCTCCCTCAATCCCAACGATATCTCACCATCCGTCGAATTCAACATCACCGGCCCCGCGACGGTCAAATATCCAGCGTCCATCCTCATATGCAAGAGATCGCTTATCAACCTACTCCAGCGCCTCTTTTAATTCCCAGAACCGTTCACGACCCGCATCACACGCTTTTCCCGTTTTTCATTCAAGTCTGCCTTACGCCTTAGTACGGGACTTCGCCTACCCACCAATACATCCACTCCATTATGGACCCCATCCAAGCGAATCGGGAATATCTACTCCGGCGAGCGAAGCTCGACGGTTATCCGATCCCCCCAGCGCTTCTTGGGATGTTTCTCGTGGGCACTGGCATTCATCATGGAACCCGGAAGCCATGTATGGTACCCAACAACTCCCTGCAATGGCATTTGGAGATGGACCACCATACAGTGAGGATGAGGACTTGCACAGCCCTGTTGTGACGACGTCTCGGCATCGCAAACACAAATCCGCACATGTAGGGTCCGAATTTAACAGAGAGATAAATCCGGGAATTGCCAATAATACCGACCCGTCGTCATATGCCGCGCGAGGAGATGATAGAGGTGTTTTCGTCGGAGTAAATGGGGATGGAAGCGCAACATACTATGTCAAAGACGACGACGCAGTTGATGATGGTCCTGGAGGAGAATATGTTACCTACCCAGCCAACGAATCAGGGAACCGTTCATTCTTGAGCCCCGGCTCATATCCACCTGGTGGTCAACGGGACTCCCACTTTGCCGCGTCATTGAGTGACCGAACGTCAATGGAACCCGATGTGGAACTACAATCCGATGACGAGATATCAGAGGATGATGAATCATGGAGAGATGCGTCACGGTATTCGCGAGATTACCAATTTACGATTGTTTCTCCCGATGAAGAAATGCACGGCAAAGCGGTTGCGCTTTTCGATTTCGACCGCGAACATGAGAACGAGCTACCGTTGAAGGAGGGACAAGTAATTCTTGTATCCTATCGCCACGGACAAGGCTGGCTTGTTGCGGAAGACCCCAAGACTGGAGAAAGTGGGCTCGTACCGGAAGAATTCGTCCGACTGGTTCGTGACATTGAGGGAGGATTGAATGGCCTTAACGGCGCTCTTATGAATACATTGACCTTGGGCGAAGAAGAATCTATATCCACCCAAAATGAAAATCCCACCATTCTACCCGCCAACAATCCGTCAACAGATCTGTGTGCGCAACAAAGGCAACATAAACAGCAAAGCAACGGCACTGCGACTATAAATCCTACTGAGGGCGAAAACGTCAACCCTGACAGCCATCACCAACCATCCTCACCGCCATCATCAACATCAGCGAATGCGAACACATCTATAAAAGACAAACACCCCGAAGAAAAAGAGAAAGAAAACAAAGAGCGCGAAAAGAAGCAACCCCCCGTCGTCTCCACATTCTCTACAAGCAGTCGTGATCTAGATCCATACCCCCTGGCGGGCCATCAGCATCGGAAATCAACCCCGCCACAGATCGAGCATTATGATGGCACCAACCTGAGCGCGACGGGGGGTGCGCGGTCGTCATCCGTGCGGTCGAAGAGTACGTCCAAGCAAAGAACGCAATCGGGGTCGGGGACAGGTGTAAAGTCTTGAAACTGGTCACGGGGGTTATTCTCTTTTCCTTCTTTTTTACACTTCGAAACTTGTTTTGGTTTTTGATTCCTCATTTGGTTTCCTTTTTCATTTTTCATCCATTCCATTTTTTTTTAAATGTGTTTAAGCTCATGTTAACTGGATTCTCCGTGCCTTTTCAATGTCAGTTAGACGTTCTTCCCTATCTCTCTTTTTTCGTTGCTTTTACTTTTGTTTTCCTTGCAAAGAGTTTGGTCCGGCTGAGAAAGGGGGGTGTTCCTTGCTCTTTTCTTTTCTTTTCTCCTCTTTTTCCATCAGCTTCCCATCGCCGTCTTATGATGTTTCTTTGTTCTTTACGTGTCTTCCATTAATTGTCTATCGCTGCTTGGTCCACCAATTCCACAATACATCAGGTGTTTTTTTTCTCTTTTTTTTTTTTTTTTTTTTTTTTTTTTTTTTTTTTTTTCATACTTTCTTGTACTTTCGCGTTTTGGCTTGCATGGAATGCTTGCTAGGCACGTTGGCCTTTTCTTTTCCCCCTTACCTCGTTCTCCTATTTTTCCAAATGTTAGTTACTTGTTACTTGTTTTATGAATCATTCTTCCCTTCCTTCCATTCCCGCCTCCTAAAATGGGTAGAAAGAAACATTCCTTCTACACCCGATTCGAATACTCTTTTTATCATTTTAAAGTATCAAGGTAGTAGTAGCCCAAAACAAAAACAAGCAGTTCTATTCTCTTCGGGCATAAAAAGAAAGACAGTTGATTTTATTGTGAATCTCCTTTCTTTTTATTTTATTTTTTGTCATACTTCATTTTCCACTCTATCAACGATTGTTTCTGTGTGAAATTTGGAAACCTTGATTTTTTTCTCTCTATCTTCTATTCCCCCGCCGTTTTTTTCCCTTCCTCTCTTTCTTTCTTTCTTTCTTGTTACCCTCACCCTCTTGAATCATCCCTGCCTGCTATTGATTGGCTTCGTATTCGTCTGGTTTTCTCGTTTTTTCTTTCCTTTCCTTCCTTTTTTTTTTTTTTTTTTTTTTTTTTTTTTTTTTTGGGCGGAGGCAAATCCAAATCAAATCAAGATCAAGCGGTATGGTATTGCCATGCTAAAGCTGTGCCATGTCATGTCATAGTTACTATATCTTCTCAACTTTCTTCTTTCTTACTTTCTTTGGCCCTTCTTGGCGGTGGTTTTTATTGCACTTCAACCCTTCCCCCTCCTTCTTCCCCCCCCCCCCCCCCCCCCCAAAAAAAAAAAAAAAAAATTGAGGTACCTAACTCCTTAAATAATGATGATCGTGCGAGGGAAAATAAATAAATGGCCTTGACAACTTGTAGGTTTAAGTAGCGGACAAATTGTAGGGGAATATTTTAAACAAGCTGGTCGAAAGGCAAATAAAATTCATGTTAGTGATATATCCATCCATGGTTATATTGGGCACCGCTTGAAACATAGAATAGAAAGCGAAGACAACTATGAATTAGTAAATTGGAATAGAACAGAATAGAACAGGTAAGGAAGTAGGGAGGTAGGTAAGGGTTCTGTCCGCTCAAGTAAGGCCAGTTCGCTCTCTACTAAAATTCAAAAAAGAAAAAAGCAAAAAATCCACGCACATCTGTTCAATATCAGTTTAGTTTGAAACACCCCCAGATAAATTTCACCTCCCTTTTCATCCTTCCTCCGTACCTCTTCACACCCTAGCAAACGCAAATCGCCCCCCATTTCAACAGATCTGTCCAAAAATTATCTCATCCAAACAGACCATCCAACTCATTCCCGCTGCTCTGTGGCTTCGTAGCTGGTGGTTTGCCGCTTCCCATGCTCGCGCTAGAAGCAGAAGGGGTGGCAGGTACCCCCCATATGCTTGCACTTGTTTTCTCCTTTGCCATACTGGCGAGATTAGGGCCCCTGGACTGTGTCGAGGTAGCTGTCTTGAGTCCAGCGTTGGTACTCGCGGTAGTCCATAGACTACCGAATGCATCTCCACTAGCTTTTGTGGGTGTACTCGCGGCCGGCTTTGTGGTGCCGGACAAGGTAGGAGTGAGGGATGAGAGTGGAGTTTTGGCATGGGTTTGGGAGGTTGGCTGTTGTGGTGCTGGGACGGAGGTGAAGTAGTTTGGTTGTATGGCTTGGTATCCTGCTGGCTTTGGTGATTGTTGTGGCTGCATTGAAGCTGATTTACCGGCGCCGTTAAGGCTTGGGTACTGGGTAGATGCGACGGAAACGTTGCTTGGCGATGGCGAGGTAAACCCAACAAGGCCGTTCAGGTTTTGACCCTGTGTACCCGATACGGGCGTTGGCGCGGCATATTGTGTGACTGACGATGTTGTCGTAGCGGCCAGGTTTGGAGGAGGAATAGAAGAAAACTGTGGTTGGGATGGCGCAGCTTGCGCAGAAGAGGGAGCAGACTGGAAATCATCGAAGTCATCATCATCTCCATTGTTTTGGGTGACGATCTTGTTTTTTTGAGAGCTAGCAGACGAGCTTTCGTAGACGCTGAATAACGCATTTGGTGGCTCAGAAACTGATGGGTCTGAGATACGCTCTTCACTATTGTAGGAAAACAGGGCTTCCGGCTCCTTTGCCGGTTCGGGCTTTTTCGTTTCTCGCCGAGTAGGGCCAGCGGAGGACGTGGTTGGCTTACGCGCAGCAGGAGTACCGTCATCGCCTTCATCATATTCTTCGAAGCGATTGCTTCTTCTTCCACTGTCTTCGTAGCCTCCGGTGCTTCCACCAAATCCGCCTCCGTCCCCATACACTCCTCCGCTATAACCACCATATGAGGCTTCATCACTCCCAAACCCACCATATCGGGAACCACTTCCGAATGAACTCAAACCCATTCCACCCTCAATACCTCCAAATTTATTTCGATTGGCCCTCGCCTTCTTTCTCTCTGCACGGATCGCATCGACATCACTCAAAAGTTTTGCCAACTCTTGAGCTCGGTTGCGTACGTTTATACCTTGATCTTTTCCATTCTGATCAATATAATGAAATTGACGGAGCATCCGGAGGAGGGAAACGTGAGAACGGGCATCGTCGATAACCCGCTCTGAACCATTCTTAACGAGAAATTCAAGGAGTTGAAGGGCCTAGAAATGGAAAAATTGTCAGATGCATTCCAGTGTGATAGCTTCCAAAATAAATATTGGGAGGGGGGTGGGGGGGGTGGAATACTTTATAAATTTGCCGCCACTCCTCTGCAGTCTTTTCCGTAAACCGTTTATATATCATGGGCATAATTTCGTTGAGCAATTGACTAATAACACAAATGACAAAGAGTTAGATCATCAACTCCGCAATTTAGCCGTAAGGAATGGGGACAAGCGGGCACTAACTAGCTATGTGTTGCGTTTGCTATCTCCTGCATAAGCGTAGAGGAGGCGCCCCAAGGCTCATTATTCGTAGCTTCTCGAACCTGTATCCATTCAAGTAAGGAGATTGTATATCAAAGAGGAGTGAGTCGTGTAGGAAAAAAAAGATGTATGTTCACGGCCGCGCAGGTTTATATTAGCTAGACCAAAGACTGACCTTCGCCTCCATCTCGGTATAATTCATCACGGCTAATCATATTTAAAAGGACAGTTAAGAATTAGTCAAATCAAACCACTATACGAAACAGTACCACAAGGTAGATCCAGAGGGAAACCAATATACGGCGAAATCACCCGGGTGAGAAAGGGGACAGGGTAGCAGTAGAAACGTACCATTCTGCACCTTTCTAACGCCAGCTTTGATATCGTACAGCGTTAAATTGCTGACCTGATCCTTTAGGGAGCTGAAATCCATTGTGTAAGTGTAAATTCGTTTGCGCGAATCCGGAAGTAAAGCGGAGGACAAGTCGGGGCCGACTAATAGGGGAACGCGGGTTTAAGATTGGTTTACTTCGCAGTCAATACAACTACGCGGATACGGTAAAGGCGGAGTTAGGAGTGAAGGCCACACTGGCCAGCTGGAGTCGTACACAGCGAGAGTAGCGGGGAGGAGAGGGGTGAGATGAAGACGTCGGAGTTGAAGAGTTGGCGTTGGGGTTATCAAGGGACGTGGAGGATAGTTCTGCGTGGCCGATTCAAGCTCGCATCGTCCTTCCTATTTGCGCCTCATGCAGGGATGACATCCGCGGAGGGAAGGTTTTCCCGATCGCCCCGATACAGCTAGCGTCAAAACAGCCTTATTTAGACCGTCAAAAAAATATTAGCTCTACGAAGGATAATTGACATGTGTGTTACAGGCAGTGTTAAATAACGAGAGTGCCAGTGAGTGACCAAGGCAAGGTTCGATAATGCATTTAGACTTGAGATGCTTGTGGACAATACTTTCTGGCAGCAGCTTTAACTACTTGTGCAGTGAATGGGTCACAAAAAGCTGAAGAGAAAACAGTAATAACAGTGTCAAATTGAACGAGTCAACAAAGTTTCCTCTTTTCATTACTAAATCTCATAACTAAAGTAATAAATACATTCAGAAGAGAAAAGTAATATAACTAATGAACGCCAGATAGAAGCAAAAGAGCTAATCTCACAGCAGAAACCACCAAGTCCCGCTCCAATCGCCCGAAAAAGATAAATCAATAAAAGGGGTAAAACAAAATAATAAAAGGTAAGTCAGATCTCTGGGCGCATAACGAAAGGATATGTAAAGGGTACAATATTAAAGACAGCCTTTTCTTTTCCTCGACTCCAGAATCTGTTCACACGCTTCCAATGTATATATGCTGGAGGGGAGACCAGGGAGGCAGAGGCGCAAAAATGTGGTCATGTAGGAATATAACGGTCTGTTATCTGGGTCGGGTAATAGAAAATTGATTCCAAAGGAAAAGAGCGAGAGAAAAGAAGAGCTGGATAACAAGGGAAGAACGATAAAGGGATATATCTCAGAAACAACAACCCCGGCCCCCTTATAAAAATTCGTATCAGTGCAATCAGCTGCAAAATATTCGTCCGTGGTGTATCAATATCACATAAACATAAAACCAGAAACTTACAAAAGAAACAAAAAAGAGAAGAAGATCGAAGAACGAAAAGAACTTAAGAAAAACGACCACATCAATGCATTTCACTCAGTGCAAAATTTCCTCATAATCAAATGCAAAAACATCTTGACATTCACCCGCAATGCCCCCTCGAAAAAGTCCATGAACTGCGTATTGTCGAATTGCGCCTCGAGGAGATCGTTTAGCGGAACCTGGGCGTTGGCGCCGGGAATCATCATATTGCCACTACTTCCATCGACAGTGAAAAGCCCAACTTGGTTGCTAGAAATCGTAAGGTCAACTCGGTCCCATTGTCGCTCGTTATATCCTTTCCAGTATACAAGGACGCCTTTCTCAGAGAGATTTCGGGCCGAATATTTAAATGAGCCGAACTTGAAAACGCGACCGGATCGTTGTAATTCACGCTCATGATCCCATTGTTTAGTGAATGGCATCAGGAATCGCTTCTTCCCTTTCTTATTCTGCAGAGTTATCATGGCTTGTTCGATGTAGTCGTTATAAGTCTTCAGTTGCTGCTCCAAGTATACACTTTGATCGTTCAATCGCTCAAGAGTAAGTCGGACGCTTTCCAGCTCTCGCTGGCGCTGTATTCTCCGACGATGTTTTGTCCGAATATCGACTGCGATTGCATTCAGAAGGTCCTGGTAATTGTTTTGCCGTGTTATACGTCCAGCTTGTTCCAGGCGAAGGATGTTCTCTAACGCGGTGCTCTTTAGATCCTGATAGCTCATGGATCCTATGTCAATTAGGGAGTTTGCGTCCGAATATGCGCCGCGTTTGCGACTACTTGAGGATAACTCGTCCCGAACGAGCGCGTACCAGCGCTCCTCATCTTCTTCCGTGGGCGGTTTGACCATGATTTCCATTAGATTTGCAGCGGATTGGACGCGGATGATATACAGAATACATCGTTTTGTTTCCATAAAGAGGGCTTTTGTTTCAGCATCGGGGTCTGGATTATGCGCAGTAAGTAAAAATCCCAAAGTAATTCAGTATGTTGAAAAAACAAAACCTACCTTCGACATTGTGCAGTTTGGGCGTTAATGTCAAGCTAATTTCGGAGGAGCTCACGCTCATGAACTCATTTTCATTGCTCTTGACACTGCCCAGATCTCGAACGGCTTCCTTGATCACATCATCCTGGTCGACGCATATAGTGGATATCTCCGCAGCAACAAGCTGATGGATCGAGAATATGTCAGAAAGTTTTATATAAAGTGTTGGTTTCGTTTTGGCGTATAGGTCGTTGAAGGCATCGATATCAAAATAGGACTCCGCATCTTGCACGGTAACCACTATCCTCGACTGTTAGTACGAAAATTCCCAGCGAGAAGAAGACAGGGCGGTACGCACAATTACCCCATATAGCTCCTAACCGCTGGATCGCCTTCTCAACCCAAGTATTCAGGGGCTGGAGATACACGTTTTCGTTACCAAAGAGACGGCCTGATGCTACCTGCGCTATTACTTTGTCGATTTCTCCCAGGTTTCGCTTCTGCTCCTGATTTAAACCACGATCTACCACACCACATCTTTCTGGTTCCATTATCGCCGGACGCAAATAGTTTTTCCAAACCCACTGGCCAGTAACCTGCAGGAGGTATCCATGATCCTCATTCTCGAATCTAGACAAAAGATGTTCATAAACTTGCTGTGAAACAAATCGCACTCCGAACGGCATGCGAGGTAAGAATTCTTCGAGCGATGTAAAAAACTGGTCTGCAATGTCACGTAGGTCTTGCAAATGGCGAACAAATGTCTCTCTCGTTTCAGGGTCCCTAATCGCCTCTTCTTTAGGAACGTCTATTCGGCGTCTGCTCTTCCTGCCAGTGCGCAGCTCCTCGTTCCTGATGGTGGAGCGGTAGATCTGCATAGGGTCGCTCTCCAAGTCAAGTTCGGTGTTTTCGATAATATGCTCCTTCACTAGATGACCCAGAATATCCCGCATGAATTTCCGATCCTTCGGGGACTTCGTATACGCAGCGAATAATTTGTTCCAGAAAGCATTGCACCGTATGTAGTCTTGAAGTGAAAATGAATGATCGATCTCCTCCTTCGCAGACCTGACAAGGAGCTTTATTAGGTAGTATTCTTCGCGCCTCTTCTGGGAGTAACCGAATAATCCCATAACCAGATGCTTGATTCGCTCGCATTCCTTTTCTGGGGTAGCCTGCTCCCTTATGCGTCTAAAAAGTCTAGCAAGATATTGCGGCTGCGTTTGAAGAACGAAGAAGAGTTCCTGATACTGCTCTAGTTTCCGTCGAGATGTCTTATTCAAGGCTTTCAGGTCAAATGGATCTTTAGACGATAGGTCGCTATTAGGTAGTAGAGCTCCGACGTGGCCACCAAAATGTTTTTGGTGTTTCACGACTTCGTCGAGCGTGATCTTATTTTTCACGAGAAGGGCAATCTTGATATCCAATTGCGTTATGTACTGGTCGGCCATTTCATTCTGTCGCACATGTTGCACGACTGTTTTCCGTAGACGTTCAAATTCAATTTCTTCATCGAAATCAAAATCGCTATCGTTAAGCAAATGGACAAAGCCTTTGATGGTGCCAACCGGAGGATTCTTTCCGCTGGTCAAGCTCTTGTAAGCTTCTCCCTGGATCTTGGCTCTCACAAAGCTTTGAACCTTTATAACTTTATCCATATTCTCCCGATAGAAGCGCTGTTTCTCCGCAAATTTCTGTCGTACAAGAAGGCCCCTGGTGTTGGACTGAAAGTCCACTATCACATCTTCTTCCGCCTCCAGTTCTGCCAAGGCCTGGCCAACATCTAGCCTGACGAACATCGCACGAATAAGGGCCTGGAGCTGAGCAACCTCTTCACTTGACCTTTCGAGCTCACAGAGGAAGTTTCCGATTTCTATTCTCAGCATAGCAGCTCGCGAAAGAGCTTGTAGTTTGGCAATTACAGAATTCTGCTGCAAGAGAGAATTTCGATCGAGTAGCTGACGCTTCCGCAGAAGGAGTCCTCGAGACAAAGATTGAAGAGTAAGAATATTTTTCTCGTTATCACGGAGTGAATTTTTAGTTTCTTCAACCGATGTACGCAGAGAAGCGCCGCGGAGGGCACTTTGAACTTCAATAATTGATGGTAGTTGGGCTTTCAGCCCAGTTCGAAGAACCTGAAAGCTTCCTCTGGCAGCAGATCCTCGAACAATGGACTGGAGAGTAATCCACTGATGGCTCATTTTCGCCAGCTGCAACTTCTGGGAATCGTAAGACTTTCTCTTCATAAGGCCTCTAATGACAGATTGTAGCACTGTTATAGCGGGAGTTCCAGTTTCTAGGGCCAATCTATCTTGAGAAACACTGTGTCGTTTCAACATGCCTCGAATAGCGGCCTGGAGGGATTGGACTTCGACTTCGGCATCTTTGCTTTGCTCGTACTGGTCGTATACTTGGCCCCTAGCCAAGGCTCTTCTGATGGCTGCTTGGATTTGTTTAATTCCAGACTCCTCCTTTCTTGCTCTAGTTCTCAATAATTGAACATGCGAACGGAGACTCTTAGCACGAACAAGGCTTTGAAGCATCAGGATGCCTGCCTCGTTCTCTTTCCAGCATTGTTTGCTGTGTTGAGATCTCATTCGAACCAAGAATCCGCGTGCCGATGATTGCAAATTTACAGCAAACCGTCGCATGCTCAATCGGTAACCCACTATTTCCCTGGACCACTCTCCTCGTATCCTTGACTGTAGGTCGATCAATGCACTTTCGTTATCCCACAACTCCTGCATTACGTTCCCAAGCCTCAGACGCACAAGAGCTCCTCTTGCTTGAGATTGAAGGTCTGAAATAATGACTTCGTTCTCATGGAGCTCTCTATCAATCCTATCCTTCTCCGATTCGACCGGCTCTGGCTCTGGTTCCGGTTCCGGCTCGGGTTCCGCGCCAAAGCTTGCCCCCATACCAGAGAAACTGGGCATAGGAACCCCTGACGTGTCTAGACCTTTCTGAACTTGTTCCAATTCATGATGTTCGAACTCCAGTTGACCAACCAAATTCCCGATGCGGAAGTTAACGATCCCCTTTTTATATAGTAGCCAAGACAAGGCATGGATACAATGTATCACTTTGGGAATGTTTTTCTTTTCGTACAAGTCGATCAGCTCAAACCAAAATAAATCCGGGAGTTCGATCTCCTTAAGAAGCTGGAAAAAGAGAGCAATATTATCAGAATGGCGGTATTGCAGTTTAGGGTGTCTGAATATACGGAAAGTGCGGTGCGGATACAAGGCCTGCACCAATTCGGCGAGTGTGACTCCATCCCGAAGAGCCTCTTCAAGCTGGACGATGGGGGGGATAGACTTGTGAATAACATCTTCAATCCATTCCTTAGCTTCTCCAATATGGCATAGATACTCGTAAGCTTGTATAAACTGTCGTTGTTTGTCAATCCAGCTGCTTTCTGCCCATGCGGATGCTCTACCTTTCTGAGGACTCGCTGGAGATTTTGACGCCCGAATGGAGTCTGCACGCTTAAGCCGACGGCGACCCTGCAAACCAGCAACTGAGGGAATGACGGATGCTATGGAAAAATCTTCGCTTTCGGTTTGCGCAAGTCTCGAAAGAGTCCGCAAATGTCGAGTGGAAGACTTTTGAAAGGTTTCAAGCTCTGGGGCTGTAAATGCGGTCGGTAAGGCTGGAGCATGCGGGGTGGATTGTGTGCGGATATGCTGTCGTCGGATGGAGGGCGAATATTCCCGTTCCGCGCTATCGGTGTTTTCCTGTAGTCGCATACTATCGCCACCGTCATAAGTCTCAATCTTGGCAACTTTTCCGCTCGGTATACTGTCATGTTGAAATGTCGCGGTGGTCACTGTCTGGCTTCGCTGTCGACTGACCCGTTCTGGCGGAGGAGATGCGCGATTGGGTGCCTGTGGGAGTGGGCGCAAAGAAAGACGAATGTTTCCATAGGTCTCGCTAGCACTTGGTGGCGTGGAGGCTCGTTCAAACCTTTCCCCAATTCTGCTCACCCTTCCCTTTTGAACATTCGAATCTGAGATGAATCCGCCAGAGGAGTTCGAGGACACGGTACTTGTACGGCTAGGAACAAAGGAGTTTGAGTAGGAGGAATAAACAGAGGAATTGGTTGATGCGGTCGAGCCATGACGAAGCGGGCTGGGAGGATTTGTTGGTAGTTCTGGTTGAGACCGTCTGAAGGGGTGGAGGTTCGACATCACGATGGCAGGTCAAGAGAAGAGAAGAAAGGCTAGCTCGATGAGACAAGAGAGTGTCCAGCGTTCAACTGCGCGCATGCCGGAAAAGTGATAAAAAAGGAAATGTAAATTGTTCTCTCCAAGGGCTGTTCGGCTGTGCCACCCAATGATTCAGAGTAGCGCAGACAACTAACGCAATGCACAGACAACACAGCTAGGCAAATCGAAGAACTCCTCTGCAAACCTCCTGTCAGCTCTGGTTACAACAGAAAAGCAAAGACGCTGAAGAAACGTACTGTGGTGTGTATGGGATAGTATATTTAGGCTTGCGTCTGTCTTGTTGCAAGACGAAATCACTAGGTTGAGCTTCCCTTGCACCGCGAAGGCTTGTTGTTTGCATCCCATCCCATCCATCCCCACCTTTGCCGGACCAAAACAAAGTTCCCAAAACGGCAAGGTGGCTGCTGCAGATCACCTGATGATAGCGGCGCTTATCGGCTTACGCAGTAGGTTCAGCCATGCCCAGTTGGTGCTAGCGCGCGAGAAGCGCCCACCGTGGAAGAAACTTATCAAAATCTTCTCTCGGGTTTTTTTCTTCTTTTTCTTTTTCTTCTTCTCTTTCTCTTCTTTGGGAAAGACGATTTCTCCCCATCAACAGAACGTTTGTTTGAACCTCTGTTGTTGGTATTTTCTATTCTGTTTCTGCCTGTGTCTCCGTTTGCTATCTAGCAAATTGCCGTTTCTCCTTCCTTATTTTCCATCGTCCCTTTTCAATTTTCACCATGCCAATTTCCAATGGAAATGCGTCGGGGAACGCCCTTGAGCATGTCTCGGGTGATTCAAAGTTCCTAGACCCTGCCACAGCGCTGGAAGTCCTCAAGAACGATTATGCCGGTGATGGCCTGGACATCAATCAACTGCTGGATTCCGAAAAGAGAGGAGCACTGACCTACAATGATTTCCTCATCCTTCCTGGATACATTGGTTCGAATAACCTTCACAAGAATTGTATGTGGAGAAGACACAATTGACCGGCTATTTAATAGGATTCCCCGCATCTGACGTATCTCTCGAAACCCGTGTCACGAAGCGAATCAGCTTAAAAGCTCCCCTGCTGTCGTCGCCCATGGACACAGTCACCGAGCACTCGATGGCAATCCATATGGCTCTTCTCGGTGGACTTGGCGTGATCCATCACAATTGCTCTGCAGACGATCAAGCAAATATGGTAAGAAAGGTCAAGCGATATGAAAACGGCTTCATCTTGGAACCTGTCGTTATCTCCCCGACGACAACGGTGGCAGAGGCCAAAGCGCTGAAGGAGAAATGGGGATTTGGCGGATTCCCAGTGACAGGTTAGTTACTGTTTCCTATTTCTGCTGTGGTACCTCGTTTACGCTTGCAATGATGTTTTCAATCTTTATTCTATAACTTTCGTTCATCTGCAGCCGCGAAAGCTGCTATGGAGAGACCGGATTTTTTGTCTGAGGCTTGGTTTTGATCCTCATTTTATTTTTAAATTGATCTTATGGCGGAATATGCTGACTAGCGTTTCGTGGCCCAGAAAATGGAACTCTCCTTTCCAAATTGGTTGGAATGATTACCAGCAGAGACATCCAGTTTCATCCCGTTGGTGATGACCCTGTCACGGCTGTCATGACTACGGACCTTGTTACCGCACCTTCAGGAACCACCCTCGCTGAAGCAAATGAGGTCCTACGAAGCTCCAAGAAAGGAAAACTTCCTATTGTCGACAGCGAGGGTAACCTCGTTTCCCTACTTTCAAGGTCCGATCTCATGAAGAATCTTCACTATCCGCTTGCTTCCAAGCTGCCACAGTCCAAGCAACTTATCTGCGCAGCCGCGATTGGCACCCGTCCCGAAGACAAGGACAGACTCCAAAAATTGGTAGATGCTGGTCTTGACATTGTCATTTTGGATAGCAGCCAGGGCAACAGTATGTATCAGATCGAGATGATCAAATACATAAAAGAAACCTACCCCGAACTTGACGTCATTGCTGGCAACGTTGTCACCAGGGATCAAGCGGCTGCTCTTATTGCCGTAGGCGCAGATGGTCTCCGCATTGGCATGGGCAGCGGAAGTGCCTGCATCACGCAAGAAGTTATGGCAGTGGGAAGGCCCCAAGCCGCAGCTGTGCGCAGTGTATCCCAATTCGCCGCGCGTTTCGGAGTCCCCTGCATTGCGGATGGTGGTATCCAAAATATTGGCCATATTGTCAAAGGCTTGGCGATGGGAGCCACCACTGTTATGATGGGTGGGCTCTTGGCTGGTACCACCGAATCCCCCGGTGCCTACTTTGTCAGCAGAGAAGGCCAGCTCGTCAAGGCGTACCGGGGAATGGGAAGCATCGATGCCATGGAAGATAAAAAGGCTGGAGTCGGCCAAGACGGTAAAGCAAGCAATGCCGGCACTGCGAGATACTTTTCTGAATCGGACAGACTTCTCGTTGCCCAGGGCGTTTCGGGTTCAGTGTTGGATCGCGGCTCTGTCACCAAGTTCGTGCCATACCTAATGGCCGGTATCCAGCACTCCCTGCAGGATATCGGAGTTAAGAGTCTGCAAGAGCTTCATGATGGTGTCGCCAGTGGCTCAGTTAGGTTTGAAGTGCGCAGTGTCAGCGCTCAAGCCGAGGGTGGCGTCCATGGCCTGCACAGCTTCGACAAAAAGTTGTATTCTTAAACCACCAGCAAGCCCGGGGACGTGGGTATTGCTCCTGACGCCCCGTCACTATATTGAGGAGAAGGGAATCATTTTTTTTTTTTGGTTTTTGGAGTTTGTCTGGATGGGGGACATGGTCATTATTTATTATGATACTCTTTTTCAAAAGTTTATGCAGTTTCATGACTCTCTGTGATTAGCCATATGATCCGTTAAAGCAATTCATATTAATAGTCGTCTTGCATTAATATTACCGCACTCCATTCATCTATTTATATTACAAGGCCAACACTAAATATTCGTTGTTAGTTTAAACGTAATGAAACCTGACCCGATCAAAATTATGTTAAATAAGTCCAGAATGAAAATGCAGAGTAGTGTTGTGCCACAGCTCGAGAGAGCACAGTATCGTTAGTGTATGGAACTTGAATGCAGGTTGAGTGCCGACGAGCGGATTTCCTTCCAGACTGAATAGTTACACCAGACCAAGATTCTTTACCTCTCCGTCGCCCGAAATTCACGTGGCTAAGCTTCATTTTTGCTTCAGGGGCAATTCCCCGTTCGGCAACCAAGTACCCTTGTTTTTTTTTTCAACGTTCGCCAGGAAGTTCTCCGAAGCTCGAGCTGGACTTGAACCTGCAGCAGCAGGCCAACGCCGAGATGGTGTGGTGGAACCTCGGATATCTGGCAGAAAACGCGGCTAAATAAACCAAACCCTCCCCCGCGAACCTGAGTTTCGGCAAACCAAACCCAAGGTACAAGCATTGAACTTAGTATTATTCGCCCGGAGCAACCACGGCGCGGCCTGGCGGGAATAATATTTAAATTTAAATATTCCCCCCCCGTCTCCGCCTGCAGCCATTTGGCTAACATGCTTTCCTCCCGATGTTGCCAATTCCCGTCAAATGCAAATCAGCTTCGCAACGTTCTGCGATTAACCCTCGGCGGCTTTAGGGGTAGTTGCCCTCCTACTACGAAATATACCAGTGCGCCAAATTATTTGTATCTTCGGCCCGCGCACAGATTCAACCAGAAAGCTACTTACTTGACGGTTCGGAGATTACCACAATATCGAAGGATGGCCCCTCCAAAGAAAAAAGGGGTTGATCGCTCCATGCCAAAACCGAGCGCAAGGTCAGTTCTTCGCGTATTTGCATCCGCACACTGGAGTATATAAATATATATATATATATGTATATATATATATATATGCAATACTTTTATGACCGGGGCAATGACTAGAAGTTAATGCACTCGTCTACATGCCAGCGTAATCCTTATCTCTCCGCAAAACGAAGTGCTATTGCTGCACCGCGTTCAAAACTCCTCGTCCTTCCCGTCAGCTCATGTGTTTCCCGGAGGAAACATATCTTCGCAAGATGGCGATTTCCCACCAGCAGGCCACCCGGACAGTCACGATGAAGGCCCCCATTATCGAAGAGCGGCGATCCGCGAACTCTTCGAAGAGAGCGGTATCCTCCTCGCAAAAAACAAGAGAACCGGCAAAATGATCCACGTAAACGTGGACGAGAGAGAGATAGGGAGACATGCAATCCACAAGAACAAAATTACGTTCAACAAGTGGCTAAAGAGCATAGATGAAGCTGCAGAACCAGACATTGGTCAGATACATTGAACCATGAAACCCAAACAAATAGTATACTGCTTGAATATTGTTAGATTGACCAAGGACAACCTGTTTGTTTCCTTTTCTGTGCGAGCTAGACCCCCTCATTCCGTTTACACACTGGATAACGCCAACCACGAACCCCAGACGCTATACAACACAGATGTACCTCTACTTCCTCCCGTTGTCCTCAGAGTCCAAAAGCATCATCGGCAGCGAAGAGAGTGAAGTCCAAGCGCCGACATCTGATGGCGGGATAGAGATCACGGAGGCCCGATTCCTCCCCGCATCGGAGTGGTTACGGCTCGCCAAGAATGGGAATGCGATAATGTTTCCCCCGCAGGTCTTCCTACTCTCATTCGTCGCCCAATTCCTCGAGAGGCCGGGGGAAAACGCGACTGATGTCTCCAAAGAGGAGTCTGCCAGACGCCGGTCTGAATTTGTCGACTTTGTGCATTCGGGGTCACCGCCCTGGACCGATAAATATATCTCCCCGGTAGCTATTGGGCAGGTCCCAGATGGACGAAACATCCTCACTTTGGATTACGTCGGGCCTGAACTTCAGGGCTCTGGAAAGAAGGGGGAGCCGGATAGGGTAGTGCTAGTGCGCTTTCGCAAAGAGGGGCCGAGGGAGGTGGAGATTCGCTGGAGGATTGAGGTGGTTGTGCCTGAGAAGAAACTTGCAAAGAGCGCCCTATGAGATTGAAGTTGCTGTTTTTTTGTTAGTAAAGATACCTATATGTAGACCGTAATTAGAAACTACATGTACACTCTTGGTTAAACTACATTCCTACAAAGGCTTCTACCGGTTCGAGTCAGTCGGTAAGAGGTTGCCTGGTCTTGGCAGTGCCGGTAATGGTCGAAGAAATGCGACAAATTACCACGCACCTTAGACCCTAACCGCACGACCTTCCAAACCTAAAATCTCTGCCCCTAGTCACATGACGCACAATTCCTTCGCTCTATCTCTATCTCACCACTAACGCCAGAAATCACCGCAGCACTTCAACGATCAAGATCCAAGCAAGCCCCCTTCTCAATACCGCTTATTCTCCGGATATCCACGCAAATCTGCCAAAATGGAAAACGAAAGGGGAGAAATCGTCGACCTGTACGTATAACATCGCTCTGCGAATGCCCCCGCTTCCTTACTCCATGGAGAGAGGATTGAGAATCTGCCCACCCATTCTTCTCAATTGAAGAAGCAAAAACTTATCGCTTCCCTGCACATGTTTTCTTTCTCCGCTCTGCATATGGAGGAATTCCCCCAAAAAATTCTCCAAAAATCCGCATTGAGAATTAAAATCGCCCGACTTCTAACCTCAAATTTTCCCCCTCTTATAGCTATGTGCCTCGCAAATGCAGCGCCACCAACCGCATCATTAAGGCCAAGGACCACGCCTCCGTCCAGATCAGCATTGCCAAAGTTGACGAGAACGGCCGATACACTGGCGAGAACCAAATATATGCCCTTTGCGGATTCGTACGGGCCCGGGGTGAGAGTGATGACAGCTTGAACCGTCTGGCGCAACGGGATGGGTTCTTGAAGAATGTATGGAGCGCGAGCTCCCAGCGTTAAGGGAAATTGGAGGAGGGAGTTGGTTTTTTTTTTGTCCTTTTCTGTTTTTCTTATGCGCTGGTTGTGTGTGAGGGGGTTGTGGGATACGATACGGATGCTGTGATGGTGAGTGCGGTCCTTTCCTCTAGGAAACCTGAATGGCAAGTAAAATGGAGAATTGAGGGAGAGGGCAATTATTTGCTGATATTGTGTTTTGCTTTTTCTTTTCCCCAGATAACCGTTAAAATGAGCGAAATAAGAAAAAATCCCGGGAATACACTGGAGTTCTTTTTCGAGGCTCTTAAATTAAACTATTGTTTTCCTATCCTCTTTTTTAAAAAATAACCTTTCCTCCTTTCTATCAACAACCTTAGGCCCAATGACTCAAGTACTTTACGAAAATCAAGATATGAATCAAGAAGATCTAAGATGGATGTGAACGGTAATTTCAGTAATAAAAAATAAAAAATAGAAAAAATATGGAGATTCTAATATTCGAACAGTAGCTTCGCCCTCTTTCTGTGAGAAAAAGGAGATACACACGTCATTCCAAGACATTTTTCTTTTTTTGCCAGTACCCAATTCCACAGCAATTTTTTTCTACTAGTTAACTAGTTATATCTACCGCTGTCCGCCATTTTTTTCTTTCCTTCCTTTCTTTTTTCTTCTTTTTTTTTTTTTTTTCCAAACTCCCAACCCCGGCATCAAGAGATCACCTCACGCCCACCACAACAAATCCACAAACCACCGAGTGGTTTGTGTGATCTTTGTGGTGAATGGCTGAGGCGGATATGATCTAATAATTTTTATAAGCCGGGGGAGATCATTTAGTGAAGACTCGTCTGGGAAGAGCTGCGACCCTCAAGATCACTCGTCGGAGCACAGATACGGACGGGACATGACTTTTGTATTTCTTAATTTTTTAATTTTTATTGTTTATTCTAGCCGTTCAGGATACAATAAAACCTTGGTATTTCTCGGTAAAAACTATATAAACTGGTGAAAACTTATTGCGTTCCTTCCTACGTTTCTCATACCGGGTTGAAATCCGAGGCACGGAGCGGCTTTACCTATTTTTCCTTCCACGCTGTTGGTAAAAGCTATTCCGACGTAAATACATACCGTGTACAGTTTATATTCGGGATCTACGTGGGCGAGAAATAATCATTTTTAAAAAAGGAAGTTGTTGAGTGAAAAGGAATCGTGGTATTCATTTTACAATTGTCTATTTCATTTCCATGTCATGCCACCACCACAGCACAGAGCTATAGCAGAAAACCCCCTTTGATAGCCTAGTCCCACGTGTAGAACTGGACTGATATCCTTCAATTCTTCGTAAAAATTCCGTGAGCAGTATATATCTTGTTTATGATTGTTCCCCCTCCCTTCTGGCTCTCCAGTCTGTGGTAGTATCACTAAAAAATCAAACTCTAATGTGGGAGGAGAGGCTGCGACTAATCCTTCTCGAGCCGGACTGCTGGGTTCGTTTCGATGAAGTTAAGGTCTACTTTGTGTCCAAGTAGCTCACGGATGTTGCTTACGCCATATCTGAAATCGAAGAGCGTTAGTTGCTAGTTTCGAGCAATTTCTTTCTTTTTCTCTCCACACACAGAGCCACTGGTAGGCCTGGTAGGCTTTTGTTTTGGTGGGGGGGAATAAAATAATAAAGAGCTCCAAGTATTGAACTTACTTGATCATGGTAGGTCGCTCCAAGCTCAATCCCCATCCATACACTCTCATGTCCTTCGGTAGACCCATAGGCTCCAACATCTCCGGCCTGAACATCCCGCTGTTACCAATCTCTACCCACTTCCCTAAACCATCATGGTATCCGAAAATCTCCATACTGGGCTCTGTGTAAGGGTTATAGGCCGGTTTGAACCTAAGCCCATGAATACCCATCTTCGCAAAGAAGACTTCCATGAAGCCAATCAGGCCACCCAGCGCAAGACCAAAGTCAGCAATCACGCCTTCGACCTGGTGGAACTCCGCCAGATGTGTGGCATCGACGGCCTCGTTTCGGAACACCCGATCAATACTGAAATACCGGGCCGGCCGAGGGTTCGCGGCTAGTTTGTGGAGCATATAAGTCGAAACGGATGTGGTGTGAGTCCGAAGGACTAGGCGAAGCGATTCCTCGGGATCCCATGGATATCGGTAGCCAATTGACCCGTACTTACCGGATTGATGTACAGCGCGGATATTGTTCCAGTATTGTTCGTAATCGAGAGCCTTGCTGTTATCAGCGTCCGAAGATCTACCCGTCGTTTTTCCAGCGTTTGCGACATGAACGTCAGATGGGTCGTCTTCTCGCGGCTTATCTGCGCAGACGGGGTCGGAAATATAAAAGGTATCTTGAAGATCACGAGCAGGGTGTTGTTGTGGGACAAAGAGAGCGTCGAAGTTCCAGAATCCAGTCTCTACAAAGCGATTCGTGGGCATCTCCTCGAAACCCATCTCGAAGAAAATCTGTCTAAATTCCTGACGCACTTTGTTCAGAGGATGCAGGGCGCCGCTTGGTGTTATTGCCCCCTTGGCATTGAAATTGTAGGGCTTAAATTTGGCTGTTTTCCATGACCCGTTCGCGAGCATGTCAGCTGTAAGATCGGTTTCCTCTTTGACAAGCTCTCTCGCATATTTGGGACCCTTCGATATTGTGAAACTTAAAACTTTCTGCATCGTGAGAAGCTTCCGCTTGCGCAAGTCCGCTAAGACCTTAGGGTCGGAGTATGTTTTAGTTTTCTGTATGGTCAAAAGCTGCTCTCGGGTGGTGTCTTCGATTGAATCTGTGGCTGATCTCAAAACATCCTTATCTTTTTTAATCCACCCCTTTTTGAATGAATTTCCAGCTCCAACTTTTGCAGCCTCCTTGCCAACTATATCTGGCAGATCCTTTATTTTCAGCCCGTCCAGTGCCGCCCTCACGGCTTCGAACACCTTGGCCTCATGACTGCCATTGGCTACTATTCCCTCGGCCTCTGGAAGTAATACGGCTTGCTCTTGTTCAATGGTTTCATATATAATCATATCTCTGGACCTAAGGCGGTCCAGGGCGCTCTTTAGAGCAATGCTGGGCGCGGCGGGGAAGGCATCGGAAGAGAGAATCGGATCGTCAGTGGAGGAGAGGAGATCTAATATTTGCGCAGTGAGGTCGGAAGCCATGGTTGTGGCAGAATACCTGTCTCAGGGCCAATTCCCCGTCAACAAAAAATTCCTTGGTGGGGGTTCCGAAACGAGGGGAATATAATCAGTTGCGAATTATGACTCTTTGGAGATGTTTTGGCATTTTGATACGGTTAGCCAGCCTGACCATATGCGAAATTTGATACCACTCACTCACGTGATTGAAATTTTTCTCTTCAAAGCTTCCAAATATCGACAAGACAACTACAGAGTTGGGAGAGATCAATTTTTAAGCACCAAAAAGACGAATGAGAAAAAAGCACAAAAAACATACGAAAGCCCGGATTCGCTGGTGGTCACCCACCCAACTACTAACAGGCCGGTGAGTGGCTTGAGTACGGCTGAGCGGACGGGAAGCCCTATTTTCCACTCCCTGTGTTCGTATGTGATAGGTGCTCTCTTGTTTCGAGGTTTTAAGGCCTGTTTGGGCATCTAGTAGATCATACAGTGGGAAGAGAGGAATAGTTACACAGACTCACAGGCGTGTGGCAGCTACTCAAAAAAGTAAACTACTTTGAAGGTATCAGCGTGTCATAGCAGTCCAATATTACGTGATCTTTTGAAATGAAAGATTAAGATCTGTTTGTACATACTTCACACTTCATGAGAAAAATATAATTAATATATTTTATTTGTATTTCAGCATGTTCTAGCTAACTGAGTCTGTGGGGTTATTCCATTCTCAGCATGCAATTAAACCTCAGGCTTTTGCGGTCTGCCTAGACAGAGGTGGTTCAACGGAATGCCTTGCTTGAAGGCTATTCCTACTGCAGCTGCTGCGATTTTAATTGCATATTATGTAGATATATTATGTAGATATATTATGTAGGTCTTTTTGCTACCGCGAGTGCTCTCTCAGAATCGGATGGAATAATGATCGTGATCTGGTTGTGTTGGTTTTGAAGAAATTTTATTGGCCTGCAAAGCCAGGGTGGTTTATATATAGTTTGCGTGTTGAATAAAATATATAACTATATATTTGTTTCCCGCCCATACTCTTCTTTCCTTTCTAAGAGCCATCTCCCTGGAACCACGTCCACGTCCCCATGTCCTCGACCCAGACCCGTTTCACCACGGGAACAAATCTGGTTCACCTGATGTCCCATCAGCCATCCCCGCGAGAACTACGTCACAGGTCTGTCAACCCGCCGACAACAACACCGGCGGCTTCTGGCAGCGCCAGTGATATCTATATAACCAACGGGAGTGGTAAGAAATCCACTAGGGTCCGACCCGGCTATACGTGTTCGACCGCACCACCCCAGGGACTCTATGGAAGGGGCGCCAAATTGTCCCGCGCATGCTCCGCCCCCCTCCCCCCCTCTCCCTGTCATCTTGATATTCCTATATTATATTCTAGCTGCGACGACGGCTACGCAGGAGTCACCACTATTTGACTGGGAAACCATGGGGATATCATCAGATCAGAGGGGATGAAAAAAAGGAACTTGTACTGCCTGTATTAGATTGATATTACCATTCCGTGTAACTTCCCTCCCTCACATTATCGCCCCGGGCCATTGTATCGTTTGCTTCTCCATCAGTCTTGAGTTTCCCCTCTCAGCTCTCAGGGCCTGTCCAAGAATGTAACACTCCGGAATCGAGGGGACTTGTTCATTTCTTGTCATTTTCCTCCCTGCCTCACTTCAGGCTCCCATTTTCTTCAAAAACAAATCATCATCAGTGAATGAAGAATCTGACAGGTCATCATCAAATGCATCCCTGGGGGTTGAGGTGTCATTCAAACGGGGCGGGAGTTTTCATCCATTGATACAGTTTTCATTCAAAAATACCAGGCACTGATATCGCTGTGTCTGCGGTAATAATAATACAGATGGGGCATACTTTACGCGATACGGTACTGACCGTTTAGGGTAAAGTTTTGTTAGGCGGAAAAAATGAGATTTCAAAATTACAGCGTGCATATCTTATGTATGCACAAACCACGGCAATTAGCATGTTCAAGTATTCCAGTGATTGCTCAATGATTCAAATGGAAAATGGAAAAAAGAAAAAATGCTAGAGAGAGGCGAGACGCCACTTGTTGCAGACATTATTGAGCTGGGATGTCGCACATTGGTCGTCGTTTTCGAAATATTCATAGCTCTCTACCGATAACTAACTTAGGCCGGTGAGGATGGGATGGATGTGTACAGAACTTTCTGACACCCTGGAATGCTCGGCGCCTGGTTTCCTGTGGCCAATCAATTATCCTGATCCTGGATTAAGGAGGTTGAAAATGAACAAACCATTTGTCACGTGGAGCGGAGATTCGCCTTAAAATCGGGCCGTCCTCAGGCAAACCTGGCTTTGAACACGAAGGGAAGAACGTAAGATTGATGATTGTTACGTGCTATACAGACCGCCAGTTTTTCTTGCCACCAGCTCTCACATCCAACTGATAAATAAGGAAGAAAAATCGATGAAAATTAGACTAGAAGTACTAAAGGGCGATCAAACGCGAAACAATTCAGTTTCCACAACCATGGATTATTTAGCATTGAGAAAAGTTAGAGAGAAAATTACTGAAAATTATGGGGAGGACGGGGGAAAAATGGTGCTTTGCTGCATTAAGATCCTTTAAATAATTGGCCTAAGCTCCAATAATCTGGAAATCTTCCACATTCATCGAAGCGATGGCAAGTGGCCAAAGTCATTAATCAATACGGTTACTTAGCAATCCGTGCGCTGAAACCCCATGGGTTCCCCCTGGCAATTTAGGGCTGCATTTGAAAGCTGTTAAGTTGATGACGACATGAAGGAAGGGAAAATCAAAACATTTTGCCCCAGACATCAACAGCAAAACTGAGAATCATGGCAAAGCAGACATGACATGGAGGATGGAAGGATAACAAATCGTAGTCAGAACCAGTCATGATTGTAGCGGTATTTGCATGCGCCTGTTGCATCCATGCTGAAGATGGTGAGTAGTATCAAAATCGATTCCCATCGCAGGTCCAGTTCATGAGAGCCATCTTACCCAACTTCAACCCAACCTGCTAAACCCTTGCACGCTTGCTGACTGTGACCCGGGATATCAGTAAGCCTTTATATTATTCTAATTATTAGCGTGAGAGTTATTCGGATCCTGCACAGGAACACCCCCACCCCACCTCCGTTTCCCGCCCCGCCCCTGCAAGTTTTGCCCTCGAATCAAAATATCTTGAGAGGAATATCAGAAGGGAGGTTGCATGGGGAGCCGGGGCGGGGTAAGAAGAGGCAATCTCTGTAGGAACATTGAAAAAAAGAGGTGAGGGAGAAGGAGATCAAGGCCAGTGTTGTCAGGTACTAATAACCATGCGGGATAGCTATCATGGCAAAAAGAAAAGTTTGTTCCTGTGCCAGGTTCCCAGGCTGTCTTTCTCCCTTTCTTTCCGCGCACATTGTGAGTGATTGAGCAAGACAACAAGAAAAATAAACATTGCAGAACTGTACTTTTCCAATGGTTTGAGTGAAACTTCTCCTTTGTGCTTTTATGAGAAGGTCCATGGGTTTGACATGACTTACCTAGCTAGGTATGCATACTTACCTATGAATAGCTATGGCAATGGTTCATTACTACAAACGTGGTGGATATCACTCAGTGCTGACACCTACGCACTATGTCCTTCCAAGGTTCATTAGCTGATTGATTCTGAGGTTTATATAGAGGTATTTTACCTTGGGTATTCAAGTATAGTATTACCTGGTTTGTTTGGTGGTAAACTACGTAGTAAAAAATATCATCAGTAGTATTTTATCAGCCATCATGAGTTGCTGCTGGTGTCCGGATGGGCGGCGCGGTCACAAGATCAGCATGGTAATCGTTAACTATGTGGTATGTATTGTACTCCGTACCGTAGCCTTGTTTGGGTCTGTCAGCCGTTTGGTAAATATAACTAGTTGGATGAGATAACGGACTATGATCCCCCGAGATCCAGCCTAGATATTTATCTCCTCCCCCCCTGTTGTGGTTTATTCCCCCAGGTCGTTGGAATATCTGGATTAACGAGAGGGAAGGTGTGTAAGCACTGCAAGCTCCTGACTGCGATCCGTACCAGATTCAGCATACTCAACGGCAGGATGGATTTGATGGTGCTTAGGATTTTGTAGTTTTGTGAGAAGTTTGTGCTTGGATTTGACGTCTTGTTTGCAGCTGGGAGTTTTTAATGTTCCTATCTATTTTACAAATAGCGAGTTAATAATGACTTTATTCATCATCAAAGTTTATTTTGCCTTACCTATAGCTTTGAAGAATCACCCGCCCGATTAAACGATTCTCAAGAGCTGCTGCTATTGGGCTCTGATTTTTATTTTAATTTATTTTTTAAGATCTCGTAGCCATAACCAGCGCTAGCGAGGTAACCAGCCCGGGCTAGTGTCTGGCCCCTAAGCCGTTCTCGCTTGGGCGCGCGCTGCTGGTCCCAGCAACGTTTTCTCCTCTCCGCTTTTGGCTGGGACTGAACCCGGACCTTCTTCCCTTCCCCCCCCAAACAAAAGGCGCTTTCCTCAAAGAGCCTCGTCCACGCTTTTTCTCCCTCCGCCAACCTGAAGTCTACTCCATCGCTTCTCATCTTCTATCCTCGAGAGTCGACTCAACGATAGGAACGCCTATCTTTCTTTCTTTTCAAGCGATATAGTGGGCTCCTTCTGCCAATTCCCTGCTACCTCAATGTCGGTTTAGCGCTTTTGCCCGTTTTTTGTGTCGAAGAGCACCCAACGCATCCGGTTTGTCAACCCCCAATAGCCCTCGCATAGAGATAGCACCCGCTGCTCACCATCACTAAGCCGCCTACTTTGATGGCAATAACTCTCCCCTCTTATTTTAGAGCCACTGGTGCTTGAGAAGAAGGGGGAAAAAATAGATGAACTGGATTAGCTGACGATTTCCTCGCCTTTTTTTATTTTCCCATCCGCTGTAGGCACCATGACTCGGGGTGATGAAACCCTGCTTGCTGTAGCTGGCATCCTGCAGGGTCTGGCAAAGGATGTCCCCGACTCCGCATCGCTGCCTTTCAACAGCTACAAGTCCAACAATGCTACCAACGGCGATGTGGCGAAAATAAATCTGCCAGGCGAAAACAGCGATGGTAAGGCAGTTTTGGAACGGGAGTTGGAGGATCTGATCCGTAGGATCGGTACTATGCAATGTTTTGTGGTTAGTTGCCTTCGAATCCTCCTTTATAACACTCCTTTCAAGAGTCATTCTTGTAGAGATCGGATCTCTAGGGTGGCATTACCTCTCTTTGCTGGGAAAAGAGGTCTAAAATTTCATCATGCTGACCAACCTTATTTAGCCCCCATCCCGACGATCTACCCGCGCAGCGATTTCCAGTGGACAAGACACTAATTCCCACGGGTCACCTAAACCCCTCCCCGAATCCGATGTGAACTATGAAGACGATATACATTTCCTACAGAACCGAGTTCAACTTCAAGCACAAGAAATACAACTACAGAAAGATGTAATCTCTAGGGTTCGTGAGGAACTCAAAGAACAGGAGAAAAATACCGAGAAAGCCCTAGGGAAGGTGAAAAAGGAGGATGTCGGCATATTAGAGCGGGAACTACGCAAGCACCAACAGGCCAACGAGGCTTTCCAAAAGGCCTTACGAGAAATTGGCGGGATCATCACACAAGTTGCAAATGGAGACTTGTCTATGAAAGTTCAGATCCATCCGTTAGAAATGGACCCGGAAATCACGACATTTAAACGCACTATTAATACTATGATGGACCAACTCCAGGTTTTCGGGAGCGAAGTGTCAAGAGTGGCCCGGGAGGTCGGAACCGAAGGAATCCTTGGCGGGCAAGCTCAGATTACCGGAGTCCATGGTATCTGGAAAGAGCTGACGGAAAATGTAAATATCATGGCCAAGAATCTTACAGATCAAGTCCGAGAAATCGCAACTGTCACGACAGCCGTCGCCCATGGTGATCTCAGCCAGAAGATCGAAAGCAGAGCCAAAGGTGAAATTTTGGAGCTTCAGCAAACCATCAACACTATGGTGGATCAACTTCGTACATTTGCTACTGAAGTTACGCGGGTCGCCCGAGACGTGGGCACTGAGGGTGTACTAGGTGGACAAGCTCAGATTGAGGGAGTCCAAGGAATGTGGAACGAACTTACTGTTAATGTCAATGCCATGGCCGAAAATCTTACGACCCAAGTCCGTGATATTGCGATGGTAACGACGGCGGTCGCCAAGGGCGATCTTACACAGAAAGTCCAGGCTAACTGCAAGGGTGAAATTCTTGCTTTGAAAACAATTATCAATTCCATGGTTGACCAACTGAAGCAATTTGCGCAAGAGGTCACAAAAATCGCCAAGGAGGTCGGAACAGATGGTGTCCTTGGTGGCCAGGCAACTGTTCATGATGTGGAAGGAACTTGGAAGGATCTCACTGAGAATGTTAACGGCATGGCCATGAACCTTACTACTCAGGTCCGCGAGATTGCTGACGTTACCACTGCTGTCGCCAAGGGTGACTTGACAAAGAAAGTCACTGCAGACGTGAAAGGCGAAATATTGGATTTGAAAAACACAATTAACGGAATGGTGGATAGACTGAACACCTTCGCCTTCGAGGTCAGCAAAGTGGCGCGAGAAGTCGGCACTGATGGCACTCTTGGCGGTCAGGCAAAGGTGGATAACGTGGAGGGTAAATGGAAGGATTTGACCGATAACGTCAACACCATGGCTCAAAATCTGACTTCTCAGGTGAGAGGGATATCCGAAGTAACCCAAGCTATTGCCAAGGGTGAACTTGCGAAGAAGATCGAAGTCCATGCTCAAGGTGAGATACTCACTTTGAAAGTGACGATCAATAACATGGTGGACCGCCTTGCCAACTTCGCCCACGAGCTCAAACGAGTGGCGCGCGATGTCGGAGTCGACGGAAAGATGGGTGGCCAAGCCAACGTTGAAGGAATTGCTGGTAGATGGAAAGAGATCACTGAGGACGTTAACACCATGGCTGAAAACTTGACATCTCAAGTGCGCGCTTTCGGAGAAATCACCGATGCAGCCACTGATGGTGATTTCACCAAACTAATCACCGTGAATGCTTCCGGCGAGATGGACGAGCTTAAGCGGAAGATCAATAAGATGGTTTCGAATCTTCGAGATAGTATTCAGCGAAACACTGCCGCCAGAGAAGCAGCAGAACTTGCCAACCGCACAAAGTCCGAGTTCCTCGCAAATATGAGTCACGAAATCCGAACCCCGATGAACGGCATCATAGGCATGACACAGCTGACGCTAGATACTGACGACCTCAAGCCATACCCGCGAGAGATGTTGAACGTGGTGCATAGCCTAGCCAATAGCTTATTGACGATTATTGACGATATCCTCGATATCTCCAAGATTGAAGCGAACCGCATGGTCATTGAAAAGATTCCATTTAGCATGAGAGGCACCGTATTCAACGCGCTTAAAACCTTAGCTGTAAAAGCCAACGAGAAGTTCTTGAGCCTTGCGTACCAAGTGGATAGTTCCGTTCCCGACTACGTCACTGGTGATCCGTTCAGATTACGTCAAATTATACTAAACTTGGTCGGGAACGCGATCAAATTTACGGAACATGGGGAAGTCAAACTTGCTATTAGCAGATCGGATCGAGAGGAATGTAAAGATAATGAATACGCGTTCGAATTCTCCGTTTCGGATACTGGAATCGGAATTGAGGAAGACAAGTTGGATTTGATCTTCGATACCTTCCAGCAAGCTGACGGCTCGACGACCAGGAAGTTCGGAGGAACTGGTCTGGGGCTATCTATTTCTAAGAGATTAGTGAATCTCATGGGTGGTGATGTTTGGGTTACCTCTGAATATGGCCTCGGAAGTAGCTTCCACTTCACGTGCGTTGTAGAACTGGCAGACCAGTCTATCAGCATGATTAGCGCGTCCCTCCTGCCCTACAAAAACCACCGTGTTCTGTTCATCGACAAAGGCCAGACCGGTGGCCACGCAGAGGAAATTACCGAAATGCTGAAGCAGCTTGACCTAGAGCCCATTGTTGTGAAGGATGAATCGCAGGTACCACCACCGGAAATTCAGGATCCCACAGGCAAGGATTCCGGACATGCTTACGACGTTATAATCGTCGACTCCGTCGACACCGCGCGAAATCTGCGCACGTACGATGAGTTTAAATACATACCTATCGTTCTATTATGCCCTGTCGTTTCTGTCAGTCTGAAGTCAGCACTGGATCTGGGTATCACATCCTACATGACGACTCCTTGTCAGCCTATCGATCTAGGCAATGGCATGTTGCCTGCTCTTGAAGGACGTTCCACGCCAATAACTACAGACCACACAAGATCGTTTGATATTCTTTTGGCCGAGGACAACGATGTGAACCAGAGGGTTGCCGTCAAGATACTAGAGAAATGCAACCATGGCGTGACCGTTGTCAGCAATGGCCTCCAAGCTGTAGAAGCGATCAAGAAGCGTCGATACGACGTTATTTTGATGGATGTCCAAATGCCTGTTATGGGAGGATTCGAAGCTACGGGCAAGATCCGAGAATATGAAAAGAAAAACGGACTATCACGAACGCCCATTATCGCTTTGACCGCACACGCGATGCTCGGTGACCGGGAGAAATGTATCCAAGCCCAGATGGATGAATACCTGGCTAAACCTCTGAAACAGAACCAGATGATTCAAACCATCTTGAAGTGCGCAACTCTCGGTGGTTCCCTCCTGGAAAAGAGCAAGGAGCCAAGAATGTCGAGCAGCGGCGAGCCTCCTCACCACGTCCCCAACAGCAATGGAATGAAATCACTAGACACGAAGAACCAACGACCGGGGATGGACAGTCAAGCTACATCGGCATCTGGTGGTCCCAATCCGAATCAGAAATCTGACGTAGTGAGTACACGTCAAACCCGTGTGGCTAGTTCGTGGACTAAAGATTAGAAGTAGCATCTACTACGGTCATGGACCGGCTAAGTCAGCTTTCTCCTTGGTTTTCCAGGGTAGTTCCTGCCTCCTTTCCTTTTACTCACGACTCTTTCCTCTTTCCGTTCTCGTTTTATTTCTCTTTGCGACTTCGTTTACTTGTGTAAGACGATTATGGCCTCATTTCTGCATATATACTATTCGGTTTCGCTTTTTATATTTCCTAGCTATCTCTCGCTTTTGTTTTTCGCACTACTACCTCGTACCATTGCGTTTTTATTGTGGCTATGCTGTCATTGTCGTTACTGCTTTATTATCTTTTTGGTTTCACTTTATTCATTTTATTACCTTTTTTTGGGCTTTACCTTTCCTAATATGTCGTTGGTATTTGTCTTTTTTTTTTTGATGTTTCTTTAAATCTCTCTTCTATTTCCTCCCCCGTATCTCACATCACATTCTTCCCGTGTTTCTGAACGAATCTGCCCTGTTTGGCACCCCCGATATACTTCCTTTTTGTTGAATTCGTTATCTTTGGCGTATGGCGTAGGCAGGGTTCAAACATAACCTCAGTTTCGGCCGGGGAAAAACCAAGACGACCTGGGTGGTGGAGTGGAATAGTTGCGACGGCTTACTTGATTTTATGTGTGTGTGTATAGGTGTTTTCGTCTTCTGTGTGTTTCTTAAAGAAGAGTGGAGCAGCAAGCAGCAACGTGTATTTCATTTTCGCACACGTAGTTATTAGTTATATCTGTGCGCCTTGTTTTTTTTTTTTTTCTACTGTCCCTTCTAATTTACTTTTCATCTTTTCTCCGTTACTATTTATATTTTAACCCTCTCCCCTTGAATCTATTTCCGTTATTTTTCTTTTGACCAGTGGACCCACTCGTTAATGCTATTTTTTTTTTTAAAAAAAAAAAGAAAAAAAAATTATTTGTGCCGCGGTTTTCCTCATCGGGAATATCATCATCACCATCGTCATACCATCCAATTTCAAGTGACGGGGCAAATTTTGGGAAATACGTTTGATATCTGTGTCACAGGCGTTGCGTGGTTGTCAGTCAGCTCTTGCTATACTTTTACCAAAATACCCTGCTTTGTTTTCTTTTGATGAGAAAGCTTTTTTCTCGATTCCTTTTTCTTTCCGGGCCTTTTTTTTTTTTTTTTTTCAAAACAAAAAGAAAAAAAGAAAAAAGAAAAAAAGAAAAAAGAAAAAAAGAAAAAAGAAAAAAAGAAAAAAGAAAAAAAGAAAAAAGAAAAAAAGAAAAAAAGGCTAGGAGTTGTGGGGGAGAGGAAGAGAGCTTATTGTGGTTTTTGAACTTCAATAAACAAATCTAAAGAGTTTCAAACATTATTTGAATTCCTAGCCTTCAAAACAATAATAATCAAAACAATCAACTATCCCACCGTGTGTCCAGCGCCAATTCATTCCCACGGGGATGCGTTGAGGACGGCCAGGTTCCAATCCTTGTGCGCCTGTTTCAGCTATTTATAAAGCGCCTCAAGAATCATATTCGTCTTGCCTGTTGCTTCCTGTTGCTGGAATAGGATATATTTAACAGCAGGTAGCGATCGAATAACTGGTAACTACGCAGTACTTATTATGAAGGACTCAAAAGCCCAATCAACGCCCAAAGACTAGCCTGTCTGTCTGTAGGTGTGCGACGACGTCGCAAGACTGGATTGGATGGAGCTTTGATTCAATGATGAATCCTGACGAATCATCCTTCTCCCGCCGTTGCAAAACGGCCAGATCGCGGCTTGCCGAACAGCTCACCTTGAAGGGAGCTTCCAACGTGCCCGCGATGCTGGAGCTTGATAGGCTCTATTTATCCAGCAGCCTGGGAGCCTTTTATATTTGAAGGCCTCCGGAGAGTCGGCGATGCAAGGCGGAAATCAACCCTGCCTGTCTGAGTCTATGTATCGAGTGCTTTTGGAAGATTCATGGGGACCTATCTGAGTATCGCCCCCAAGGCCTCAATATTTACTTCTAATTCTGTGTGACTACATAACTTTGGCTGGCCTCTGCTGGGTTTAATTTTTTGACGTTCTCAGAGGAGGTTCGAATCCCGGACACACATATATTTTTTACGGTATCATTCCCTACTAAGTGCCCTTCTTCCAAAAGACTTGCAATTCGTACCCAGTGTCAGATCAATGTTGAACTTCATAGAAACGTTCCGCGGTTTCGTGACCAGGACTCCTCCCGTTGCCTACACCACCACCCAAGACTATACAGGAATCTTATTTCCTCACCCGGATACCCCCTGAAATCCGCGTTCTAATCTACAAACTCATCTTCGGCCGCGATACAATCCACCTCTTGCACAACAAGGGCCGTATCAGTCATATCCGCATACCCTCTACGAAGCCGAACTAGGCGCAACGAATATGATCATTTTTACTTTCAATGCTCAGTCGACAGGTTGCAGGTCGCAGGTCTCCAGCCTTCCTCCTAACATGCCACCAAATCCACAATGAGGCCGCCCCTCTCTTCTACTCCACGCCTGTCTTCCAGGAGACATGGAATCCATTCGCCAAGCTCATCGGGCCGGAGAACCTGTTCACATGTCAGATTCCTCCGGGCGCCACCCACCCGTCCACCTCTAGCTGGCGTAGAGTTGCTCCGGACCGCCCGCTTCCACCATCAGTAGCAGGGGGAGCCAACCAAAGACAGTGGTGGGACCGATGCTGTGGGCCTCGTCGGTGGCGGCGGATAGTAGCTACAACAAGGACGAGGAGAGGAACGTCTATGATGAGTTCTGCGATATATTGGCGACGAAAATGTATGGACTAAGGGTTCCTCATGCTTGTTCTGGTGTCGCTGCCTGCTGGCCCGGTTCGGTCGCTGGACGCTGAGTGGCATCGTCCCATCCGGCGCCTGAGGGGACTGATGGAGTTTTCGCTTGAGATACGGAATGAGTCTGATGCGGAGGCTGAGGATACGGAGGCCTTGGTAAGGTTTTTGAGGGAGACGGTTTGTACGCGGAGACAGAGGAGGGGGGGGGGGGTTGTGTTGAAGTAATTCGGACTGGCTTGTTGCCCGTCCGTCCGAAGGGGAGCGGAGGCAAGGGAGGAGAGTGCTTAGATGTAATGTACTAGTGAAACTGCGCCTGTACTCTCCTTCGATAACTATATGATAATTCCTCATTGTTACATCGCGTGTGGTTTTAAGAGGTTCTTGAGGCTAGCCTTCCTTTTAATTTAAGCATATTTATTTTGCTTATAAGAAAGTAAGATCCTAATCTGATACTATCCCTTGATAAAACAAGTAGGTTAATGAATATCAAGTTCATCCTGTCATAAGAAAAAAGAAAAGAAATTAACGCCAATTTTTTGATATTCTGATATGCGTAAGGAGTGTTGGTGCGTTTCAAAGAAATCATGTACATCGACGGTCCGACCATGGAAGAGAGCCCCTCATCAAAGTCAAGAAAAAAAACTGTAAAAATGAAGTCACAAATCATTAGAAGCCATGGGGGCGTCATTAAAGGAAGGACAGTAGTCGAAATGCCGCTGATGCTAGACGTATACTCATAATTTGAGAAACGCATGATGATGAAAAGAAAGGGGTTTGGTTAAAGGTAAAATAGGAAGGTAAATGGATATAAGTTGAAAATTAGGAGATACGAGGTATAATCAATCATGAGGGATAAAATGTACGGTAATATCAAATTAACATAACTGGGCGTGGAGTAAAAATATTTAAAGCATGGACGATGGGCTTATCTCCCCTCCGCGCGTGCCACAAGTTGTCGTTTATATTTCATTTAGAAGAAGACCGGAAGAGCGAACCTCCGTTCTCTGAGATACCCAGAATGGGTAGGATATGCCTCTGAATATGGAGGCTCAATGTGAGAGCTAGGAGTAGGATATGGTGGCGATGTCACTGGATAAGAGGACATGACATCACTGCTCGTGCCAGTAGGATAGGGTGACGATGTCACTGGATATGAGGACATGACATCACTGCTCGTGCCAGTAGGATAGGGTGACGATGTCACTGGATATGAGGACTTGACATCACTGCTCGTGCCAGTAGGATAGGGTGACGATGTCACTGGATATGAGGACATGACATCACTGCTCGTGCCAGTAGGATAGGGTGACGATGTCACTGGATATGAGGACTTGACATCACTGCTCGTGCCAGTAGGATATGTTGACGATGTCACTGGATATGAGGACTTGACATCACTGCTCGTCCCAGTAGGATAGGGTGATGATGTTACTGTATACGACGGTTCGACGTCACTGCTTGTAGGGTGATGAGAATAAGACGTGTGTGGGTAGTGAGGATACGAAGGTTGTGGATAGTGAGGATAAGATGATGTTGTTGGATATGAGGGCTTGACATCACTGCTCGTAGGATGATGAGAATAAGACGTGTGTGGGTAGTGAGGATAAGATGATGTTGTTGGATATGAGGGCTTGACATCACTGCTCGTAGGATGATGAGAATAAGACGTGTGTGGGTAGTGAGGATAAGATGATGTTGTTGGATATGAGGGCTTGACATCACTGCTCGTAGGATGATGAGAATAAGACGTGTGTGGGTAGTGAGGATAAGATGATGTTGTTGGATATGAGGGCTTGACATCACTGCTCGTAGGATGATGAGAATAAGACGAGTGTGGGTAGTGAGGATACGACGGGTGTGGATAGTGAGGATACGACGGGTATGGATAGTGTGATGTCATTGGATATGAGGGCTTGACATCACTGCTCATGCCAGTAGGATATGGTGACGTCGTTGGATACGACGGTTCGACGTAACTGCTGGTAGGGTGATAAGAAGACTGTGGTGGATAGTGAGGATAAGACGTGGGTGAAGAGTGAGGATAAGACTGGGGTGGATAGTGAGGATAAGACGTGGGTGAATAGTGAGGATAAGAGGGAGGTGTAGTTGTTGTCTGGTACCATCCTCCGCAAGCATCGCCACCGCACTTAGTGACGGTGGTGGTAACCGTGTAAACTGTCGGGCAGCTTGTTAGGCAATAAGGAGGACACTCGGATGTGCGAGTGTAAGTAGGAGGCGGAGGAGTGTAAGTAGGAGGCGGAGGAGTGTAAGTATGAGGCGGAGGAGTGTAAGTAGGTAGGGTGAGCGTCTTAGTAGTAGTATACCACGTAGTTGTCGTCCAGGTAGAAGCAGTTTCCCAGGTAGTATAGTAAGTATGGCCACCCGAGGAAGTGGTAGGTGTCGAGTGGGGGAACCACTTTGTTCTGGTTATCGTATCCGTTACAGTATAAGTTGTAACTCTATACGTGGTTTTGGTAGGATGGACGGAGTAAGACTTCGTAATAGTAGGATGGGTGGTGACTGGGTGTGAAGAAGGGGGAACTGGATATGAATCCGTAATGTTTGGAGGAACTGGATATGAACCTGTAGCACTACTAGAGGGACTGACGGAGAAGGAGTCCGTAATAATAGGAGGGGTGGTGACTGGGTGTGAAGAAGAGGGAACTGGATATGAACTCGTAACTTTTGGAGGAACTGGATAGGAACCCGTCCCACTGGAAGGTGGAACTGGATAAGACTTCGTGGTACTGTGCGGATGGACTGGGTAAGACGAGTCCGTCACAGAAGGTGGTTTCGAGGAAGATGGAGGCGCAACTGGATATGATGAGAATGATGAGTATGTAACTGGAGGTGGAGTCGGGTACGAGCTCGTATCACTGGGAGGAAGAGTCGGGTAATAAGAGTCAACCGAGGTATGCTCCGAGTAAGCAGGATACGAGTCCGTCACAGGAGGAACCGGATAGCTTGAATGAGTCTCCGACGACACGGGATCCCCATAAGGAGGATACTTTCCTGGCAGCGCGAACGCAAATTCGGCGACGGCCGCCACGAAAAGCGTTGCAGACACCCTCATGACGAGAATCAGAGCACTCCGTCAAGAGATTTATGGTGTGGGCTATAAGCTGGCTTTTTTGAGAGCGTCCGAAGCCAAGATAGCGACAGTTAAGACTAGCTAATCACTGAAAGCGAGCGGATTTGTCCAAGAGAACAAAGTGTAAAAACTTCTATAAGAAGATATAATCTTCAAACGAGTGTAGGCAAATAGGACGTTGACTGAAAGAAAGGGAACATCGCTCCCTTTATGAATATTTATACCCTTTTCAGCGGGTTTATCATTGTTGCCCAAGATATTGAGACTCCATGGGTCTAAAGTCTCTAGTGTCCCAGTAACTTGACGGAGAACAGGACTTGCATCTCCCCCCCTCGATGAATAATACCCAAGGGTATTCAAGAGCCCCACGAAGAGAAACGAGACTTGGTTGTTGAGGGAGATCTTCCCAGGCCAGAGGAGAAAAGTTTACTGCAACGCCTCAATGACGAAGGCGTGCCACCAGCTGATGCAGCCACAAGAGACAAGACGGGCGTTGCAACTGGAGCAATCGTCGTTGCCCAGCCCACCATGGTTCGTGGGATAAAAAATAATAAAAAATCATGGATTGTTCCCATGGCCGAGGTCCGCTTGGCGGGAGAGTTGCCTCAACTGGGCCAGCAAACAGCAGGGCCATTCGTATAGAAGTGGAGGGTTTTGATATAAAAAGTCTCACAATTTAGTTATTGGATGACTAAAGCGGCCGAGATCTGGGTAAATACCGCGTAATGCGCAATACATTCCGGCGTAAAGGCGGCTGAGAAGGTTACTAGTCGTTGTGGATTAAAAATAGAACTGTAATATATCGCGCTTAACTGTTCTTGGAATAATATTTACTTCTGTGGCTCAACGAACGCAGATTTCAAACCCTAATAATAAGTGAACCAACCCCCCAGCCTCTTCGCTGTTATCAGCACCGTTCCAGTTTAGCTTAGGGCTGCCTCGATTTCGCCCTAAGGTTTAACTATGCATAACTGCGTATGGTGATGTTCAGATGTGACAGCGATCGCCATAATTGGCCTGGTTTCACTCATGCCAAAAGCCACAAGTTGCGTCATAGTCCACTCACAGACTCCAAGGCAACCTGATGACGCCAATTGCTCGTCGAAACAAAACTTGCCAAACTATCCGACCTTTTTTCTCCCCGATTTCTACGGAGCAGAAAGGCTCCAAGAAACCCGCTTTCCATTTCCGTTGAGATTGCCGAGGGGGGTAGAGCCGTAACCCCCCAACCACCCTTCAGCTAGAACACTTTGACCGATGCCTTCAGTATTCCTACTTCCAAGGCAAAGTGGAAGTGTATGATTGCCCTAGATCGTTTTATTATTTCGGATGGAGGCGTTGGGGCAAGGAAATCTAAGATCGGTATACGAGTATAGTAACTATACTTCCAACTCCAAAGTACAGACTTTCCTCAGGCTCTAAAAAGAACAACAGCCTGGCTTGGGCGATAGTCAAGCCATAATCGTTGGCCACACTATTGGCAGTTTTCAGGATCTTGTATCCATTCAAATGGTATCATCGGAGAACGGTGTGCATAAACGAATTTTTGATGTCTGCCATTTTTTATGTCGGATGTATCCCTTCTCGCATGGCGCAGAAATGTTGCTCCACATTTTTTGGGACAAACTCTCCGACGAGCAATTCGCCAACTTCCATTTCCAACGCTTTTTGTCATTTTATTTATTGATAAATTTATTTATTTTTAAGTCGAATCGTGAATGCACTGAGACCTGCCTACAACATCACGAGGAAGGCGAACGAGGTACCATCCCAATGAGGCAACAATTTTACGCCTGCCCTCCCTCATGGCATGGCACCTCGAGTGACTCAATCTTCTTTTTTGACGCGAACAAAGTCGGTTGTACTGGGCGCGGTCATTCCTGGCATCCTGAGACACATTTTATTAGTGTTCTAATTACTGGAAGCTATGATGCTGAGGGGAATGTAATTGATGAGATTTTGCGCTCGCCGCATCAAGGTGTACATCCCCGTCCGCCACTTATTAGAGCTTAGTTCTCCACGACTTGATTTTAGGATTGGTGACTTGTCAAGTGTGGATATCTCTTGACCTTTTGGAAGCAACCTGCCTGCATATTCAAAAGGGCTAGAATTAAACGATGTCTCAGTTGATATCTCGTAGGCAATGCAGATGTAGAAAAATCCAACCCCACCTGCCTTCCTGTTTTTTTCTTTTTTTGTCAACCGCCTCGCCTCCAATGTTACGCTTCCTTTTTCGCCTTGAACTGCCACGTTTACTGCGAGCTCTAACTGGACAGCAGGGAACTCACAATGGTCAAAGACTTGGGCTGCTTTGTGCCGACCGAAATTATGTTTACTTCTTCACATTGGATGATGGGTTGCTATATGGTCATTTGACTGATGAATCCATGCGATTAAGGAATCATTATTCACGATGAGTGTGCATTAGGTTGTCTAAATTTTCTATTTATTTCGACCACTTTGTCCAAGTGTTTCAGGGTTGCTAACCCGATTCGGTGTATCTTGACTTGATATCCCAATGCACACCCCATACTCTCATTTAATAGATCACCCGCACAGAGTCCGTCCATGCCGAACAACTTTCGCGGCGACAAAGCAAACCAATCCCGCAAAATAGCAGACGGTGGTAAATGTAATGAGACCCCAGTAATTGCCGCCATTGCTGGTAAGAATCGCTCCTGCGATTGGAGTGCCCGTCAAGGTTCTGGGAGGAGAACTGGTTAGCATCGAATTGGACCTGAGTTTGCATGATACCAGAAAAACCGCCAGAGGAACGTACCCAAGACTAACAACGGTATAAGCTGTTGCATAATATCGCCCATAGTCTTCTGTTTTACAGCATTCGCCGATGCAAACAGGCGTCAAGCTGATGTTGCTCCCGCTTCCGAATCCAAATACCAACGCATATACTACTAACATTGCAACGCTATCACCAGCCGGCAACCATAGGCAAGCGCAGGATAAGAAGCAAATCGCCACTGTCGCGATCATAGTGTTGAACCTTCCCATGTAATCTGCAGTGAACCCTGGGATCCATCTTCCGAAACAGGATCCGACATTAAGGATAGCAAGCACCTGGTACGAGAACTTTTCCGACATGCCGTGAGAAAGAGCATAAGCGGAGATGTACGTGATCGGGATAAAAAGGCCCCATTCTATGAAGAATATTCCAAGCGTTGTCAGTGCAAATTGTGGTTCCCATAAGATCCGGAAGTCGGGAAGTATATTTTCCTTCGTTGCCTTTTTCTTTGGCAACCTCGACTTGATCAGTATGCACCCGATTGTTACTGAGACAAGCGTAACCAAAGCCATAGCGCGAGTCGCCCATGCAAAACCCACTTTGGGTAACAGATCCTGCATCATTAATGGGTACACAATGCCACCAACGCTCCCTCCTGTTGCGGCAATTCCCGTTGCTCTGCCCCTTAAACGGTAGAAGAAGTGGCCTGGGCTAGCGAAGGCCGGGGTGAAGATCAGAGACACAGCAATTCCACCAATAACCCCCCATACAACCATGAAATGCCAATATTCCTCGCAAAATCCGACCAGGGAAATGCTGAGCATTACCATGACGGCGCCTGCAAGGACGAGAAATCGAGGACCTTTGGCATCGAAGATTGGGCCGATTTGGAGACCACCAAAGAACATGAGGAACGCATAGATGCCGAATATCCAGCTGATGCTGCGCTGGCTATACTCCTTTAGCTGATGCGTACTTATCCATGCTAGAAATGATCCTAACGAATTCGAAAGACCCAGAGTGCCGAAGAGAGCCATGAAGGATCCAAAAACGACAAGATATGCCTCTACCCCGCCTTCGGGGTATATATTTCCCTCAAGATCTCTCGATAAGCTGTCCGCTCCGGGTAGTTGTGAACCTGGGCCATCGCCGTTCTCCTCTAGGGCTAGGGATGAATTTGATTTCCTGTTTGGGTATTTTTCGATATCCCTTATATTCTTGTCATCAGTGGCTCCTAAGGTTGAGAGTATATTTTCGGTCTCGATGAACCCCTTTCCGATATTCCCTTCTCCTTTTACTTTTTCGTCCATCTCAACATCGCCTATCTGTTTTTCGCCAGATGCTGTTGAAACCGATTGAGCCGGGGGAGGGGGGGATGATTCCCCTTGTTGGCCATCTTGGACATTAAGATGGCCGCTATTTTGTTCATTGAATCCCCCATCAGCACCAGGGGCTTCAGGAATTCGTTTCATGAACTAGGCCGATATCCCCAATCTCGTTACAACTTTTGGCGGGCCAATCACTCAATCCCTGGTAATCGTTCATAAAAATAAACTCATACCGATAAGTCGGTTTCGTGTTGATTATCCTTTCTCTCAATTTTTCTATTTATTTTCTCCCACCGGGATTTGCGGAAGAGGAGAGCGAGAGTACGCTAGGCCAGCCCTAAATTCTCGATTACCATGTTTTTAGACTGGGAAGGGCTCAGTGGCGGAATTTCCTTTCCCGAGCAAGGGCTGGGACTCAGAAGTTCCCTCATTGTTACTAATATAATGCTCGGCGTTGAAGGTTTTTTCTCGGTGGGTCCTCACTGGTTGTGGCGCCCGATGTTAACTAGTTCTCCTCATTCATAAATTAGAATTGTGGCGGTTTCTCGCCTCATCCTTGTGGTCTGGTCTGGAAACGGCGGAGCCCTCCGGTGCCGAGAGCACAGGTTCCCGTCGGCAGCTATTTATGTCATCGTAAAGCTAAATAGTAGTTGTCTATGTCACCTTTGAGAGGGAAACATGCTCATTAATATCTGATACCTTGCTGCAGCCGATTTATTCTTAGGATGCAATTATCAAGAGAGCAGTTTTTGATTGTGATCATGGCACTCACAACTTCTCCCCACAAAATCCAGATATGTGACTGTGTGAGTTCCCAAGTCATTGCCTAACTACCAGTGAAAACAAATATTCAGTGTCTGCAGACTGTGGGAAAGCTGTGTGTGCAGTATAGAGCCATTGTGTCATCTTCTACGGAGAAAAGAGGAATATTTGGAAAATATTTCCTTTTCCATAATTAGCCCATTTTAAATATTTCAGGAAAAAAGAAAGGGGGAGTTAAGTTATTAACTTATAAACATAAACAAGGGGTCTGTCTGTCTGGTTCTACTCTGAACTGAGGTAGATTGTGTTAACATTTCACTATGCAAGTAAGTATACTCTGTAGTATGCGCCTCTATGCGTCATCATACACAATAGATAAGATCTTGCATATCTTAAGAACTTAATAGAATCAACTATCTTACGAGTCTCTTTTCTCTTTTTGCCACTGCTTTGTTCATAACAGATGATGTCATGGCATTATTTATTTACTAACTATGTATGTTATCTGAACAACTCATATTGGAAGTTTTCTCCTTTGATGGTTGGTCGGTTCCTCAAAGTAGAAATATACATGTATAACTCTTGAAATCTATAAATATTTATTCTCTCACTGCCTCTTAAAATAGAAATGATGATAAAGTCCTTCATGACATTCATATTTCAATAATTTCCCTTATTTCATCCGTTGCAGTGTCAACTATACATGTACCTCTCCTGCTCGCAATCAAACACTTCTTGTGGGTAACTAGTAGTTAGTAGCCTGCTAGAGCCGGGCAAAGAAGGAAAAAAAAAATAAAAAATGGGGTCTCGGCGCCGCCATTGCCTTCCACAACGCTAGCTAGCCTGGAGGTTAAAATAAATCTCAGACTGACTTTTGACTTTCATTTGAGATTCACAAATTGTGAATCACTTTCATCTAAAGAGAAGAAGAATATAAATGTATAATTTTTTATATAAAAAAAAAATTCAATCTATCTTGTTTGAAAGTAATCAATTTTTTTCGAAAATAATAAATTATTCTCATATTTTTTTTTTTTAAAGAAGTAGTTATAGATTATGATACTTTATATTTAAGAAATAGAAATATGAAAATAAAAATTATTATTATCATGAGAACATTGATTTCTCTACTCTGTAAACTTTAAAATAATACAGACATGTTGAATCAATGAAGTTGATTTACTTTTCTCATTCATGAATTATAAGCGGCCGCACGTGACCCAGCGAAGATGGGGGGGGTTCGTCGTCGCATCGCAACGGCATCCAAAATCTTACCCTCTAGATGTCCTCCCCGTCCCCCTCCATCGCGGCATGCGTCGAGAAGTTGTCATCCTCGTGAATAGCCCCCCCGGGGAGGGGGGGGGGGGGGGTGGCGGCAAGGTATCTATCATATGTCATATGCCCATGTCAGTCAGGACTCAGAACCTGGCCATCGATCGAGGCAAAAAGAAGCTCTTCGATCTGAAACGACGTCTTTTAGGCACATCTCGCCGTGACAAAAAGCACCGTTTGCCGCATCTCGGATAAAAAGTCCCTCCCAAGGGGCAGGCATGGCGTGGTTGTGCACTACAGCACCACACCCCTTCATCGAGCATTGCGGGCCTCCCCTCCCGTTCCCGTTCTCGTTCCTGTTCTGTTCCAGGGCGCGTTATAATGCGTCACAAGGCGGGGCGATGTGCGATGTGCGATGTGCGATGTTCTCGGACACGCTGCGCGTGGAACTCCGCCCGTTCGACCTCCGAGTCGTCGTCAATGTGAAAGACTCGGTGTAGGGCACGTCGAGGTTTTTCGATGATAAGATCCACACCGCCTCGCTCGCTTCCCAAGGATTCGCTCTTGCAGCTGGAGAAAACGACTCTCGAGAAGGTGATGGAGCCTTGAAGGATTGAAGGGGGTAGGGTAGAGAGCACGGAGCCGGTGGTCTGGGCTGATCAGGTTGTGGAGGACCTGCTGAGAAGCAAGCTGCCCCTGACGGTTTGGAAGGGGGTGAAGGGCAGAGGGAGTAAGTTACCTGGTAGTCGAAGACATCTATGGTTGGTTACGTCGAGATTTTTGAGACATCACCCGCATTGGCCTTTTTTTAGTAGAAGGGAAGATGCATCTCTAATGTCTACAGTAAGCTTTCTTCGGATATCTATTCTTTCTGCATAAGGTAGAAAATGCACATATCACACGCGCGAAGATAGTTGTGAATGGAAAGATCTTGACCATAGTTAGCAAAAGTAATGCACGTATAAATATAAGCTAAAAAACAATGTTTTCCATCCATCCACCAATCACCACAAATATTTGCGCTCATCACTCACATCAATGTAATCCATCCATCCCGACGAAAACTTCGAAATATCCACCCCCCCCGCCACCCCCAAAATCATCATATCCGTTAACCGTAGCTTGAGTATATATATATATGTATGGATGTATAAAGCGAGGAAAGTTTGATATATCATGTAGTTATAACAATGAAAACATAAACCATAAACATGAACAAAAGGGGGAAATGAGGAGAAAAGATAGATAAGATCTAAATCTTCATCCCTCCCCCATCCACTACCAGCACAGTTTCAGTGGAAACAACCAACACCATCGCTGCATCTGATCACATACAAAAACGCACCAATTTTTCATTTTTCATTTTTCATTTCAACTTTTTGGCAACACTCACACCAGCGACCACCCTTTACAAACTCGCCCTCCCCCTCGTCTCAATCGGCAACAAAACCATCGCCACAAACGCCGCAAGCATCAAGCCCCCAGACGCATAAACCGGCGCCTTGGGGTTGCCCGAGCTGCCATAAATAGCCACAATGGGCGCCAGCAGGCCGCAGATGCGGTTGATGCAGCTGGCGATGCCCGTGCCCGTGCCGCGGTTGGGCGCGGGGAACACTTCCGGCGTATACGCGTAGAGCACGCCGTACATGATGTTCTGGAAGAAGGCTTCCAGACACGAGCAGGCGAGCTGGACGTCTGGGTCGTCGGAGATGGTGAAGCAGAAGAGGGTGACGGCGGTAAGGGCGGTGGAGATGGCCATGGTGCCCTTGCGCCCGACGTAGGGGATGTCGACGGTGTAGCAGGCGAGGATGGAGCCGGGGACGCCAACGATGGCGGTTATGGCATAGTTGCGGTAGACTGTGTGGGGGGTTGGGTATTGCTTAGTTGGTTGGGTTGGAGATGAATGTATATATATGTATACGCATATTTTTGGATCCTCTCATAAGGAGATTTTGAAGAACTGTGGGAGGGTATAGGTATGGCTGGAGGCTCTGAACATACCAATTGAAACGGGTGTTTCTCCGCTATTCCCGAGGTATTGGGGTAAGAAGGCGTTGAAAAGGGGATATCCCATGCCAATGGTGCCCCAGCAGAACCAAAGGAGAACAGCTAAGAAATACGTTAGCTACAATAACTACTTCTTCCCCACCCTTTTTCCTTCTTTTTTTCTTTCCTCATTAGTATCATAAAATAACGAAGGGAACATACTCGTAAACCCCATCCTCTTAGTCGCAAAAAGCGGCGCAATCCGCTGCGCAGAAAACTTAGACAGCTGCCTCCTAACAATCTCCGAATTCGACAATTTCTGCTGATCAGGAGAAATTTGCTCAGGGTGGCCGCCAATCTCGTTCAGGATTTCATTGGTCAGCCAAGTCTTGGCTCCATTCTTATACGCGATGGCATGGACGGTGGCCACAGCTTCTTCCTGGCGGCCACGGGAAAGAAGGAACTTGGGCGACTCGTAGAGATGGAAGAGGAAGAAGCGGCAGAGGAACATGACGAAGGTCAGGGCGCCCAGGGTGATGACGAGATAACGCCAGCCCATGTTGTTTTCCTTTGTGCAAAGTAGATCTGCTGGGTCGCACGAGAAATTTGGGATGAGGCCCCAGGCAATCATACTGGAGTAGATCATCACTGTTAGCTTTCTGCAAGGGAAGCCCAGGAAAACTGGGGGGGGGGGAACCCAATGATAAGAATATATGTATATGTATATATTTACCTTCCGACAAGGGTACCAAGGGGCCACCAAATACTCAACATTGTTAGGAGATTGCCCGAAGCAAAGGGCAGGAATTCCAGGAACAATGCGCCATCAACGGGCAGATTGCCACCAACTCCCAGCCCTAGACATGCGAACATCGAACAGACACTAAGAAAAGAAAAGAAGAAAAACGTTAGTTTCTATACTTCACTTTTTGCGACCCTAGCCTGATAGCTAGAACTTGCTCAACCTACCCAACCCATGTCGGGCTACCACCCGACGCAAGGCCGAAAACACCAGTGATGAGCAAGGTCAGGTTAAACGCGAGACGACGACCGATCATGTCCGACGCGGTACCCCAGACCACAGCTCCAACACACAAGCCAACGAACAGCGAGCAGGTTGTGAAGCGGACATAGGACTCGTCAATCCCGAATTCCACGGAAAGACTTGGTAATGTCAAAGCAACGCCCTACAAACAAACGGGGAGGACTTGTTAGCCTATCCATATATATTTTTAACCCCTGAGTTTCTTTCGTATTCGCTTATTCTTTTTTTTTTTTTTAAAAAAAAAAAAATCTTCAGATGACGGTTATGGTAAAACATACCTGTAACCAGAGGCTGCAATACAGTTCAAAACAAATGAGTTATTAGCCGGCCAATTTCCACAATATATATTATAAGTCGAGAAAAGAGAGAAAAGGGGTGGGGGGGGGGATGTTTAATCTCAACGTACTTGTCTGCCAACCAGCCAAAACCACAGAGAACAAACAACTGCCATTGATATTTTCCCATTCCAATATCCTGGACAGCCAAGTTAATCACTTTTGATTTACCTATAAGCAGCGATTGAAAAAAAAAAAAAAGAATTAGATCCATCATCTTCAACAAACATAAAAACAGATAAAGCGAGCTATCCTGGTCGCGTCAGGGGAGGAGGGGGCCCCCTGTTATGAACCAAAACCGGACAAGGGGAGCGACAAATGGACGGGCCTATGGTAAAGTTTGAGTGATAAAAGTAGGCCGGCCTCCTCTCTTCCAAATCGAGGAAGTTTGCTTTGAGAGTGACATGGAGAGAGAAAAAGAAAGCACAGAAAAACATGTAATATATCAGCAAAACATACGATCATATGCGGTATCACTGCCCGATGTTGCCACATCGCTCTCTACCTCAGCTCTGATGGCATCCAAAGTCAAGCCAGAGTACTGCTGGTCGCTCAGGGAAGACGAAGAGCCCTTTTCTGCTACATTGTCCGATTTTCCGTCTCCAGAGTTGGTGGGGGAGGCGGGGTTTTTGTGTTGGGCTTGCGCCAGAGGCACCACAACGCCAGGGAAGGACGAGAGGTCGTTATTCTTCAAAGGATTCACGAAGAACGGCATGGTTTCGGTTTTGCTTGTCTTTTTTTTTGGTTTTGGGGGGGGGGGGGAATGGGTTGGTGTTAGATGTAAGCTGCGTTGGGCGCTGTTGCTTTGGAAAGGCCGGTGGAGGAGTTGTAGATGTAGTAGGTGTATGATTGTTGAGTCTATCAGAGAAACATGAACGCGTGTTTGGGGGGGGTTTGCTCTAGTGATTGGTAGATAGATAGATGGATATAGACGACTCGTTTTTGTGTCGCACAGGGCTGGATATGTCAGAACATATGCGTGAATTGGCGTCAGGCTACCTGCTGGAGTGAAATATTGCTGCATCTGGGAATCCCGAGGGCGGGGGCTGTTGTTGGATTGTTGCTTTGGGATGGATAGACCACAGCCTTAAATCAGATACCAATCAAGATTGCTGCTCAGGGTTTATCCAATTGACGGAGCACGAAAGTATGCGTATGCGGGGCCCCCAAGTTGGTTTGTCGGATGTGGGTAGTAGTAGTAGAACCCGTTTTTTGTATCACTCACAGAAAAAAAAAAAAAAAAAAAAAAAAAAAAAAAAAAAAAAAAACAACAAACAACAGGAAGTATATAGGGAATCAAGGTGTATAAGGCACCTGGTGAAATTTGTGCAATTTAAAGTCAAAACACAGAATGTGGAGAAGCTCAAGGGTATGGTATGTATGTATATATAGAGATATATATATCATGCGATATATGTGCTTGCAACCGGTACAACCCGGCCTATTCAAGAACAGGGGATGTGAGGCCCACCAGAAATAATAATACAAGAAAGATTATCCCGAGAACAGGATGGGGTCGTGGGTTATATATACTTCTTCAGTATCGGTAGGCCGAGGTATCGAATGCACCAGGACCAAAAAGAGTAATGCGGGAGGGAAGAGAGATAGAGGAAGCGCTGTGAGCTGTGAGCTGTGGGCTGTGGGCTGTGGGCTGTGGGCTGTGGAGTGAAGTGTGAAGTGATACAGGGATACAGGGATACAGGGATAATAAGGGAAAGGGAGAAATCAAGCAAGGGAAGGGGCAAAAAGTTAAAAAACTACAGGAACTGCCCAGCTTTGTCATTGGATGCAAAAGCGCGCAAAAAGGAAAGAAAGCATAAGAAAAAGCAAAAAAAGCTAGGTAAGGGTCTGCGCCGCCTCGTAGGGTGTTAGGGGAAGCAAAAGAAGACAGGAGACAAAAGGAAAAGAGGAAAGAAACAAGAGGAAAGTAATTAGCTGAACAATGTTGTGCTACAGCATAATAGTAGTATATAGCTTAACTATAGCGAATTACACTAGTCTCAAAATAAGTTAACCCCACAGCAATTAGTTAGTAGTCAGAAGCTATACTGCGTACGCTGTACGGAGTACGGAGTAGAGCCACATGGTTGCTTAAAATGCAACTCTGGAGTCATTATCCCATTTGTCTCACACATTTTTCTCAAAATAATCCACAGATTTTATTCAAAAGCAGTATGGAATTCAATAGATGAGAGTATTCTCTATAATCTATCTATTATTAGATGGCTGCAGTCACAGAGGCAGAGAGGTGATATACAAAATATTGAGAGAGAAAAAGGTTGCATCTACGGAGTAACTACTGAACAACGATCAACAGTGCATACTTCAAACTACTTTGAGACTAGTGTAAAAGTTTCAAACTTTATTCAGGTACTTCCCAAGACAAGGAACCATCAGAGAGCCCGAACTCAATCCCATTGGTAAGCATATCCCCAGCCAATCATAGACAGGGAGTTAAAATGGCCGATGGATCTTAAACTCAAAAAGCGAACTCAGTCCCAACCTTCCGAGGTTCAAGGGACTGCAACTTTGCAAAAAACCTTGCAAACCTTGCAAACCTTGCACAGACATGTGAGGACACACACAAGTTTACAGAAGAGAAAACCAATCAATTTCCTTCCTAAATAATGTCCGACCAATCACTTGACGGGGGAGTCGAGTTTTTGTAAGCCAAGAATATTATCTAAGCTTGTAGAATTTTTCTCATAGCCGCCTCCCCTCCCATTGGCTGGTTTCGAGGAAATGGCCCCTGTCGCCCTTGAGTCCCTTCCCTTCCCCCACAGAAAACATCTTGGTAACTTGGTAGTTAAGCTCCACCCGAGCCGACGCCATTCCATTCCTGAAACAACACAACAAATATGAAGCCACTTTCGTCATTGCCAAGCCGCGGGCATTTCGGGGGAAATGCTTAAGTTAAGGGTTGGGTTGTGCACGGGTGTTCTTCATACTACCTAAGGTAACAATAATAATCAAAAGTATTCAACTGTGTATCAGTTCGCGTGTACCTTTCTAATAATAGGTAACGTAACGCGGATACCTAGGTACGATCGATACTTCCCGTTGAGGTAACTAGGAGTTAGAGAAGTGCGTGAAAACGGAACAGAAAAAGAGAATATCAAGAACGAAGCGGTTGGAGGCAAATTACTCCACTTAGCAGGCGCATGTGGAGTTGTGCTATCCTTCGATTCTTCCAGTTGTGTCACTTGTGTACGCAGTGTATGAATCTTCCTTGTTTCCTTCTCTGCTGAGATTGGGTAGAAAAAGTAGAGGCAGGTTGTCTTCCCAGATGGATGTGCCACAATATGACTGCCTGTGGTTTTTTTTTTTTTTTTTTTTTTTTTTTTTTTGCGTATGCCACGTTCATGTAATGAAACAAGTTCCAAACTGCTGCTCTTAACACCGATGTCACACTTCTTCAGTCAGAGTAGTCTACACAGCGCCACCACGAGTTCGGACTTCTGAGTGCCCCGTCCGGATGCTGACTCTGTAAGCTTTCGTCATCTATCTGTCAGCTACTGGGGCAAAGGAGCTCAATCACGATTCACCACCAATTAACACTGGAGGAAGAGGAACACACAGGAGAGCTAGCCTTGGTTGACACTAATCAGACTCGCGTGACGTGAGGAAAGTTGGAGAACATTGTTCAATTGTTAAAAGTGCAATTGACAGATGGAGATCCCATCCACATGCAAAGTCAATTGATCCAACACAACTCAAACCAGACCAAGCGCACGCGATCAAACAGACTAGGTAGATAGGACTAGTTATCTAAGGTACATGTACATACATGTATCAATATGCCCCAATCGATTGGGACGACGATGAGTGATGAACGAACCTGTGCCAGGCGCTCGTATGCAGAGAGATGATAATTGATATTTTATTAGAAATAGCCTGTGTGCCAGGGCGGCGGGTTTCTCTGCGCTGGTGCTTGGTTGATCTGATCCTATCTTTCTAAAAAAAATCAAATGTTTCAACTTTTTTCTTTCTCAGGAGTTAGATCCCTTTTTCTTAGAGAAAGGGAGGGGCGAGGTTAATCGCTATAACAGGGTAATATGGGGAACTTCCTTTATAGCAGCAGTAACATACTATGTACAGAGTAATGATATGAACTGATTCAATATCCGCAGTTTTTGCAGCGGGTCGCTTCCTACAGACACAGACACAGATCATCATCAGAAAGCACAATAATAATTATCAATCTTATGCACAGCACGGCCCATTTCGGAATAGCCATCGCATTTTTATTTTTATTTTTATTTTTATTTTTATTTTTAAAAAAAGCCATTAGTTATGAACTCGATACGAGGACCCCGGAACTTCACCACGATGATCACCGTACAAACACGAGGAAAGGCGGGACGGGGTCTGCAGACTTGTAGGTCTTGTAGGCGGTTTGATTGCAAGGGCGGGTGTTTGGCACTGTTGGTGTTTGGGAGAACAATAATTTCTAACGTTAGTTAACTATGCGACACATCAAAATATGAGGATTATCCGCCAGAAGCGATCCCGATTCCGCAAACTAACAAACAAATTTCCCAATTGCGAATCGCATCCGTTCGCTTATGAATAGTTACAGAAGGCATCCATATGTGTAGTTACTTTATTATTATTATTATTATTATTATTATTATTATTATTATTATTATTATTATTATTATTATTATTATTATTATTATTATTATTATTATTATTATAATAAAAGAGTGGGGGTGAATAATAGATAGCCATGCATTCGCCATGACTTCTTTCAAGCTTCGATTTGACACCCTGCTGGGCCATGCTTTACTTCATCTCTTCTTGAATGTTTCGTTAATAATCCAAGGCTAGCTTTCGCTTGATGGAGCTTGGAAAAGAGCAGAGTTCTACTCAGTCACTGCTGCTTGTCAATCTCATCTCTCTCTCTATCTCTCCGTGTCTGCTGCTGAGCATCAACATAAAAATAGCACACATGGGAAGTGGGACTTTGCTTGTTCTTGCCCACTATTACGAGGAGCAGGAATAATCTAGTCAAGTCCATCCATAGTCACCCATGCGATAAAGTATATTCTTAAGCAGTGGTGATTCCAAGAGGAAACGGGTGATACTGCGATTGTGATGATCTCTTCTTATTCGGCACATCAATCACTACAATTCTTTGGAAAACAAATAAAATGAATGCCTTGGGTATACATATAAAGTTATCTACGGCGGCATGCCTAGAGTACTCAGAAAGTAAACATGGTCGCTTGCTTGAATTACTTGTTTTGTGCTATACAGAGTATGGAACCATGAAAGATGACTGATAGAAGTGATTAAAAAGAGAATATATTATTTATAGAAGCAGATTCATACAGAGATTAAATGTTTCAATGAAGAAATTGTACTGTACAGTACGGAGTACTTTAAAAAGTATGACGATATGCCATGACATTTTATTTTCATATATTGGGGGGGAAGGAGGGGGGGTAGCTAGTTACGATACGACCCCGTATATGTCCTATACATATAAGAAAAACATTAAAAAAGACAAAATAGAAAAGGAAACAGAGAAACTTTCTCATAAGCCATATCTCACCTCAACTCACTCATGCTCTAGATAGAAAAGGGGAAAAAAAAACCTTATGGCCCCTGACCGAGCCCATCCATCATCCCAAGGTTTCCCCCAAGGCTTCTTGCCATTTATAACGTAGTATGTGAAAAACTAAGTTTTATGCCCTGTGCCGTGGATCCTGTGGCCTCGGGTGTCACACCAAATACAAGGGGGGAAAAAATGAGAGAGGTGGGGGAGGGGGGAGGAAGAAGACGAGGGAAGGAAGGCAGATAGGAGGAAGTGGAGGAGGTGAAAAGGATAACAGCGCGTGGAGGGGTAGAGATTGGGTTGAGGGAAACATAAGAGATCGCTTGTTTTTCCTTGCCCACCCTTCTACTAACAAGAGCGAGTCATGCTATCAGCTGTATATATAAAATGATAATATATAGATATCAAAAAGCTAGACAAAAACAGCACAATATGATCGTTAGAGGAAGGGGAAAAAAGAAAGTAGTGCAGGCATAGAATATATAAGGAAATCATGAAAGGGGGGAGACAGGGAGACGATATCGGAGTCAAAAATCAGCATCAAGAGCAAGGTAAGAAGGGAGGTTGGGGGAAAAGAAATTCAAGGACAAGATCTAGCCAGATCTATACACGACAAGTCGCAATCAAGATTCAGCATCCCATACATATACCCACACAGAATCCAACAGAAGAAGGGAAAGAAAAAGAAAAACAAAACATCATCATTAAACAACCTTCTGCCCCTGCAACCTTCTGCCCCTCCTCCCCAACAACGTCGCATTATCTAAACTAAGCTCAAACGGCTGTCTCGCCGACCGCGCTGCATTCTCCCTCGCCGCCGCCGCAACAGTAGAACTATGCGTCCCATAACCGCCACCGCCCTGCTGTCGTGGCGCTTGTCTCTGCCGCTGTTGCTGTTGTTCACGCTGTCTCGCCTGCGCCGCCGCACTGGGTTGCGTAGCAGCGGTTGCATTCAGATTCGTAGATTTCAACTTTGCCTCCATGGTTGCTACTTCGGTCGGGTTATGCCCCGCCCGTGGCGCTACCTTGGCGGGATTCGCGGCATGTTTATCTTGATCGTAATAAATTATTCCCTCGAGATCTTCGTCATTATCGCTGTTGTCATCATCGAAGTCTTCATTGAGCGGGTTGAGGGGTGCATGGAAGCCCTGTTTGAAATTGTTGCGTCGTTTGCCTTCTTCTTCTTGGCGGTGGACGGCGTAACTGATATCGAAGACTTCGCGGAGATTGATGGCCCCTGGCGATCGGAAATCCATCTTGCGATCCATCACTGCGGCGGGGGTTTCTAGGAATTGCGCATGGAGGGCGGAGGGAGTTGCGAGCGGTGGCGCATCGGCGGCCGCGTGGGTTTCTTCGTTCGTTTGTTTGATCCACGGGTGTTGCAGGAACTCTTTGATGGTGAAGCGTTTTTCCGGGTCGACAGTTAACAGGTGGGAGACGAGGTCTTGGGCGGGTTTAGAGATGTCGTCCCACCAAGGAGAGAGGAAAGTATATTGACCCCGAGCGACTTTCTCGGTTAGGACTTGGATGCTCTCATCATAGAATGGAGGGAAGCCGCATAGCAGTGTATAGAGGACACAGCCTAAAGCCCACATATCGACGCTTTTGGAATAACGTTCATCCTTGACGATCTCAGGGGCAGTGTAACCAACTGTACCGCATGGCGTCATCGTTTCGCTATCCCATATTACCTTGGACAGACCGAAGTCTGCCACTTTGATCTGACCAATACCGCCACCCCCAACACCGGGAGTGAACTCGCCCTCATCGGCTTTTTCTTCGTCACCAGGAGCAGGTGGTTTTGGATTTTTGGTTGGAATGAAAGGAACAGGATAAAACAGGAGATTTTCAGGTTTGATGTCACTGCGGGAGGAAGAAAATTGGGCTATTAGCGGAGTTGCGTTATCAAAGGGGACGTCATGACGCTACGTAAAATGAATACGTACCGGTGAACAACGCCACAGTGTTCATGTAGATATTCTATTGCTTTTGCGACTTGTAGGATAACATGGCGACTGAGGTCTTCGCTAAAGTATGTCAACCGAACGATTTGGTGAAAGAGTTCGCCCCCAGGGCAAAGCTCAAGGACGATATAGTAAAACTGCCTCGACTCTGAGAACTCGATCAATTTGACGATATTGGGATGGTCGATTTGGCGCATTATTTGAACTTCTTTGAGGATGTTGGCTCGCTTTATGGAATAAAGAAAATATGGAAAACCAAGGAGTTAGTGACACACTAGGGGTATGGTTTGGTGCGAAGAGTGCTAGATAGCCAAATCTTGTAAAGAATATTCCAAAACTTGTATCCAAAAGAAATCGAATCCAAGAGGTGAAAACTTAGGAGTCAAGTAAGACTCACCTCCACGACCTGTTTTTGCTTCTTCTTGAGGTCCGGATGAAGATGAGCCTCGCCCTAGAATTCCACTCTTCGATGTTGGCGAGAGTATAAACGAAGAAAGAATAAAGATGAAAGTTGGATAGAGAGAAAGTGAAAAGAACCAAGGCGCGCCGCATGCTGACAGAATGTGTCGCAATGCGAAAATAAAGAAGACACCACATATTAAAAAACAAATGGGGGAGTGGGAGAGGGAAGAAGGAAATGGTCCGGTGTCAGGTGACGGATGCATACCTGTTTGGAGTTCATCTCGAATTTCCGCACGACCTTGATAGCAACCTCCTTAAATTTCCCAGTCGTATCTCTGGCTCGATATACATTACTGAAAGCACCATCGCCCATTTTCTCGACTAACTCCCATCTCTCCAGTCCCGGGTATTTTGGCATCATTGACCTACTCCGTCTCTCCTCCGCGATTATCTGCTCGATTTCCGACTCATGCACTCGTGAGCCTTTATTGGCTGCTGTCCCTGTTTGTTTTGATCCTGGCGCATTAGAGGCATCCTTTGGTGGTAATCTGCAATCCAAAGCATCCAAACCGCGGATAGCAGGATATTGGCCTTGAGGCTGTTTCTGTTGTTCTGCGTGGATGGTAGAGACATTTGTGGTGGGCTCCGCGTGGGGTGTGGCTACGCGGGCCTGCTTGCCATGACGTATGAAATTCTTGAGGCTCTGAATAGTACTCATGACGGGCAAAATCAGTCTCCTAGGAGCTGCTGATTGTACGGAGCGTCTTTCAAATAATGAACAGGAGGTCAGGTCAGGTCAGGTTAGGTCCGTTAGGTTATAAGGAGTGGCTCGAGGGAGGCTATCCCGTCGAAGGACGGGAAGTATATAGGCGGCAAATCACGACGGCTTTGCGAGGACTCAAAGCGAGGATGTCAATGATAGGGAGGCCAGAAGGAGTTTAAAGGAACGACAATCAGGTCAGGGTAAAAATCGATCCCAGGTCTGAAAAGTGGTGGGAGGGAAAGGAGCCTGGCTGCCGATAGATGGTAATTCGAGGGGATGGCTGGCGGTAGTAAAGCGCCGAAGAAGGCGAATGGAACAAGCCACCTGGGCAGAAGAAGGAAGGGCAGGAAGGAAGAAGCGGCTAGCCAACGACAAGGGATACAAGGAGATACAAGGGAATATAAGAGAACGGGAAATTAGAGAGTTAACCAGAGGGAGAGAGAGGTTAAGGAGGAAGAGGAATAATAACGACAAGGGGAGAGAGATCGCGGCATCAGCGGCGGTACGGCTGGTTGGTATTAAAAATCTTGATTGTCGCAGGTCTTGGCGATGAAGCGCAGGTCAGGTGAGGGGGGCGGCTGGTGGGGGCTGAGGAAAACGTCATAGGGGAAGAGCCAGTAAGTACTTCGAGTATGCGGGTTTTCATCATAATTGTCGATTCCAAACACAGTAATCTGATATAGCCTTGGTTTTCCATCACGATGCGGGCTGGCTAGTAGATCTTCATACATTGATATGATCAAGCACCAACAGCGCTGATGTCATCGACTGCCCTTGGTAAGCCCCACCAGGAGACCTTCGCCTAACCCTTGTCTGGCTTCATTCAATCTTACAGAGACAATGTATTAAGTGTCCTACTCAGACACACAATAATAATACACAAATGCATACAGTGTGAATAGAGCTGTTGACTGTCCTGATAGTATGCAGGGAAAAGTAACGGAGAAAAAAAAAACTACTAGGCAAAAATTCGATCACCATCTCATAATCTCAATGGGACAGCGCGTTGGGCACGGTAGCTGGTAGCTGCCGGGATGGGGATTCCAATAGTTACCGGAGTTCATGCTATAGAGGCTTTGACGCCTAACTGGCAAGCCGGACTTTAGGCATCAGGCCCCTAATGGGCCCCAAACCATTTTAGGGATTTTGTCAACATGGGATGCCAGAAGATCCATGGTTCCACCCCTGGCTTATTTAACTAGTCATGTCCATGCCCGCCAGCTATTTTGATAACCAAGAGTACTCTACATTTTCCGATCGATACAAGCTGAATATCCATTGTTTTAAATTGTCAATGGTGTACTCCACATATATGGAAACTGAGAAGTACTCTCTAATCAAACCAATGTCTTGTTTTCTAACCAGTGTTCTGCGTCTTTTCTGCGCAGGCTCAACTTCCAAACCCCTGTTCTATCTATCCTTTCGTCATCACTCACCTCTATTTCAAGCTACATTCAGCGCAGGTTATATCAATTTTACATTATAAACCAAGAACCTATATAATTGAGCTTCAATTAAAACAAAAAAGGACAAAAACAAAGAAAAGAAAACCATATAATGAGTGTTACTTAAGATATTTAAACTATTGACCCTGTGCACGTCAGTGATCAACAGATCATCATCTCTGAGCCTTTGTAAGTTAAATAGACCCTGCAGTCCGGAAAAATGCATCTATCTCTGCTAAACATTAATTGAGACTAAAATAGGCGTGGATATGCATACGCCATGGAAAGTAATTGCTTTTCCATCCATCAGTGCTGGAGAACCCGTCTCTGAGGTCCACAGTGTATCTCCAGCTGTTATATAGGCCTAAATGACCTTCGCTCTCGATCTGCATTGCCTCAATACCACCGACAACGGAAGCATATCTGAAAAGTCATGGCACCTTCTTCTTCCTCACTGCCCCCGCGCCAGCGGGAAGCTGGCTGGCTCATCATCAATGATCCGGCATATCTTGAAATGGAGCCCTTTGACGTCTGGACTGTGCGACTCTTTGCTTCTACTCCGATGTCGAGCTGGGTCAGGCTTGATGCCAGCCTCGAAGGGAATGACAATATTTTACCCACTTTAAGGAGCACCCGAGGCCATCACAGCCAAGGGCTACTAACCTCTGAGCATCGCCTTTGAAATAACTCTCAGACTGCACCGGCAAAGAAGAAGGGGGAAAGAGGTAATACGTCCTTTCTTCAGAGTATCTTTCTGGATAAATGTGTCATATTTTCATTTACCTGTGAGGCTTTACTCTAGTTTATGTTCTTGGTGATGATAAGTCTGCTCCTCTCATTGAATGTACTGTACAACACATTGTTTATTCCCCAGACTGCTTTCTCTTCATCAAGCACTTGCTATACTTCCTGATTCCACTGCTGCTGAAGAGCATGTTGCTTAAATATTTCATGATAGTGAATGATTATTCGCAAGGAGTTGATTAGCTGGTTAAGATGGACGGCGTTGTTTCGCTGCAAATGTTGGTTTGAAGGGGTGCTGGCTTGATTCAGGGGAGGGAGGTGATGGGAATGAGAATACTCTGCTTTCCCACAGAGCAGATGACGATCGATGATAGCCGCCTCTTTTAATCCCAAGTGAGGGTAAGTGTAACAATATGCCAAACGGGCCATACGCACGTGTATGTGATATTCTAGCAAGTATGTAGCTAGGTGTTGTGTGGGTAAACGAAAGTGGCTTGGAAGTACATGAGAATGTACAGGCAACAATAGTAAAGCGTGTTATCCGTGGTTTGCGAAGGCTATGGAAAATGGATTCTGTATATTACAATAAGTCGTCTTCGCAAAGGTGATGTCTGGTATGTGAGTTTGTCAGGGGTGGCAGTAGAGACGACAAATATATTATACCTAAGCGATGCAACTCCATTTTCTTGACAGAATGAAATTTATATATAATATATTAAATTAATGAAATTTAATTATAAACTCCTGAGTGAGAGTTCGGAGATAACCAAGCTACAGTTCGTTTTCTCTTCCTGATCCATCAATTCTCCATTGTGTGAGAGTTCCTCCTGACAGTGAAATGAATGTAACTGATATGTGATGGTCTAGCAGTTCTTCATTCACTCACTGGCAGTGTATCATTCCTATTTCCCACGTACAAATAGAAGGAAAAGCTGCTGATGAATCAAAGCATTGTATTTTTTTATTCCCGTTATTTCTTTACTTTTTTTTTTATGGCACGAGGGCGTATCAGATAGCCACTTCTGAACCCCACGCAAGATCAAAAGTGTACAATTACGATTTACTTTGACAAAAATGCACGTTGATCTCAAGTATTCACTCATCTGTGTCTTTTTTTACATGTACCGCCGAGTTCTTTCTGTCACCATCTTCATGAACAAGCCTCCCGCCGTAAGAAGCCCCCCATTCGTGGACCACTTTTCGACTTTGAAACCAGCCTGCTTCACTTAGAGGAACACAAATGTATCACTCCATGAGAAAACTCGCGAAACAAAGAGAAACCACGCTCCTCGAGTCTACTCTGTCAGAATTTAATAACGGGAGTCACCCGACGTTCTCCAGTCTCTGCCGTGGAGCCTTTTCCAAGTATCCGCCGCACCAGTTTCAAATATGGTTGCTAGCTTTTCTAGTTCTCGAGGAGACGGCGAGGTTCTGTGCCATCGTCCATTTTCAGAGGAGTTCGCCGTCATACCTAGAAAAGCTAGCTGATTCTAGACTTACAAAGCGTTGCTTTTGAAATCAGAACCACCATGACCACGGAGAATGCTTCTTTCTGACTATCATTCCTACTCACTTATGTCACGCCGTCCAGATACGGGGATGGCGTCGGACTGGGAGACCGGAGATAAATAATGATGACCACGCCATGTACTTTGGCTGGCGCTGGCCATCGCTAAACGGTAACATATCTATCTATTGGCTTTCGGCAATCGGGGAAAAGGTGGGGAAACCATGTTTGTTGGAAGCTAATCTGTACCGATAGATGGGAAGAACCGTGGAACGACCCTGTCTCACTCAACACGCAATCTCCGTTAGATCATCAGGGGAGAAGTTAGCCGTACTGCTCTGTAGGCGAAGAGAATGGTAGATGGAAAGGGAACCTCCACCCTCCACCCACCACCCACCACCCACCATCAAGGGATTTGGGCTGTTGATTCCTATGAGCCAGTAAAGCACTGGGACTGAGTTTTAGAGAGGTTCTGGTGATGTCGTAGGGAAACGTTTTGGAGCGGATTTCGTGGGACGCCGCCATTTCCCAAGCGTACCACTATGGACGAAATAAATGCATAACTAATGCCCGGATTTCCCCATCGCCATAACTTTCGTTCAATTATGTACTGTACATAGTTACTCGGGAGGCGGTGTTGATTGAGTCTTCTGTGGGCAATTTTCTTTTTCTTCCCAATGAATCTGTTGGACGAGTTCGCTGCTCCCTTATGATACAGGAAGGAAGGACATTTGAGAAAATTCCTGGTTGGAGGATGTTGTGACCTTTGTGGGCCGAATACTCCGTACAAAACGCGGCAAATGTAAGTTAACTATGTAGATCTCTTCCTGGGGCTGCGGCCAAGGGGCTCCACCTTCGCAAACCAGCGTCTTGGCGCGTAGGGCTCCAATTAGGTTCAACCCTCCACTGCCCATTTCTGCGCATTTCACTGGTAAACGACGCATTATTATATTTCCCTGCGTAATCCCGAAACTCGGCAGACTGACATCAAAATCTGCGGGGTGCTGGGGTTTTGAGCAGCATTAGGTGATATCGGCTTGAGCTCAGTTCTCGGTCCCTGCAACCGCGTGGGGACGCCATACCCACAGTCCGTTAACCAGCGAGAGGTGGGGATAGGGAAGCAGTGCTTCTGCTGCGAAGATAGGGTGTCAAGGGACTCTAGCAAAGATCAGCAAATGCCGGCGCGCTGTCAGATTGTTTTAGGGGTCCGTAGTTTCAACCCCGCTTGAACCAACGACATGGAACACACGACTGCCGGATATCTTCCAGCAGGATGGGACGTTGCTGGAGTTATTTAGGCAGAGGCAGCCCGCCCTTGAGCGTCGAAGTTGGTGGTGTTTGAGACGTATTCTTCAGAAATAACCTCCTCCAGGTGGTCGTGAGAGTCTCCCTATAAACGTTGAACATGTCGTGTTTCGCCAAATCGGCACTGTGCCTTTTGGTAGCTGGTCTCCCAGCTCTAGCCCAATTCCTTCTCAAGCCAGAAGGGGTCACAGGCTTGGAATCCAAATTTGGTGATGGTGCTAAGATCACTTACAAAGAGGTGAGCAAACATATCCCTACTCTAGACTCATCCCTAGCTCACATCAACGGCAGCCAGGACTTTGCGAGACTACGTCGGGGGTCAAGTCATACGCTGAAGGGTCTCGATGATAACCAAGACTACCCCATCAACACATTCTTCTGGTTTTTTGAAGCAAAAAAAGATCCAGAGAATGCTCCTTTGTCTAAATGGATCAATGGAGGACCCGGGAGCTCTTCGATGGTGACGCCCCCAGTTTGCTTTTATCTCTCGCCTTCTCAACTTTTTCGTACTTCTCTTCCTCTTTTGATGCATCAAATGCTCTGCTATAATCAAGTGATGCGACAGCCCTAAACCAAAGCTCCTTGAGGGTGGAGATGGAGAGGTGGATAGGGGTAGCAGTATTTGCATTTGCTGACTGCCGGAAACAGATGGGCTTGTTGGTTGAAAACGGTCCTTGCATCATCAATCCGGATTCAAATTCAACGATACTGAATCAATATTCATGGAACAATGAAGGTATGGATCACTCTCCTGTTCCCCAATATTGCGAGCCTGCGAATATAGTGCTAAAAATAAAAACAGTTAATATGCTCTTCTTGGATCACCCGGCACAGGTCGGCTTATCCTACGATACCCTTGCCAACTACACGAAAAATTTGATCCATAGGAGAGCTCACCAAGTTGGGCCCCAATGATCCAATTCCAGAGCAGAATGCTACGTTACTGGTCGGAACGTACCCTAGTAACGAGCCGGAAAACACTGCACTGGATAGTCGTAGTGCTGCAATTGCTCTTCGGCACTTTGCGCAGGTATGGTTCCAAGAATTCCCCGGTTACCACCCAGGGGACTCTCGAATCAGCCTTGCCACTGAGCCTTATGGTGGCCGTCACGGCCCAGCATTTTTCGCGTACTTCGAAGAACGGAACCAGAAGATCGAAAATGGTACCTGGAAAGATGACGATGGAGACATGAAAGTATTGAATCTTGATACCCTCATAAATCATCAACGGCTGCCTTGACCGCCAAGTGCAGTGGCCTTCAGACCCAGAGTTTGCATTCAAAAACACATACGGTATCGAAACAGTCAATGAAACGATTTATGACTATATGGTCGACTCCCTCGTTAAGCGCGGCGGTTGTCGCGATATGGTCGAGGACTGCCGCGTTCTTTCCGCCGTCTGGGACCCAGATAACACCGGCATCAACGACACCGTCAATGAGGTTTGCAGCACCGCTGAGAACTACTGCTCCAGCGAGGGTCGCGGGCCATATCTTCGGCACTCCGGCCGCAACTACTACGACATTTCGCAGGTCGAGCCGGCCGCATTCCCTACCCCATTTTACAAGGGGTGGTGTGAATCAGGAACACGTCCAAGCCGCACTTGGCGTACCCCTCAACTGGACCCAGTCCAACAGAGCCGTATCGACAGCCTTCCGAGGCATTGGCGACTATCCGCGTCCAGGTTGGATCGAGGATCTGGCCTTCCTGCTCGAGAATAACATCAAGGTTTCTCTCATCTATGGCGACCGCGACTTTGCCTGCAACTGGATGGGCGGCGAGGCGGTGAGACTCGCGATCGACTATGCCGAAATACCCCCCTATAGAGATAAATGATTGTGAATAATCTCTCATATATCAATTGAATACTCTCACTTTCACGTCATTGCAAGGATCGAAGCCGGCACGACTCGAACAAGGCGTGCTGTTCAACAATGATATTGCCACGGGCGAGATCGACACCGTCGTGCCATTGCCTGACGACGATGGGGATTATTATTTGTTCGTCTGGTCCGTCCGACACTTTTGCGTTTAAACAGGACCCCCCGCCACAGTATCCTAAGTTCTGCTAAGCGCTTGACCCCGGCGTCTGCACAGAGGAGCAGATCGAGGCGATACTGACGGGCAAGGCGGTACTCAAACAATGGATTCTTGTCGATGAGAATACGACCGAATTGTTCCCTGAGGTTGTTGGTGATTGGCGGCAGTCCCACATCGCCACCTTCGCCGAGTGATACTGCTGGTGCGTCGGGTTTGTTTGTGAGCGGCATCTGGCAGCAAGTAGGATTGTTAGTCATTCTCACTGTGATGGTATCTGCAATGCTGTTTTAAATAATAGGTTGATTGGGTTGTATATGGATGTGTGTCGTACCGTACATACATCATGGCCGAGGCTTGAAGATTGTTGTCTCCTATATTTTTTATACCGGACATAAAACTCCAATTGTCATTCATTTAATTGAGACTTCATTGAGCTCGATCGGAATTTTGAAAAGGTGTTCTGCGTGAATAAGCATTCAGAATCATCTGTTTGTCATTCGTCGAAAGGTTTTCCTTTCCTTTTCAGAAGTGTAGATAGCCTTGGCCAACGCCGATGGATAGTATCAACAAGCTTCAGTCCCATTGTGAGTACTGAGACAAGTTCATGGAAATAAAGCCGCGAGAAGCTGTGACAAGCTACCTATGTACATGTACAGTACATATTTAGGGATCCAACCAAAGTGTCACCGGCATTGCCTTAGTATCTGGTGCTCAATTCGAGGTACGGTACAGTACTCGGTACAGAGTAGCCTGCAAGACTTCCTGTAGTTAAAGGAGTGGCGCGCACCGTTTGCAAAAAATCACTGACAAGCTTCTTAAATATCTATCTAACCTCTAGTTATTCCCTTGACAGCCATGGACTTTTTTTTTTTTTTTTTTTTTTTTTTGACCGCGAAGCCAAGACCCCGCCAACAGAACCCATATTGTCTGAGAGATTGGATCTCAAGGAGATGAGTTCACTGAGTTGCCTGGGTAGGGAAGTCCAATTATTTGAAATCTTATATGTAATGTGATACCAATTTACAATTTACAGCACCGAGTACACTAGAAAGAAATTCATCTGTTAGCAATATGGTTTCGGTTAAATATCCTGATTGAATTTGCAGATGTTAAACTGTGTATATCCTAAAAAGTCAGGCATCTTCCATGCACCCTTTAACAATGTTAATTAGCCTTTTGGTTCTTTCCAAGGAAATAAATTACATATAGGTCTTCTCCTGGCTAGTTCTAGTGATTTGTCTAGTGGTGGTTTATAGAGTGGATGCATTTGGCTGCAAACTTCCATGAGAGATTGTCATATTTCCCGGAGCACTGTACCTTACCTAGGTAAATGTCGACGACCTGTTTTCTTGCAAGACCAATCAGACATCTCAAGAACTATTAAAATTTCTTGCACTCCTTGCTAGTCACCGTCGGAGCAAGTCTCCCATGCTGACGGACCAGCAGCATCGCGGGCGTTCCACTTAGATTTGAAAGTATCATGATATCATGACAGGCTGGAGACAAAAGCTTGGCTTGCATGGCCAGGTATGGGAAGGGAATGAGGGTCTAAAGAGGACTAATATGTACGGAGTACGGAGGAGGTGAGATTGAGATAGATAGAGAGCATGAATCAGGCCACTTGGCTGACAGCTTGTGAGCAAAATAGTTATTTAACCAACCCAACCGGTGTTGCTCTTCGTTTATGAAACATTAGCTGCTAAAAAAAATATAAAAATAAAATAAAAAATAAAAATAAAAATAAAAATAAAAATAAAAAAGAAAGAAAGAAAGAAAGAGAGAAAGAGATATACTTACATACTCTTGAGTCAAAGATCGAGCCTAGGGCCAACAACATTCCCTCTCCCATGGCTTGACTCGCTGTCATATCAACTTACTACTCCTTATGTATAGTGCAGTCGACCGCGGGGGGGGAGGAGGCGGCAGAGGCCTGCGGGGTTTAAAAGCAAAAATCACACAGATAAAAAGAAGGCAAGGATGTTATGCAAGTTTCGACCCAGCGTGTCAGAAGCCAACAGAAATTAGAGAAATAGATATTACTATCGCCGCGGGCTAGAGAGTTGAGACTGCACGTATGTAAGCCCAAGCCTGATATCATGCTTGCATCCGAGCAAAGGAAAACCGGGAATTGAGCAGGTGGGTGGTAGTTTATTGTATTGCCACATGATATGTATATGCATTCTAGGAGGCAGCCAGCAGCCTTTTTAATTTTCTGTATACAAAAATAAACAATCTGTCGTTTGGAATGTGCCATGCCGCGGTTAATTCAGCAGATCGGATATTTACTCCAGTTTCCTATTGAAAAACGCAGCCCGAGTCTTGGTTGAAATATCCACAGTCTTTTGTAACGCAAAAGTATTAAGTATGATAATCTTTAATATAAGTACTCCGTAGTTAAATACCAAATATTCGGTTGAGTTTTTAACTCGAGCCAGGGTTCTAGCCGTAACTAACTGGATAACTTACTGGGAGGTTGGCCAGAGTATATTTTTGCAACGAAGATGAAACGTCCTAAATAACTATCTAGAGAGGGGCCGTTTCAGGGGGTTTCTTCGAGAACAAGACAAGACTGAATGGACCAACGAGCAGAAAGCCGAGTAACTTAAATATATGAGGTACGATGTAAATAAACTACCTGCTGCAGTGGTTGCTTGCAGTTTCTTTGATCTGGCCTGATCTATCTCGGCCTAAATACATAAATAAAGACCACCCCTTCTTTGTCCGAAAGCTGTAGAAGCGGGTTTCCCTGGTCTGGATGAAGACTGGCTTGATTTGTTGGTGGTTAGCAGCGTACTCCGTAGTTTAAGGAGATATTTCTTTCTTGCTTCTTCTGTTCCAACAGGGATCGTCATCTTTGGCCCGTCGTCGTCGACTTTCCCCCCTCTTGAGTCTTCCATCCTTCCTATCCTCCTCCTATTTGTCCTTTGCGACCAGCCCTCATCACACTGCTGGAAACCCTTTTCCAACCACCCTTAAAAAAAAGTGTTTGTGACCATATTTTTCACTTGGGTAGAATTTTAATTATTTAGCGCCTGTTCCAGACTCCATTTTAAGCACAAACTGTCCAAGTCGTGGCCCGGATTGAATATTGGCCTCCTGGTGTTTGTTATTTACCTCCCATTCGCTGTATCGTATCGCAATCAAACTATCATCAACCATCATCCACAGCGGATAGAGAGAATTTCTCTGCAAAGCCCTGTCTGTCTGTTCCTGACATTCTTCGCACCGAGGCTTAGCTCGCCACCCAGCAGATTATAGACACAGAGGTTGGCTCCGTTCCATCGATCGATTGTTTTCCAATAATCCAGTGCGACAGCGGACAGCGCCTATATATCGCACCTCACTTCCCGCCACGATCAGCGAACCAGCTTTGTGGGAAATAATTCGGTCTGGGCTTGTGTCAGCGCTGGAAAAAGTATCTGGACTCCTTCTCCGTTATGCGGCCGCTACCTTGGATAACGTGAGAAACCCATGGGCATCGAGTGCTATGGATGAGTTTTCCCCCAGGAATAAGGAGGTTTCAAAAGTTATGCAAAACAAATTTCCTTAACCGGGGACCGTTATCATTATTTTATAAGACTAGTCAGTCCCTTAGCACGAACCCACCCAGACCAACTCGACCTCTGGCAATATGCCGTCAGTGAATATTCTGGAGACAAGCCCGACAACGCCGCCGGCAAGTCATCCGGGTCTGAAAGCCCATAAAGCCCTACCACGAAAACGCGATGTATTGCCTACACAGGGTTTGGCATTTACGTCGTCGAGTCCGAGACCTTATGATGCCACGCCTCCTTCAAACGGGTACACCCATCCTACCGCGCCAGCTCTTCCCTTGACACCCCCTGGCCTGGTATTAGAGCCCTGTAGGAAATCAAGCAATGGTATCTCGCGCGAGGTATCTCACGAGCTTATCCCAGCCACGACAGGAACTGATACGCCAACTCACCAGTTAAGCCCCCCGACACCCGATATTACACCTCCACGAACAGTTTCGCAATTCAAAAAGAGAGAAGGTCTTACTCCAATACAACCGTCCATGTCCTCAAGGGCTGAGTCGTTCACTACTGCCCGAGAAACTTTGTCATCGGAGGAAGAATTGGAAAAGAGAAATGCTGCATCGGTCCAGCCCGCCCCATCGTTGCGTCCAGCCAAACACAAGCTGCCTCATCCGCTGCGAACAAATACGACATCGGCGGAGCGAGGGCTTTTGAGAAATGCAGGGCCACCAAGGGGTGGTGGACCTGTTGCAGATGGAATGACAGTTAGCCAGACAGATGCGGCCACGTTTGATTCTTTTGATGGCCAGTGGACTAAGCTAGATGAAAACGTTATTGCCGGCTTCCAAAAAAAGAAACACAGGCGTCGACCGATCCTCTCTGATCACGACCCATTTTCCCAAGTCAACGCCGGCCCTTCTGATTCGCAACCTATATCTAAATCATCGTCTAGCCGGGAAAAGAGTTTGGAGAAGCGGGTAAAAGACACACAAAATATTCCCGTGACATCTTCCGTTGAGAAGTTTGCGGAGAGTATAGCATGGGTTACGGGAGAGGAGCAGCTTGATATGAGCGAACGCATCCATGCTTGGCGTTTGTCTGGGATATCGACTACATCAACCGTGGAAGCTATGGTAATAGATCCTCCGCAACGAAAGCTACCGACATTACGGCATACAGAAAAGAATTCCTCCCTTCGTTCCGTCAGTTCGCCTCTGCCTAAGTCATATTATGAAGATTCAACGTCGTCTTTGACGGACTCTCATCCTCGTCTACTCAGAAAGTCGGCCCGCATTACCAATGAAAATCGATGGAGTGTGTCATCGGATATGTCTTTTGCTGCAAGCGTAACCTCGACGAGACCAAAGCCGAAGCCTGATGTTGTACCCGTTGTGGTAATTCCCCAACGACAATCCTCGTTGAAATCTACGCACTCTAGTAGCAGGGACCATTCACGAACGCATTCTCTTGGCTCTAGTCGTCGACCTACCACTGCTCCAGACAGCGGCATCGGGTCGTTTGACGTATCTCGACGGACAAGACGCACATTATCCGCATCTTTACCATCAACGACCTCAAAAGATGTGGGCCGTAGGAGCTCTTTGTCTGGGCTAACCGTTCCTCAAAGAAAGTCTTCGTTATCCGCACCCACAAGCCGAAATAACTCTAGGGCGCCTTCACTTACCTCGGAGAGTTTGCAATATCATGCACCACCTCCCACCGTCCAGCCCGCTCTCCCTCAGCGCCGCAATCAAGCGCCCGTGCAACCGATATCTACCAAAACCCCTGTCCCCGAACCTGTCAAACAGTTTACAACTTTAACCCCACGTACGAATGGACAGCCAGGCGATGAAAACGGACCAATGATATCTCCATCTCTGCCTCTCACACCGTTTCAAGCATCCATTCAGTCCTTATCTCCTGGCCCAGTGGAAATTCACGAAGCTAGAGCTGTCCCGTTTTTCTTCCACAATAATACGTCACTTTTGCTTGTAGACCAACAGCCGGCCACCGAATCACGAGCCGTTCAGGAACTGCGAACTTCGCTAGGTGTTATGGAAATGAAAGTTGCCCGACTCACGACACCAGACATGTCTACGCAAGCTGCGGCAGCTGATGTTGATTCTCCACTTCGAAACCCGCGCGCTCCGCCAAAACCCCCAGCAGTCAAGGTTATTCCGCCAACTCCTATGGATGAAATTGACCAGCCTGCTCTTATAGATGAGCACAATCCGGACAAGAACAATGGC